TCTCGGAACCTGCTACATGCTGACATTAATTTGTTCCGATTTTAGTTCTTAGCTTATCTTGGCTGCCAGAGGCTTTTCGTGCGCAGTTTCTGGTTTCGGTTAGTCTTTATTTCGAGCCGCGCGAAAAGCCTCTGAAACGGAGCGCTGTTTCTTTAATGAAAAGCGGCTTATGACCAGTTAATTCTTCAAATCGATCGCAGGCTCAAGTTGTGGGTGGTTTCAGGTGTTCGTAACTGGTCTTAGGTGATAGTAGGTGGTTGTAGGTCATTCCACGTTTTAGTGATTACGGAAAAGGGCCCATAAAAACTAGAATTAAAGATTCCTAGCGTCCCTAACAAAAGGGTTAATATTTTCTTTTCAAACTAGGCGAGTTCATCCAGGTGTCACTTTCATGCGCTCTGCGCTCACCCAAACACCCTTCGTGCAGTGCAACCTGTCTATAAAATTGAAAAGGACAACAAAACAAAGCTAGAATTCCAAGTCATGTGAGCCCTGTCACCATTTATTTTTATTTGGATTTTGTCAGTTGTGGGCTTTTCTCTCAGGCTCTCTTCTAGATGCTCCTTGATGTGCTCCTTAACAGCAGTTAAACTTTTACCCCAGTTGCCTTTCCTGGTAGGCTGTCTATGTGGCATAGCTTATTGAAATTGGCCCTGCATTGCTGAATTAGATACGACTTGGGAAGCCCATTAGTGACCTTAGTAAGTTCAAGGAAAAAAGAATCTCCCACACAAAACTTGTCAAAGAATTTTTGGAAGCATTTTTGATGAAATTAACAGTATGATTACAGAAGTCAAGGTTACTGTTGGCCACATTGAAATAAAAACGAGTTTTCCCTGATAGTGATGGAGCAACAGCTAACTATGCATGTGCATGGTGTAAAATCCAAAAGGATAATAGATGGAAAACAGATCAGCATCTTAGTTGAGTCAATTCAAAGCCACTTTCAAGATCTTTACAAGAAATGAAAGAAATGTTGAAAAAATCAAAGGATGATTATGGCTGCTGTAAGGAACCCCTTCTGGACATTGAATTGGACCATATAATTGTTGATGAACTTCACCTCCTTTTAAGAATAACTGTTAAGTGTTAACTGCCAATTTAATAACAAAAGTTAATGATTGGGATATTGAGGAGAGTATTGAAAACCTGATCAACAAACAGGCACACCTAAATAAGTTCATTGACAGCAGGTCTTATGAAGTTTCTTTTGATGTCTGGAAAAAAAACGCAGATGGCAAAGAAAGTTTTGTTCATGACTGGACAAGTCTCATGGGAAATGATAAGAAAACACTGCTGTTTCACCTTCCAGAGAAAATGATTTCTTGGGGCCAAAAACTGCTGACAATATCATAAAAATATGGGTGGACGCTGCAGTGGCCTGAGCAAAAATCTCAGTCACTGGCAACCGAATACCAGCCCTACAGAGTTTTGGCTGAAAGTAAAATAATGGGTGAATGACTTCATTTCTCTCACAGGATTAAGGGAAGGTTACAAGTGAAAGAGAGTTACCCAATACATTCATATAATGGTTTCCAACAAATCCCATGGTTTTTCCAAATGTACCAAGCAGTAAGAATATTTACAGGGCAAGGAGTTGAAAGGAACATTAATGTTGCAAGGTCCACTAATTTCATGAAATCCAACAAGAGGGACTCTGTTGGAGATGTTCCTCGTCAAGAATAATGCCAATGGTACTTAAGAAAAAGGGAACGGGAGCCCAGATCCTATCAGGAACACAAAACAGAGTACTGGGAGGAGGACAAATTCCAAAAAAGAAAAAAAAAATGTACCCCCTAAAATTACTACTCCACCTCTTTCTAATCTGCAAAGTGGTTAAAGTGCTGTTGCATCTCAAACTCACTCTGCTGCGCCTTTGAGCTCAGTTGACTTTACAAAAATGACAGTTCCTCAGCTTAAGGAAGAATTAAAGGAAAGAGGAATCTAAGGCATTGCTAGGAAAACAAAACATTAGCTTGTAAGATTATTGAAGAGTATTACTGACAAAGAAAACCAGTCAGCCTCTGTTTAAAAATAAATGACATTGTCATTAGATGCAGATAGTAAAAGTAGCATAGCATATAGCATTTGGCCTGCTGCAGGTGTAATAGCTGTCCCACTTTATAAGATAATCAATCTGAGAAATCAACATTATTCATATTACTACAAAACTCAAACGTCTTTTAATATTAGATCACAATTTCTCTTCTAATGTAAGCTTATTAAGCTCCTCGAGCTCCAGAAATATAACAGAAGTTTTATGTACTTTGTGATCCAGTGATCGCCTTGAAATAACTCATTCAACTCTAACCCTTAAACTCCCAAGATCTCATTAGTAATTCTCCTTACTTTCTGCCATACAGTTCTTGAGATGTTAGTTTTGAGAATTTGGTATTGGATCAACTGATAATCTTCTAACTGATATTTTTCTTCATTCTTATCACTTGTGTGCTCTATGTTGCATTGGTATTGTGAGGAGAAATTCTGTCTTGGTCACTTATGGGAGTTAAAGGGTTAAAACATACTCCCTGACTGTTGGCTTTTCTTCTCCTTTACATCGGCTTTAAAAAGTCACTTGTGACTTGTGACAACTGCTAGAAATAACCAAGGCATTTTTCTCTGATGGTCTACCATTTCAGAGCTAGCAGAAATACATGCCCATCATGTTGACTACTGAGAAAATCCATGCTGGTAGTGTTGATCACTGACAACATGTGCATCAGCAATAACAATTGCTGACTGTATGAAACTGTTCACCATGCTCACTGCTGGCAGGTGCCCAAAAACAAAAATTTTGATTTGAGTCAGCACATAAAGAAAGAAGTGCATCAACAACGAGTCCTTTAAAATAGCTTCATGCAACTGGTACATAAAGTCTACTCCTGATCATTTTTTTCTGACAGCTAGGTTATGAGAGTAGCCACAATGTTACACTGTGAGGGTTCAAATCCTAATGGGAACATTCAATTTCATGAGTTTTTTTGGCTTCATCTCATTCTTGTGACAAAATGAAAACTCCTATCTGTCTGACCTTGTATATAAATTGCTTGATTTGAGAAAAATAAAAGTGAGCCCTAAATATATGGAAGGAATTTCAGCAGACTTTGATGCAGACTCTGCATCCATTTTTAACAGTCTGCTGGGCTGAACTAATAAGTCACAAGCAAACTCACAACAATTACATACTCAAATGCTTTCTTCGAATTAGAGCTTTAACATGAAGCTAATTCAAAAATAAATAGTGTTTTGTTTCTGCTGCTCTGTTTTTTACCATGGATCTCCTCTAACCTGTAACAAGCTTACTCTCGTTATCAACATGTATTTCCACAATCTGTGATCATTTCAATAACTGCTATTTGTGAATGACCCAACAACCAAGTTTGATTACAATCCACTGAAATTCGTGAAGAGGAAAATAGAAAACTTTACTTTTTCACCAAAATATAACTTCAGTCTAACCTAAAGAGAGTATATCACCAAAACTTTACATCTATAATGCACCTGCTTCCCTATTGTGCTTGTTTCATGTATTTTTAATCTTGCATCAGATAGACTTACATGTACCAACAATAATATCAAGGCAACTTCATGTGTTCCTCATAGTGGTTAATGAGCTGGGAAGCACTGCTCAGTTTCTCCTGACAAATCCAGCAAGTAAATGTTTCATCGTGATCTGAGGAATATGGCTGCTGTCCAGAGTGCAATTTTTCATGCTTTTGAAGTGTTCCCTTCTGAGTAAACCACTTGTCACAAGCTTTGCACTGGTATGGCTTCTCTCCAGCATGGGATCGTTTATGTACTCTCAGAATTAGTTTACGACTAAACCACTTGTCACAGCTTTTACACTGGTAGGGCTTCTCTCCAGTGTGGGATCTTTGATGTACTTGTAGTTTTCTTTTCTGCATGAACCACTTACCACAAGTTTTGCACTGGTATGGCTTCTCTCCAGTGTGGGATCTTTCATGTACTGTTAGAACCTGCTTTTGTGGAAACTGCTTGTCACAAGTTTTGCACTGGTATGGCGTCTCTCCAGTGTGGAATCTTTCATGTACTTGTAGATTTCCTTTATGAGTAAACTGCTTATTACAAGTTTTACACTGGTATGACTTCTCTCCAGTGTGGGATCTTTTATGTCTATGTAGATTTCCTTTCTGACTAAACCACTTGTCACAAGTTTTGCACTGGTATGGCTTCTCTCCAGTGTGGGATCTTTCATGTACTTGTAGATCACCCTTTTGTGCAAACCCTTTGTCACAAGTTTTGCACTGGTATGGCCTCTCTCCAGCGTGGAATCTTTCATGTACTGTTAGATGACTCTTTTGTGGAAACTGCTTGTCACAAGTTTTGCACTGATATGGCGTCTCTCCAGTGTGGAATCTTTCATGTACTGTTAGATGACTCTTTTGTGGAAACTGCTTGTCACATGTTTTGCACTGGTAAGGCTTCTCTCCAGTGTGGGATCTTTCATGTACTGTTAGATCACCCTTATATGCAAACCACTTGTCACAAGTTTTGCACTGGTGTGGCTTCTCTCCAGTGTGGGATCTTTCATGTACTGTTAGATTATTTTTTTGTGCAAACCACTTGTCACAAGTTTTGCACTGGTACGGCTTCTCTCCAGTGTGGGATCTTTCATGTACTTGTAGATTTCCTTTCTGACTAAACCACTTGTCACAAGTTTTGCACTGGTATGGCTTCTCTCCAGTGTGGGACCTTTCATGTACTTGTAGATCGCCCTTTTGTGCAAACCCTTTGTCACAAGTTTTGCACTGGTATGGCCTCTCTCCAGTGTGGACTCTTTCATGTACTGTTAGATCACCCTTTCGTGCAAAGCACTTGTCACATGTTTTGCACTGGTAAGGCCTCTCTCCAGTGTGGGATCTTTCATGTACTGTTAGATCACCCTTTCGTACAAAGCACTTGTCACATGTTTTGCACTGGTAAGGCCTCTCTCCAGTGTGGGATTTTTCATGTACTGTTAGATCACCCTTATGTGCAAACCACTTGTCACATGTTTTGCACTGGTAAGGCCTCTCTCCAGTGTGGGATCTTTCATGTACTCGCAGATTTCCTTTCTGATTAAACCACTTGTCACAGCTTTTACACTGGTATGGCTTCTCTCCAGTGTGGGATCTTTCATGTCTTTGCAGATCTTGTTTCCTAGTAAACCGCTTGTCACAAGTTTTGCAATGGTATGGCTTTTTCCCAGAAGTGAATGTTTTGGCCATGCTAAAGTATTCTAAAATGTAAGAAGCAAACATAAAAGAGATTTACTCAACCAGACACGCATATTTGACAGGGTTTCAGAAGCAATGAATTAAGTTTGAATAAACAAAGAAATTGGACAGTGAGTTGAGCAAAATATGTTTCAAACAGTCATACTCTTTCAGGAAAGAAAGTTTTACTATAACAATTGCCACTAACAAAGGGATTCACAGACAGTGCAATTTCTGGCCAAGGCCCTGAAAGAAAAACCTTCACATGAGTAAGGACCTACAAAGAGAAGTGCACTTCCAACAAGTCCCTTTACATAGCTTCACACAACCAGTTCATACAATCTAAATGTTGTCCCTGTGATTTTAAACTTTAATCTATAGTTGTCATTGTGTGAACAATTTGTTCAATGAACTTGTCTTAATGGAAAAGTCACTCCACCTATCACTATCAAGTGGAGCAACTCAAAGTGCAAAAACTGGAGAACAGAAATTTCTAATGGACACTACAAAAGAGATTCCCAATAGACTTTAATGGAAAGAATCTGGTTAAAAAGGTAAAAGAAAATGATAAAAATCACAAAAAAAGGAGTTTAACACTATATGTGTTATTTATATAGCACAATTTGTATTAAGTATGGAAGAGAATTCAAGATTGTAGAATGATACTAGAAGGTAGTGTTGCAGAAGATTTGTCTCAGGTGCAGAAAGCCAACTGCATCCCACATATTTACAAGTACCCTGTTCCACAAGAGAAAGATGATTCAAGAATATACTGATTATTTGACACTCAACTGAAAATTGAATGTTAAGAAAAATATTAACAATATTAAATATAATAATGATAACAATAGTAATAGTTATGATAATTCATATTTGGTAGCTCAAAGAGCTCACAGTTCCTCTATCAGTCTATCCACTAGGCCCAAATATTGATTAAACTATGCTCCTTTTGATTTTGCCTGCTGAATAAAATTCATTTTCCCATTTCATCGCAATTTCTTTTGTTTCATACAACAAGACATTCCCCATTGTAGGATATTCCACCATCTCACCCTTCCCCTGGTCACATGTTTAACCCAAGGTATCTTACTTCAGACAACACTCCCTTCTCAAATTTAGCAGCTCTTTTGGGCACACGTTGCTGATTTAAATGGTAAAATGCTCCCTCTTCAAATAAATAAAATTTGTCTTCAGGGCTTGTATGACTAATAGATCACCTATCCAGATATTTATGCCATGAAAAGTCTTGTCATCAATTACGTGCCAGAGACACCAGTGTAAAATTATTTTGAGAGATTTTATCATCATGTGTAGTGTCACAGTAAGGACTAAAAAAAAAACTTCATTTTCCAATCTACTGGGCTTAATTCCCTAATTCAAGCATTAAAATGCTTTCTCTTGACCGAAAGGAAATTCCTTTATATGCCCCAATCACACCTTCAAAGATATTCCTGCAAGGAAATGCTTTAATTTTTTACGCACCATACTGAGATGATTTTAATATGTTTATCGTCTTCTTTAGTGCTCTGAAATAAACAATCAGTAGCACCAGGAAACTACTAACTCACTGACTCACTTCAACGACATGTGTGGCTTCGCCTCCTATATGAGGTATTAGCCATAAAAATAGAAAAATTACCTTCTTTCATCAACACTCCTACATCAAACCCTATCGATGAGTATAAACGTTTCCTAACTGTATAATTTTACCTGTTTTTTATCTTCAAGGTTTTGGTCTTTCACTCGAAGTAAAACCATAACTTTTCAGGGTTGAAAATAATTTTTCAACTTTTAGCGTGAATTTGTAGGCTTTTGTCAAGGCTCATTGTTTTCCTAACTGTCAATAATAAATGGGCAGTCAGCACATGTCTTCAACACTCAACATGATTTATTAACAGTACTGAAAGGAATAATTACCTTAAATTGCTTAAAAAAATAAGCAATTCCTTTTCTAAGAAAACGTTGCAAACGACTCAATATTTTGGCGTTTGTTCAAGCGTGAAATATACAACTTTGTCGAGACAAACTGTCGCGCTTTTCCATGGGAAATCTGTACTGTCCAGTACCGACTTTAATTTGAACGCGTAAGAGGGCTTTGCACACGACATTGAACTGGATTTGGCAGAAAATAAATCTTGATTAAAGGTAGTATGTAAGTGCAGATACGTAAACACGGTAATGTGACAGTGTATAACCAAACTTGCATGTTTCACGCTTGAACAAATACGTAGAAAAGCTGAATACTGTAAACAAAAATACTCTCTGTTGCAGGCTTCAAATTTCGAAACTTTATACTCGTTTACGTTTCTTGACTGCTTAATTGCCTAGCATGAAATGTTCACCATGGCATGACAGCGACTTTAACTTCAGTTGGACGATCAGTAAGCATAATATTTGATATAAAATTCCAGTTCTTCGGGTGAAAAATCGCTGATAAGTGTGCTAAAAGTTCCGGGTGCCGCCGGTAGCTGGCTGTTATGTTGAACCTTGCTTTCATCAACATACATTCATACAAATTACCTGTTGCCCAAATAACTTATTAAGTGTACATTTCTTTAGTAAGGAAACTCTCTCATATGCTTTTGGGTGACAAAGGGACAGCCATCTTAAAAGGAGAAGGATTTGCTAACTATTCATCAATCCAAACTTTCCATGGTGCGTTCACGAATAAAGATAGGTATGTGCTCTTCACAGTTCACTTAGTAGTAACTGGGAGGCACAGGTTTGAATGAAGTCAAAACCTACATCTTTTGTCTTCCTTTTCTGCAATTGCTTAAATTGCAGTTTACCTGAGAGCATCGCTGCTGAAACATTGGTTTCATTGAGATATCCATTTGGTTCAAGATATGCTTAATGGCAATGGAAACATTTTAACAGTAGTGACATTCCAAAGGAAATTTAAAATGAAAACAAACTACTTCAGTTCTTTTCATTGATGGCGGCAACGTCATCGGGTTTGAAAAAGGAACCCAGATGAATACAAAATATTTAGGTATATACCCAACCACTACTGCCATCGTGGGCAATAAGCTTAATTTAACATTGTACTCATACCTTACCAGTTCATATATTTTCTAATGATTCAAAGTCTCAAAGCCTCAAAGTCTCCTCACCTAACCGACGTTATCTTGTAACTGCCGCCTCTCTCACAGGTTACCCTGGGTGGTTCATTTGAACAGGGAAGAGAGGACACTGGGAACAACATTGAGCATTTGGACTAGGAGCTTTCTCACGCATCATACCTACCTACGCTGCCCGTATATCATCTTATTTTAAGAACAGTCTTAGTTTTCAAAATTCCCTTGAGATACTCTGTTCTCACCACGTCCGCGGGAGTATTACAATCAGAAGTTTAACTGTCGTCACTCGATGAACGTTTCTAGTAATCGCATGTGACAGAGCGTCGTTACACAATAATTTGATTTGCTACGATTAGCCAGCGCACCGCAACCTCTGGTTAGGTTCTCAAGTGAAGAAAAAATACGGGGAAATCTATTAAACCTAAAACTTAAAATAGTAACATAATAAAATCTAAAATAATAATAATAATAGTAATAGTTATGATAATTCATAGCTTAAGAAGCTCACTGTGTGACAAAGTGACATACAGTCATCAGTCTAAAAAAAAAAAAGGGGGATTTGCCAACTATTCATCGATCCAAACCTTCCATGGTACATTCATTAAAAAATATTGGTGTGTGCCCTTCATAGCTCAGTTATTACTATCTGGGAGGCACAGGTTTAATTCGAGTCAAAACCTACAAAACCTACTTTCTGCAATTGCTTAAATTGCAGTTTACCTGGGAGCATCATTGTGTACTTGATAACTACTAAAAAAAATGTTACTTTCCCAACATTGGTTTCATTGAGATATCCTTTTTGTTCAAGATATGCTTAATGGCAGTGGAAACATTTTCAGAGTTGAGACATTACATATTAAATTTAAAATGAAAACAAACTATTCTAGTTCTTTTGATAGTTTCCTCTAGTGCCCTATCGTGGTTTAGTAAAGTGAAGCCTCTGAAATTAATTCATAGCTCAGCTGCCGACGAAATTCAATTGAGAAACTATGGCCCTCGAAATATTAAATAAGGCAGTTGGAAATTAAATAGCTTATTCAATATTAGAAACTTTTGGTGGGTAGTAACACTGAGTACTTTAATGAGTGTTGTTGGCCGACGCGTAAAAATACTCACTGATACTTCACACCAAAACGTCTCATATTTAGATACATACCCAGCCACTACTGCCATCGTAGGCAATAAGCTGAATTTAACATTCTGCTGATACCTTACAAGTTTATATGTTTTCCAAAATGATTTGCTTCAAGATGATGTTACTAAAGTCGACAACAAGGTCAACTCACTCAACCGACGCCATCTAACAAGAGTATTACAATCAGAAGTTTGACTGTCTTCACTCGATGAACGTTCCTCGCAATCGCGTGTGACAAGGTGTGGTTATACAATAATTACCTTTGCTCTGATTAGCCAACACACTTGGGGTTCCAAATGTTTGAAGTTGATATATTAACTAATCTACCAAAAAATTTGACAGTTGGTTTACAGGTTTACAAACTTGGATGCTTAATGCTTGAAAAACTAAGAAACGGTAAGCTGTTGAAGGAATTTGAAAAAAGTAGTAATGATTGTGTGCAATTTGTGTGAAACGAAATAAACTCACATCTAGAAATAGATCGTGTTTTCTTATAATAATATTATATTGATGCAAAACCAAATTCTTGCAAAAAATTTACAAGGAAATGTGTCGCAGCTAGAAGGGAGAATTAACAATCAGATCTTGGGGGTCAAAGGGTTAAAGGCAGTAACAAATATTTTGATAAAAATCTCAAAGATAAAGGCTTAATACTAACTTAGACCTACACACATACACCAAGTCCCCTCAATGGGATATAGAAATTTTCTAATTGTTTAATATAGCCAGTTTATGTTCAAGTTTTTTGTCTTTAATTTGAGAAAACAAATCCTCACTTTGCTCAAAATACACTCATATGTTCTTTTCCCAACATAATAATCATAAAAATTGATCTCATAGTTCAAAATATGTACATTTATCTACTTTTTTATTGTGAGGACACCCTCTCATGTCATTGGGCGTATCAGCCTAATTAAGGTTATAGTAAAATGTCCACACAGACCCATACTTCATTATGCATTCAGTTCTTGAATAGAGAAAACAATGACAAAAACAATGCATTTCCATTGGGAAAACAGATTTGTTTTACAATAGTATGGGGCTGTGCGGAAATTTTACCAAGGTTACTCCAAACCTTCGTTCACGAAATAGGTTGCGCGTGCTTCGTAGCTCAGTTAGTAATAGCGCCCAGCTTGCGCCCAACTAGTATCTGGGAGGCACGGGTTCGAATGCTGTTAGAGCCTGGGTTTTTTTCTGTCAGGCCTAGTTTTCGCAATTGTTTAAATATGTTAATAGGCTATTGTTTATGCATACCTAAAACTTCTACTCTCACTCCGCTAAGACAAAAATATTCTGCCGTGCAATAAGTCTTAAGTCCTTTTTACAGGCTCAAAATGTATCTGAATTGATAAACTAGCTCTGTAGCCTCGATCTGCGAGTAGACAATATCACGTAAAGTAACTTGACTTCTGCAGCAATAACTAAATGTAAAAAAAAACGTCCTTATTAACTGTTATTGTCATCGTGGAGTAAAAAGATAAATTTAACATTTCTACTCTTACCTTTGAAGTTAATATGTGTTCCACAGTGGTTTGCTACTAGACAGGGTTAATAAAGTCAACCTACATAGGACGCCATCGCCATCTTGTAGACGCAGCCTTGTTCCCGGGTTTCTCTTTCTTATTTGCTCCAAAGAAGAAAAGAGGAGACTGGGGACAAGATCAGGTTAGTCAACAGGTGGACATATTAAATAAGAATCTATTGATTGTAAATATATGAAAATCATATGCGGTTGAAGAAACGAATAAGGATGTAATCCTCGCAGTTATGAACACTTCTTAAGTAGTGATGAAAATAAGGCCTGAAAAAAATTTCAGGCCTCTACGGGATTTGAGCCCATGACCTTTGCGATACCAGTGCAGCTTGGTATCGCAGAGGTACCAAGAATTTTGTTCAGGCCTTACTTTCACTACTACTTAAGTAGTGTTCAGAACTGCAATAATCTATTATTTCATTATTTTTATTAATATTCGTCGCTAAGTTTTAACGATGCGACTTTTCAGTGGGGATTAATTTTTAGTCAGCGGTTAAGCAGGTGTTTTGCCAGTACGGGGTGTAAGACTACAACATTTGCCTTCTTAGTGGCGTAATCGAAATGGCGGATCGAGACTTCGTAGAAGTAACTGATAATGGGGAGTCCCTCTCAGGTGCATCGCTGCTAGCGTCTGCCCTGAAGATTCAAGGTGTGGAATACATGTTTGGAGTTGTAGGAATACCAGTCATAGAGATAGCAGGGGCAGCGCAAGCAGAGGGAATCAAATACATTGGTATGAGAAACGAACAAGCGGTAAGTGATTGGTGAGGAACTTTTCCTTTAAGCACTACCATTGCAAGTAGTCTAACTTGTGATTAGGCGTTTCTCGTGTAGCAGCGCAAGAATCGGCGGTCGACTGTTCTGCAGTTATTCACACAATCTCCCCCCTCCCCCTCCCCCTCCCCCTCCACCCTGTTAGTCACTGTCACGCGCTCCCACTCCCACTACACGCTGTTATACACACAATTGAATAAGAATAGCGTCTATTGTGTTATGCCTCTATCTTCAAAGCCTCCCGACACATGTAAGTGAGGCAGACCAAAGTTGCGGGGTATTCTGAAGTTTAGCCCCCTCCCTTTTTTTCAAGATAGGGACGCCTGATGCAGGGTACAGTTTGTCTGATCTAAGTATAATTTGGATAACATGAGTGAACTTATCCTTACAGGCGTGTTATGCGGCATCAGCGGTTGGATATTTGACTGGACGGTAAGATATTCAGTTTGTTTTCTATCAATTACTGAATTTACCATCCAAGGATTTTACTGTGCAATATTCCATGGGCTCTTTTGAGATAGGAAAAAAAAACCTTGAGGAATAATTTATCTTAAATGCAAAATTCAGAACGACCACAAATTACCATGTATTGAGCCAAATCATAAAGCAGCTAAGTTATAATATTGCAGATTTTATACTTAAAACCCTAAAGGTGACCAATATCCAATTCCTCATTGCCATAACACTGTGGAGTGTTTCCATATGATCAAAGGATTAAAGAAATGATCACCAACCTAAGTTTTGATTATTACACAAATTCTCCTCATTAGTACCAAAGAAAATGTATAGAGAAGAGTATGGAGAATGTGGACTTGGATAGCGATGTCAGGATGTAAAGAGTTGATAGACAAGTACTATCTTACCAATGGTTAACCTTTTAACCCCTAAGAGTGAGTGGCATCTAATTTCTCCTCACCATAACACCCCTGAATCAAACATTAAGGTCAGGAGAATAAAGGAACCAATCACCAAATAAAGAAGCTCTTGATTGTTAAACAAATTCTCCTTGCCAGTACCTTAGGAAATGTATAGAAACAGTATGGAGAATATACATACTGACATCAGGGTGTAAAGGGTTAATGGTAAATGGTGGAGTGCACTGATTTTAGCTGAGGTACTCCTCTGTCCCTTATATTGGAATGAATTGAAATTTGGTGAGGAGAAATATTGGTGTTTGTGATGGGAGGAAAATCAGTTTACCTGGAGAAAAAAAAGGTGAAGTAGGTTGTTTTCAGATGACATTACATCAGCCATATAGGTTACCAAGCAATAGAATCGCAGCCTCACTGGCATTCCTAGTGGTCTGGTTGGACATGAACTCCTTTCTCATGGGCACAATTTTGTTTGGTTGAATGAGCTACATAGCTGCTCACTGCATGATTGACAACATCCCAACCAAGGATGGGAACCAAGAACGTACTCAACCCTCATGTGTCATTGGGTCATGGCTTCAAACTCTTGCTTAATCTTTTAACTCCCAAGATCTGATTGTAAATCCTCCTCTTTAGCTGTTACCAATTTCCTTGTAAATTAGTTATAAGAATTGGGTGCTAGATCAAGGTGACAACTTCTTCCTGACAAGTTTGAGTATTCCCATTACCTGTTTGCTGGATAATGTATGGATTTTATAAGCAGAAGTTACATGTTAATCACATCTTAGAGTTTAAGGGTAAAGCCGTGGAATGAGAGGATTGTCAACACTATACTGTCCCTACCCTCCATAATTGCACAGTTTGTCTGTAATTCTGTAAACCATTATAAGTATTTAAAAGTGATACTTAAGGCATTGAAACTAGGATAAAAAAAAATACCCACAAGATACAGGTTCATGTTCATTTATGATCTAACTGAATGGTTGTTTGCAGACCTGGTGTTTGTCTTGTAGTTTCTGGTCCAGGATTATTGCATGCTCTTGGAGGAATGGCAAATGCAATGAGTAACTGCTGGTAAGTTTACGCAGATTATTGTGAGATGATGTTTTTTAAACTTTGATGATTAAAGTACTCTTAAAAAACAGTTGAAAAAATGATATTTATGTGTTTCTAGAAAACAAACTACATTGATCAACAAAAGAGTAAGAATAATTCCCCAATGAGGAATCAAACCTTAGACTTTCAGATTTTTTGTCATTATGCTTGGCCACTGAACCATAAAAACAATAGCATCCATTTGGAGCCAAAATAGGCACAGGTATTTGACCACAGACATAATTTGTTCCAAGATGACCAAAGCGTAAGGAAAACTGTGAGCTACAAGGAACAATAAGGGAAATTCTTTTTTTTCTGAACATTCATTTGCTGTCACATACTTCTCTATTTGTGGTTACTACCAGGACTATATTGCTAACCTTTTGACCTGAGTGACTAGCATCTCATCTCTTGGTACGTGATTACCCCTGAATCAAAAATTAACAGCACAAGAATTAACTTAAGGAAATGATCTAAAGAAGCTCTTGGCTTTTAAACAAATTCTCCTTGTCAACATCTAAGGAAATGTGTGGAAAGCAGTATGGAGAATATGCATACTGATGTTAGGGTGTAAAGGGTATTGAATGATTGTTCTTCAGGCCTGTGTTAGTGATCGGTGGGTCAAGTGATGTTGATCAAGAAAGCATGGGTGCTTTTCAAGAATTTCCACAGGTTTGTAAGTACTCAATACTTCTCTTGTGCATTTTATTTAGGGTACAGTGGTTTGAAAAAGCATTATTTGCAATAATCACAAAAAAGAAAGAAAAAAAAACCTACTCACAAGAAGGCAACTTAACCCTTTCACTCCCAAGATCTCATTAGTAATTCTCATCACAGTCTGCTTTACAATTCTTATGATGTCGGTTTGGAGAATTTGGTGTTGGATCAACCAATAATCCACTAATGGATGTTTTCCTTTATTCTCATCACTTGACTGCTTGACATTGTGTTGATATTGTAAGGAGAAATTCTCTCTTGGTCAGTCACGGGAGTTAATTTATTCTTTTCTGCAACCTATATGAAATTTTCTTCCTATTTAAGCTTTTATGAACATCAAATAATACAGACAATTGAAATCAATATTCCTCTCTCATATGTGCTAGCTTTATATACATGCATTGTTCTTCTGGGCACTTCTCTTTTTTGTGGTAGCCATGTTATGTTAAGTAATATATTTTTTAAGAACTAGGTGTTTTCAGCATTACAAATCTACCTGCCTAGCACTTTTATAGGTTATCACACTTTCTGTTGTTTTTTTGGAATGTTTCTATTAGATGAAACTAGTACAAGTTACTTTTATTGTAACTGCTTCTTGTCATGCAGGTTAGATTGCTACTCCATTATGGTGAAACCCCTTGTATTTGATCAACTTTCTGTAGACCAGTGTTTTCAATTGCCAAGAACTCTTCACTTATGATTTTATTATCCCAGGTTGAAGCAGCAAGACCTTACAGCAAGTATTCAGCAAGACCAAGCAGTGTAGGAGTGATACCATTCTTTGTTGAAAAGGTAAAGAAGGCAGATTCATTTATTTTAGGAAGATGTGGAAAAGTCCATCTTTCTGGGTCTGTCAACTTCCTCCTAGAAAAGATACTTCAACAGCAATAGTAGAACTTTTGCTGCAATTTTGCAGTATTTTTTAATATTTTGTAGTTCAGCAGATAATTAAACTTCTCTGAAAGATTACATCAACTTTTAGAAATCAGGTAATGTTTTATTACTGATTATTTTTTGTGACTTTTTATGCTATAATTGTATTAATAGGCAGTGCGGACAAGTATGTATGGAAGACCTGGTGCATGTTATCTGGACTTACCAGGGAATATGATTACAGAGAAGGTTGCAGCCTGCAAGGCAAGGTGACTAGCAGTACACACAATGTAAAGTTGTTCAAGGCTAGTATAAGTATGCTGTAGGACAGATTGGTGGTTAAAGTTTGAACTGTTTTAATTTGTAAATCATTAAAATACTTAAGAGAAAAAAAGACTCCAAGAAAATCATTAGGCTACTGTAAGCAATTGACATGGAGTTACACAATGTACTTGAGATTCTTTTACAGGAGCTTCAGTTTGATAGCTTGATGTTCCATGAATTTAAAGAATCACATTTGGTTTCAGTCATAAAAAACTATATTTTATTTTCTTTTTTTTTAAACCAAGTAGCATTTGAGGCTTAAATTGATATTTTTATGTACATTTTGCTACTAACATTAAATTCAAACTTGGTAAATGTGGTGAATTGTACCTCAGAGGCCTAAAATCTGTAGTTTGACTTTGATTAAACAGTTTTTTCACACTCAGGAAAATTTGCTGTTCACCTCCTCCACCCAAGTGTCTAGCTGATCCATTTGCTGTTGACAAAGCTGTCCAGGTTCTCAGTGAAGCAAGAAAACCTCTAGTTATAATTGGAAAAGGTACTAGCTAAAAAAAAAAATTTCCAATTAATTTTTCTTTAATTAATGCCAAAGAAGAAATGATTTGGTTGGATCTATTGCTGGACGTAAAGAGACCAAATTTTTAAGGGAAAGAAAATATTTTAACCCTTTAACCCCTGAGAGTGACTAGCATCTAATTTCTCCCAACAGTATAACCCCTGTATCACACAGTAAAGTCATGAGAATAAAGGAAATGATCACCAACTAAAATGTTCTCTTGATTGTTAACCAAATTCTCCTTGTCAGCATCTTAGGAAATGTATAGAAAACAGTATGGAGAATATACATACTGATGTTAAGGTGTAAAAGGTGAAATTTAAAGTTCCAGTTACCCATTTTAACCCTTTACACCCAAACATCAGTATGTCTATTCTCCATACTGTTCTTCATACATTTCTTAAGGAGTTTACAAGGAGAATTTGTTGAACAATCAAGAGCTTATTTAGTTGGTGATCATGTCTTCTATTCTCATGACCTTAATGTTTGATTCAGAAGTGATATTGTAAGGAGAAATTAGATGCTAATCACTCTTAGGGGTTAAAGGGTTAAGAGCTGTCTGCTGTGTTCATTGTACCTGGTGTAAAAGAGTGACAAAAAATGCCACACTTCTTACAAACTGGTAGCTTTTTCTTCAGATAAGTGTCTAATCATATGGACTTAGGAGAGCTGGGTATGCAAGAGTCAGGAATTATTATATCCAAATATCATTTGTTAGCTGCATTTTGTTCTAAACCTCTCTAACTCTATAGAGTGATTAGCATCTAATTTCTCCATACAATATTACCCTTGAATCAAACAGTAAATTCACAAGAATAAATGAAATGATCACCAACCTAAGAAGCTCTTGATTGTTAACCAAATTCTCCTTGTCAGCACCTTAGGAAATGTATAGAGAACAGTATGGAGAATATACATACTGAAATTAGGGTGTAAAGGGTTTATTACACAATCTACAACAGTCTGACCTCTTCAATTGTATAGTCAGTATTCATATTGGATATTCAATTTCCTTTTGCAGGTGCTGCATACGCATGTGCTGAGAAACCTCTCCAGGAATTTGTAGAGAGATGCAAGTTGCCATTTCTCCCCACCCCCATGGGGAAGGGAGTGATTTCTGATGAACATCCCCTCTGTGTAGCTGCAGCCAGATCAAGGTAAGTACCACTAGTTATTCTTTATAAGTATCATGAAATACAAGCTATTACTATACAGTTATGATAAATATAAACTAGGGAGATGTTGCACATTTTTCCCAAGGAAAAAAGGCAAGTTTCCTTTCTGATACAAACTTCAGGAATTTCTACAATGGGGAATTTTTCTGCAAGCAACAAACTTACTGCTCACTCATTCAGTTATTATTGATATCTCAGTAATGGCTAAAAGCATTAGGTATGATTCTTCTAGTGATTAAAGGGATGCAGGCATTCTGATTGGTTGAGGATTGCATCATATCTTGCTTTATTCATGTCCTTAAGTAATTACAGAAAACCCTTTGGAAAACAATTCCATGTTTAATCAGCCAAAACAACCTCAACACAGTGACACAGCTTATAATAAAACCTGGTAAAAAGTCCTCAAAAATACAGCTCTCAAAAACTAAATGCACACACACAATAATTGCATGTGTCACTTTGCTTATGAGCTTACAAATTGAAAATGTTTCTGAGCCTGCGTGCATGCATGCTGATCACACACCATGCTAGTTCAGTTACTGTCTTCCTAACAAGTCATCTCATGTTTTGTCATTGTCATGGAGGAAAGGATGAATGCAATAGAAGATAAGTTAAGTCCATAGAGCACAAAACTAACCATACACATACAACCAGGCTTGAGGTCACACATTTGCAGATTGAATTAGATAAACCTGATTGAATTAGATAAACCTGTTAAATTCTAATGGAGACTGGCTACTTATCTCAATTTGATAAAAGTGAACAAAACGATAAAAACAGAATGGTGCTAACAACACAATGAATTTACAACAGAATTGGGAAGCACCTGTCTGAGCAATTACACTGAAACAACTGTTTGCCTCTGACTTAGTGAACATTGTTGAATAATCTCCTCAACTTCATCGCTAGGACTATTCAACAATATTCACTTTGTCTTTGGCCAATAATTGTTAATTGTTCTAGCCACATTAATATTCCTTATGCTCATATATACTTTTGTCCTCAGAGCCTTATCTCAAGCTGATGTGATCTTTCTGTTTGGTGCAAGATTGAACTGGATTCTTCATTTTGGGAAACCACCAAGATTTAGGCCTGATGTTAAAATAATACAGGTATATAATTCAAATAAGCTGTCAGTAAATACTTATCCATACATTTTCTAGCAAACAGGTAATGGTAATACTCAAACTTATCAGGTAGACATTTACTTGATGTAACACCAAGTTCTCATGACTTATGTACAAGGAAATGTGCAGCAGCTAGAGGCAAGAATTAACAATCAGATCTTGGGAGTTAAAGGGTTGAAATATACCCTTATCTTAATTTGCATGAGCCATCTTAATTTAATTAGTGTTGCTCCACATGGATTTTGAAATCTTATGTAACCATTTAAATACAACTGTCCTAGTTAAAATTAAGGAATACAATTATACCATTCAGTGACTTTCTCGTTTAGCGTGGATTGTTGCTCAACTTTTGTTTTTCTCTAGATTGATCTCCATGCAGAGGAAATGAATAACAATGTACGTGCAGAGGTTGTGCTTTTGGGAGATTTAAATAGAGTAGCAGAACAGGTACACCTGTATGATTAGCTTGTAGCTCCTCAAAAAGTCTTTGTCTCTAATATGTATTGGTAGGTACAGCTTTAGATGTGTGGCTTAAACTTTTCAAAGTTGTCTCTTGGCCTCCTTAAAAGGCCTGTAAGCCTCAAGAGTGACTAGCATCCAATTTCTCCTTACATTATCACCCCTGAAACAAACATTGAGGTGACAAGAATATAGGAAATGATCATGAACCAAAAAAACTCTTCATTGTTAATCCAATCTTCCTTGTTAGCACCTTGGGAAATATAAAAAGAACAGTATGGAGATTATACAAACTGATGTTTTGGTGTAAAATATTCATTTTAGCTATCCCTAACCTCTTGTTTTCCATTTTGGTTTATTCCTTCTTCTTTGCTGTACCTACACATTCAAAAACTCTAGTTGTCTCTAGGTGTCATACTATTTAAGGGCTAAGAAAAAGGTCTGGGCTTGAGTCAAGTAGCCCACATGGCATCAAAACTTATCCCAGTCTCCAATGCACAAAAAGACAAGGAGTTTTGGTACTTCTCCTTGGATGGGATGCTTTTTGATTGTTGATTACCCCTCAGCATTTTTTTTAGGTTTCTAAATGTTGGCTGCTATCCATTTATATTCCTGGGTGAAGAGAGGCATTGTGTGGCTAAATTATCTTGCCAAGATCACAATGCAATGAGTAGACCAGGTCTTGCACCTCTGGACACAGATTCAGGTGTACCAATGGTCAGGCCATGGCACCTCCAATAAGATTGAAAAATGCTGTTATATAGCACCTTAACCTTTTTTCTCCCATGAGTGACCAAGACAGAATTTCTCCTTACAATATCAATACAATATCAACTAGATAAGTGATGAGAATAAAGAAAAATATCAATTTGGGAATAATTAGTTGATCCAATACTAAATTCTCTGAACTAACATTATAAGAATTGTATGGTTGACAGTGAGGAGAATAACAAATTTGATCTGGGAATTAAAGGGTTAAAACCTCTTTTGTTTTGTTTTAGTTTGATCAATAAGAACTACAACTCTCAGTGAGGTCTGATAAAGCCTCTATTTTAAAACCTGATAAACTTTTTGTCCATTCTTAAATTGTGTCTGATAAAGTGCCTTAGTGAACCCACAAGTTCCACTATTTGAGAATTCAAGGCAAGTTATTTTTGTTTGTAGCTGGGAGAAGCAGTAAAGAGGAAATTTGGAGAAGATCTAGCAAATCCATGTGGTTCCCCCAGCTGGAGAAAAGAACTCAAGGAAAAGTCAGAAACTAACAAACAAGTCAATGAGGTATAGGTATTGTTTTTGTTTAATTTTTTCTACTTTGAGTTCAAAGTCGCTCTTTTAAGTATTGGTTTTACAGCACTTTATCAAATTTTGCTCATAGTATGAATTTATATTTCAACAGGAACTTGCCAACGAGACTTCTGTTCCAATGAATTACTACCAAGTTTATGGTCAGGTAAGTGGAATATTCATATTTTTAAAATCATCGTGCAAGCGTGGTGGTCCATATCGCCAAATATGATCTCAGCTTCCCTGGCATAAGGTGACCAGAAGTATTCCTTCTGCTCTTAGCTGAGATTTCTACAAAATTGCCAGGTTTTCCCTATAAATACTTCTAGGCCCTTAGAAGCAATGAGTTTCCCAGGACTTTAACCCAGACCTCTAGAAACGGATTCTAGCTCACTAGCCATGAAACTGAACATTTCATTTACCTTCCTGTCCATATGGACTGTTACATGTAATTTAATGAGTACTGGTACTCTTACAAATAGTCCTAGTGGCCTTATATGGTCTTACATTCTTCACAAGAGGCATGGTTACATAGCTTGGGGTGGGGAGTGAACAAGTTTGAAGCACAGGAATATACTTTTCCTGGAAAACAGAAGGTAAGGGATTTCGCTGAATTGAAACTGGCACTTTTCTTCATTTTCTAGCTCACAAGGCGTTTACCGCGTGACTGTGTTGTAGTTAATGAAGGAGCAAACACAATGGACATTGGACGAACCATGATACCCAATCACCTCCCTCGAAACAGGTATGATGTAATTTCGTTCATTTTTTTTATTTTCAAAATCTGTCGTAAATCTGTTTTAACTTAGTAGTTACTCAGAGACTTGATTACTTTTCATGAACAGTCTTCACAAGACACTATTAGACCAATACCATTGGAACCTAACCTTTTAAACCCTAAGATTGAACAGCATCTAGTTTCTCCTTACAATAATACTGCTAATTCATTCATTTGAGATCATCGGAATATAGGAAATGATCACCAACTAAAGAAGCTCTTGATTGTTGAACAAATTCTCCTTGTCAGCACCTTAAGAAATGTATTAGATAACAGTATGGAGAATGTGCATACTGATGTTAGGGTGAACAGGGTTAAACCAAAGTGAATACAACGGCCAATCGAAACAAGAGACAAATTAATTTCAAAGTAAAAACAAGTGAACCACGGGAAAACTTACGTGGCCGAGTCGCCTTTGGTTTTAGTTTTGAATCTGATTGGTCGAGAAAGTGGCGTGAGTTTTCTGAACCAATCACATAGCGACGTAAAGCAAAACCAAAGCAGTCCTGGATTACTGTTGACACTAGATTGAAAATTGCTCTATCAAGAGTAAAATGCGCCAGGCTACCGCATCATCTAATGTGAATTTCAAACCCGCACATAAAGAAATCGAATCCTAAGGAGAGAAATTCCAACTCAGACGAGTTTTTGTGCACAAACTATTGTTATGTTAAATTACATCGATTGACTTCCACAGCTTAAACTTTGTAAATATTTCCTTGCGTTTCATCCCAGGCTAGATGCGGGCACGTTTGGTACAATGGGAGTGGGAACTGGTTTTGCCATCGCTGCTGCTCTGTTAGCTGAGTCCGAAGCTGATGACAAAAATCCCCCCAGGAGGGTGGTGTGCGTCCAAGGCGACAGTGCTTTTGGTTTCTCAGGAATGGAGCTTGAAACTGCATGCAGGTATCATACAGCAATAAACATTTAAAGATCAGCATCTGTTGTCTTCTTGTAATATCAATACACTGTTTAGCGTGCAGGTGTTAAGAATTTGAAAAAAACCAACAAACAATGGATTTACTTAAGTGGACACTTACACTGAGGTGAATAGTTGTTTTAGTATGAAAATAAAAAAAATGAGATGATATATCACAAAAAGATGATTTTAACTCATTTATTCTCGCAACGATTACAATATTTCCGGGCGCAAATCCCGTGCGAGTTGCCCGGAGGTGAATAGCATAGCGCCTTCAACGTTATCCACTGATTTACTTTGTACTTAATAAAGATGTTCCACAAAATTCTGACGACTAACACCGAAAAAAGTCTACAGCAGTTTTGAAGGAGAAGTACTATTTAAGCTGAGCGTCAAGAGATCTTTTAGTTGTGGTCGAGTTTTTTGTTGTTGTTGTAAATTTCACAGTTTTTCTGTCACCCCAGATACAATCTGCCAATCGTCTTCATCATAGTAAACAACAATGGTATCTACAACGGAGTGGACGAGGAGAGCTGGGACGAGTTGGGAGTCAATCCTGCAAAAAGGTAAAGTTACATGGAACAAGTGACTGTGAACCGTCGGCGGTAAAAAAAAGAAGTTACGAATGTCATTATAATGTGATTATGTTTTTCCATTTTCTTATTGCCTGTTGCAAGTCCTTCAATTGTCTCTTGTAAGGGGGTGTACAACTGAATATCAAATGTTACTGGAATTGCTATCAGCGGTATGGCCCCTGGCATCCTTATGGCGATGCTTGCGAGACTCAAAATCAAACTTAAGAGTCGCCTTATTCTTTGAATTTATACCAAATTAGCTAGCGACCTTAGTGGCGAGTTTACTAGTGGTGACCTGGTGGTGGCGTGATTGCCTTGGTGGCGAGCTCACCGGAGGCGAGTCTTCTTTGTGGCGGGATGACTGTAAACCCCCGTTATTTCGAGTTATTTAAGTCTTGTGATGATATGCCGTGGGAGTTCCCATGGTTTTGGATAAGCAATTCTCATCTTAAAGTGCTTTTCGATCACATGTCGTTAAATCAAACCAAAGAAAGCACAAACAGCCAATCAGAATTAAGGAAATATACGAAAGAGCCAATGAAAACTCAAAGTAAAGAAGCAAACTGCCGGTAGCGCGGGAAAACGCGAGTGATCAATTCGCGATCGGTTCTATTTTTGGATCTGATTGGTTGAGAAAGTGGCGCGAGTTTTCTGAACCAATCACACAGCGAAGTAAAGCAAAACTAAGCCAGTCACGGATTACTTCAACTCTCAATTCCAACTTGTTCTCCACGTTGTGTGATAGGTAAAGAAAGATTATGTATGATAAATAAAAGATTTGTTTGTTTGTCAACATCTCTCTCTAGTGCGCCTCCAACAGCTCTTTTACCCAAGGCACGGTATGAGAGAATTATCGAAGCATTTGGAGGAAAAGGTTTCTTCGCAGAGACTCCGGATGAACTGAAGAAAGCGTTGGAAAGCGCTTTCGTCGAGACGGGAAAGAATAAGAAACCAGTGTTGATCAACGTCATGATAAGCCCCTATGCCGACCGCAAACCGCAGGTAAAGTAGTCAGAAAATGCTCAGATTGAGCACCCTTATGGTTTTGGGGATGTTGAAAAATCTTCCAAGTTCTTCATTTACAATCGGTGTCAATTTTAACCACTCTTAGCCCTTAAACTCCCATGAGTGACCAAGACAGAATTTCTCCTTACAATATCGATACAATATCAACCAGATAAGTGATGATAATAAAGAAAACTATCAATTGGGTAAATTATTTAATCCAATACCAAAATCTCAGAACTAACCTCATAACATATTTATTTCTTAAAAATGTGTCGTTATGTCATAATTCAGCGCCAAATCAATTTGGCTGGGGAACGGAGGGACAGTGGGTCGTGGTTACAAAATCTAACTATATTTGTTTACTTTATTCTCGATACTGAAGTGGACATATTTGGCGAGAGCAAGGAGGAGAGATTTCTAAAACCCTTAGCGTCTAGGAGGCTAACTAATGTTATGTTCTGCATTTGCTTTACAGGAGTTTTTCTGGCTCACTCGTTCAAAGATGTGAATTTTATTGCCATGGGAATCACCGCCAGATGAAAGGAGATGAGATCGAACCCACGAGGATAAGAGATCAGAACGTGCTTCACTCAATCATGATCTTTCCTTCGAATTGGTAGCCTGCTAAGAGAAATGGAAAATCACAAATAACAAAATCACAAAAGACGGAATCAAGACGCGTTGATTAACTCTAATACTTTTGCTCTTAAGCTGTATTGACCTCTAGATTCTCCTCAACGGCTGCTCAATACATGCCCGCTCCCGTCTTCTCAGTCTACTGTGCAGGATCAAGGCAAGTCTTAGATAGCCTTCCCGACAGCTTTACACAGTGTAGTAAAAGAAGAATCGAGCTCAAACGAAGGCCCTGGAGATGGGCAATGCTGTGGGGACTTAGACCTTGCCTTTTTGGGGTGGGGAAATGAACCTGAACTCTCAAAACTTCCTAGTGGAATAAACGTGTTTTATCATTTAATATGAACGTGTTTAATGGTTGATAATTTACATGAAAAAATCACATGCTTCTGATTGGCTGAAAGAGAGTGCATTTTTCATGTAACACGAGTAGAGATTACAAATATTCTGCTTAAGACAGATACCTAGGGGAAACAGACGCTGGGCACAGCAACATGCATTGTTACTTGAGTAACATTTTGAAGAATTGTGTAAATTAAAACGTAGATTGAAGTTAAACACATGTTGGAATTTTTGCTTTATAAATAGAGTTGCCCTAGCAGGCGAATTGTTGGAAAGCGAGTTGTAGCCTGTTGGTCTTAACCTTTTAACCCCTAAGAGTGATCAGCATGAAATTTCTCCCTACATTATCAGCCCAGAATCATACATTAAGGTCATGAGAATAAAGGAAATGATCGCCAACTAAAGAAGCTCTTGATTGTTAAACAAATTCTCCTTGTCTGCACCTTAGGAAATGTATAGAGAACAGTGTGGAGAATATGCATACTGATGTTAGTGTGTAAAGGGTTAAAGCTGGAGCGAAATTATCAGAGATTGGTGATACACTGCGACTTGTAATTTGTCTTGGAAACTCGTACCATCCGTTGAACTTGTAAGTGTCAAATTTAAAACAATTGCGACTGCGTTTTCCTAGCCTGCGAGTTGGCAATCATTATTTCCAATGCAGAACGCGCGTTTCGCCGCCCGCGATTGGAGACGAGTCGGGGAGAGATTTGCCAGGGGTCTGGCACTTATTATACACTCATAAGATAAATATAAATATATATATCGAATCACCATCTTGAAAAGTAACATACGTAGAAAAGAGAGTGAATCATCGGTGAAATGCGCTAAGTTAGGCATGTGGGAACTGTCCCTGAGAGGTGAAGTTCAAGCCGCCACTCCCCCCCCCCCCATCAATACGTCAGAAAATTAATTGAAAGTCCCCCTCCCCTCCCCCCTCCCCATACTACCACACCCCAAGAAAGTTTAGTTTCGAGTGCCGCGTCAGTTTAACTCGCTTCTTACTTTGTGACATTAGACATACTTTCACTTAGGAAATGATTTACAAGAGCAAGATATGTTACGAGCCTCAATTCTTTTCCCTTTCCAACCCAAGTCGTTCTATATGAGGCCGCAGTACGTTCCGCTGAACACGTGTCTCTCCTTTGTTTTGGCTTATCGTCGATAGTTATTCCCCTTTCAAAAACTTTCATCAGTCGATCTTTGAAAATCGGAAGAAGAGTCTGCCAGAAAGGATTATCCACACTAAAAGACATGTCTGACGGAGAATCTTGGAGTCGTGAAGTTCACGGAAAACTTAACGATCTCTTGACTTCGTTTGAAAAACGCGAGAGTGAGCTGACGAGATTGAGCGAGCAACTCGCAAGAGATCGTGCTGAATTTGAACAAGAAATGAAGGCTAGGCGAGAAAGCGAGGAAATGGCAATTCAAGAGCAATACAAAGATCTTGACGAGACCAGGCAACGGATTGAAAAAGAGAAGAAAAGTATGGAAGAAGTGCATGAATTCCAATCATCACCTGTTCATCTCAACATAGGAGGGCATCGTTTCACGACTTCCCTTCAGACTCTGAGGCGAGACAAAGACTCAATGCTAGCTACCATGTTTTCAGGGAGGCACAAACTTTTACAAGAACCAGATGGAAGTTATTTCGTGGACAGAGATGGCACCCATTTCAGGCACATTTTAAATTATCTCCGTGATGGGTTTAGACCTGATTTGCTTCCACAGGATGAAATATTACTGAGGGAAATCATAAACGAGGCGCACTATTATCAACTCAGTGATCTAGTAGCTAGCGTGGAGAATATCTTGGATCCGCCACCACCGGCGCCAGACTTCACCCAGGATGAAATTAATGACATGCTGGCGACCTTGACGAGACAGGCCTCCACAAGCGCTCGTCCTTCATCACCAAGTCAGCAGATGCCCAAACCAGATGCAGCAGTAGGCTCCTCCAGATTTAAAAATGCAGACTTTGTCTCCCACAACATGACCAAAAATAATATAGATTTCAGTGGTAAAAACCTTTCAGGTCTTTCCTTTGCACATACAACATTTGCACATAACGTTTCATTTGCAGAGGCTTGTCTGGTAAACACAAGTTTCTATGGTTGTGAGTTTTCTAGTCATGTAGTGGTTGATTTCACGAATGCTGACATCTCAGGTGCAGATTTCCGACAGTGTCGGTGTATACAAAGTGGCCCAAATGCATTCAGTAGTCTTGGGGGTGTCCCAGCAGGTACTGGTGGTTTCATGTTTGGCTCCAGCTGTTCAAGTTTCACGCAGCTGATAAAGACAGGTCATGTCAAGTTTACTGGTTCACGGCACATTGGTACCAAATTTGATCCACACATTTTTGATTTCATTAGTTTTTGATGCAGAGGAGTTTTACTTTTAACTACCATATTTCCTTGAACAAGCACCCACCCTCTTGGTTATAATGTTAAGCAAGCACCCCTCTGGAATAAATACCCCCCTCCCCCTCCTTCCTCACTTTCTTAATGGTTGGGATACAAGCTATTTCTATCTCCTTGTGCTCACTGAGTTCCTGAGTTTGTCCTTTTGCTGTACAAACTAAAAAAGGGCCCCCCTTTGATTAAGTGCCTGCCTTTTGATGAGTGCCCCCCTCCCCTTTAGAGGAAATATGGTACTTTTCATATGAGGAAATATGGTCCTTTTTTTGTCTATTTAAATTATTGGTTCATGCTCCAGTAGCACTAAATAAACTGTTGCACTGAAATTGTGTGAAAAACATCTTTAGAGACTTGTCATGCAGTGCTAGATTCTCATTTCAATTATCTTGCTTTTCCTTGCGAAACACAGCAAACCCCAATCTTTTATTTGACACAAATGTCTTTGAATTTAATTGTAAAATGACAAAACTTAAAAAAATTGCAATAAAATATACATTTAGAGTTCAATTGATTTATTGTGATGAAAACAGTTACTGTTATCTAGTTCACCCTTTGCCTCCCAGCAGTGATTAAAGTGTTTCTTCTCCTCACAATTTTCATATGTTATTCAGCAAGTAGGTGGTGGGAATAGACAGACTCAAGTAGTGAGTATTGTCTTGATATTAAACCAATTTCTCTTTACTGATGTACATAGAAATGCATGTCACCTAACAAAGAGAATTGCTAATCAGGGAAATTGTGACAACAGAGTTTCAGTGCCCTCCTTAGATCCTTAACCCTTTAACTCCCAGAACTGATTAACATGAAACTTCTCCCTATAATATCTATATATATTTTTCAGCAAACAGGCCCCAGTTGTTTGAAGATTGGATAACTGGTGAATAATGCCATACATTTTGCTATTACTTATTCCCTGGATGGCAATTTATCCATTTAATAGTGTTATCCACCCTTTAACCTTTTTAACTCCCAGATCAAATTTGTAATTCTCCTTATTGTCAACCATACAATCCTTACAATATTAGTTCAGGGAATTTACCATTGGATCAACTAATTGTCCCCAAATTGACATTTTTCTTTATTCTCATCACTTACCTGGTTGTTATTGTAAGGAGAAAGTCTGTTTTGGTCACTCATGGAGTTTAAGGGTTATACAACTGGGCCCAGGTAATGAGAGGATTCAAATTTATCAGGTAGAAGCTGCTGTCTTGATCCAGCACCAAGTTCTCGTAACTAATTAACATGGAAACATATGGCAGCTGGGGGGAAGAATTAACAATCAGATCTTGGGAGTTAAAGGGTTAACTTTCCATGACCAAAGTAAAGCAAGTCTGCCTGAGCCAATCATTATATTTCTAAGAAAAATACTAAACAAAATGTTAAGAAACTTTCTCCTCAGTCATTTCAAAAAAGGCCCATGTGTTTGAAATTTTAACTGTACACACAACATTAGTTCTTAAAGCTAATCCTGAGCATCACAAAATACCAGCCCAAGGGGATCTGAGTTATTTCTGCCCCATTCACTGAAAATCTCTTGCCCTTCATATTATCCCTTAGGACTGACTGGCAACTAATTTCTCCTTAAAATATCACCCTTGAATCAACTACAAAGGCCATGAGAATATAGGAAATGATCACAAATCTAAGAAGCTCATGATTTCTTGAAAAATTCTCCTTATCAATGACATAGAAATTTTAAACAAAACAGTATGGAGAATATCAATACTGACGTTTGTGTATTAAAGGGGTTAATATACCATTTAATTTTTATTTTTTAAAGATAATCTCTATCTGTTACATAAACCAGAGTGCTGCAGAGTATTACTCTGAGCATAATGATGGTCTTTAAAGTGGTAAAATTTTTATCTCCAAGTAGATGGAACCGGGTGGAAATCAATTTATTTCATGCTTATGTCTGGTGTATGGAAAATTCTTGTTAAATATCTCATTTAAAGACGTGAAAGCCTTACACAGATACCTACGTATGAACTCGTTTCGCATGCGATAAGTGAATGACTTTCGACCCTAATTTAAACTTTTCTTGCTAATTTTCTTCGTCTCACGTAAAAGCGAAAATTAAAAGAAATATTCGTCCTTGAAGGGACTCGAACCCTCAATCTTTGGCTACTTCCTACATACCCGGAGGCCAACGCCTTATCCATTAGGCCACAAGGACACAATGGTATAATTCGCTCGAAATTTACGTATTTAAAAATAAAATTGTTTTTATTTGGTACTCAAAGCTTCATTAGTGGGAAAATTCTTGCGGGTGAGGTATTTCTAAAGTTCTAAATATTTTCCTTACAAGTACATGAAAATATAAAGGATTAATAACCCGTAAGAACCTGCTTAACGTTTTTCTGTCCCAGACCCCACGCATCAAACGATTTGGTGAGCATTGTGGGTAGTATACAAAATGGCGGTAGTTTTGAGTAGAAATGACCTAAGAGTTTACCTTTGATTCTTGCCAAATTGCCAAGCAATATGCGTTTTCGAGCAAGGATGGTAGACATCAATTCCATACAGCATTTCACACGTAAGTCATAAATTACATCATAATTCGTTTTCTTCAGCAAAGCGAAATAGAAAGCTGCATCGTATGACAGAGATTGCAGAATGGATGCAGTATAGTGCTTTGTTGAATTGAAGGGTGGTACTATCTTAAATCGGTTTGTTTGCCCATTGTGAGGATGAATCTCGCTAATGTTATAGAGAACAGTCCCTCCATCTCAGAGCCACTCTCAAACGATCAGCTGACTATACGATCACATTTTTTCAGCCTTGTTACACTTAAAGTATTGACACTTTCTCGCACCTTTTGTAAAACTTACGTACTTCTTTCTTTAAAATGTGCTTACAAGTCAAGAAAACGTTTATTAAATGTCTTTCCATATTATTTCATGTTGACAATGTAGGTGTCTTAGGCACGGTATCTCATATGGCCAAGACGTGTGCCTTGCGAATGACCCCGACAAAACTTTATTTTATACTGGCTGACAATGCTGCTCTTGGGGGAGTGTCCATTTGGTGTGAATTGATACAGGTCTGTTAAATCTGATGATAATATTGTGATATAGTAAGGAGAAATGACTGATTAGTCAATTCTGGGTTTGAAAATTCTAATTAGATTCATGGCTTAGAGGCCTTGGCATCACACTCCCACTCAGGACCCAGTTTTTTGAAGGCTGATTAGCACTAACCTAGGGTTAAATTTGAATCCAGGCTGCTTTATTTCTTTTTTCCAAAGCCTTTTAGGGAAAATTTTCCCTAGTCTTTTTAGAACATCTAGTGACTAAATTGCAAGCACAAGATTTGAACTGAATTTATTTTAAAGCTTTCAGACCTGGAATCAAATTCCACTCTAACCCTGGGTTATCTTGACCCAGCTTTGAACATTTCCCATCAGTACCCCTCCTGGGTAGGATTTCATTGTCCTTGTGCAATGTACCCACCCACTCCACCCAAGTAATTTACAAAGTGCCAACCCCAGCATAATGTTCTCTGGTGGTAATTACCTACTTGAAAACAATTTCTGTGAAACTGGATCCTTAAGATATATAGTTGTCTGCTTTAGTCATTACAACATGCATTGATTTCTTTATTTCAGAGCAACTTTTTTGAGGAGTATCGCATTGAAGGAAAGGATGAAAGCAACAATATTTACCTTGAATTGATACCAGAAAACTTGATGCGAGCCATGAAATCAGCCAGCAGTGCACAAGCCGTCAAAATAAAACTTACTAAAAAACACGCACCATGTTTAACTTTTGAGATTACATTGGTAAGTGAAGCTGCTTTGATAGTATTGTATGAAAACTGAAATAGTTTGAACTGTTTTTAATGCAGAAATTTCTTACCATTTCATTTCCAGGAATTGCCAAAAATGAATTTTCCTTCCCTTTTTACAATGTCAATATATTTCAAAAAATGTATTGTACCACAGTCGGTAGTAATGACACAATCTGATTGGCCAGTTGCCACTGTCAATAGGCAACTGTGCAGACAATGCTGCTCGTGTCAAGGTTTCATGCAATGCCTTTATCAGCTCTCAAACATGGATGACTTGGAAATTTTGACATTGATATGGTGATAAAAAATCATGTGATGATCATTATCGTTGGTTTAGCACCAGACCTCATTTTAAAAAAGAGGCCAAAAGTAATTCAGAAATGGCTTATTGATATTATGGTAGATTGAGTTCTTAACTTGTGCCTGAAATTCTTTGGGCAGCCGTCCCTCACCAGTCACACAAGAAGTGTAGTGCATGATGTACCAGTAGGAGTCATACCTGAGAGAGACTGGGAGGATTATAAGGAACCTGCTATGCCTGAATTTGATGTAAGTGCTGTTTCAATCCTAACTTCCTTGCCCTTTTTAAGACTTTTTGTGGTAGGTTATCTACTGGGGTAGAATCATTGGCTTCATTGTCAGCTGAAAAGGCAAGGTTAAGTCTGTACTTGAGCTTAATGGCCCAATTAGCAGCATCAACAGCTTATCCCAGTTTCCTAGATGCAAAGTGATTAGGAGTATTACTACTTCCCCCTGGATGGGATGCCAGTCCATCACAAGATAACCTCCCAGTATTTCTTCAGGCTTCCCTGACAGTTCGTCGCTACCCATTCATACCCTCGGGTCGAGAGAGACACCATGAGAGTGACGTGTTTTACCCAAGAACATAAAACATTGACCCTGCCAAGTCTTGAACCCAGACCTCTCGACCTGGGGCCCAGTACACTGACCAATGGTCCTTAGCATCTCTCCAGACTCTGAGTTGGTCACTGTTTCATGTTCCTGGGCAAAGCGGTTTCCTATCACAATGTCCCGATCCACCCAGGGCAAAATGACAAGCCTTTACAGTACCTCTTTACATGCAAAAAGTAATGAAGCCTGCAGAACAGGCCTTATTTTATGAAAGCAAGTGCTTAGTATTTTCTCAGTGAAAACTAAAGCTGCCATCTTTGATTTTTATAGTAGAGGAAGGCTGGGGCAAGAAAGAAATTTGTACCAAGGGGGCTCTGGCAGTTTGCACCACATCCCCCACAAGACTTAAGCAACCTTCAAAGTATGATCATAATAGTTTATATATAAATGTGATAATAAAGAGAATGCATGGTGAATGGCTGATGTATTTTTCTTTGTTTTTCACAGGTGAGCATCTACATGCCATCCCTCACAGTTGTTAAGAACGTAATTGAACGAATGAAGAACCTCAGCAATTTTTTGGTAAATTTGATTTTATACTTTTCAAGTAATTGCACTATTTATGTTTTAAATTCTTGATTTAAAAAACCTTCAAGGTTTTCTTGTCATAGATAAAAGGGACACCTGATTGAGGTCTTGAGTTGCTGTTTTTCTTGTTCATCCAAACTTTTGCCAATGTACGTCATTGTAAGGGAATTACTTTCGACGCTCACTTAAAAATAGTTCTATTTAATAAGTCCATTAATTTTTGTACTTGTTTTTGTTAGATTCTTGCAGCTAATCAAAATGGTTACATGACTCTCGGAATCGACACGGACTTAGCATCTGTCACAACACATTTCAAGAATTTGGACACACCTACGTGGGGTCAATAATTTTTTTTTTTACCGATTGAGTAGGATATTTTGCTCAGTTATCAAATAAAGAGAGTTGTTGACTCAAAACAGTGGTCAAACGTTTGCCCATGTGCAAACGCGTTAATGGCGAGGGCATGACGAGATAAACCGGTGAGGTGGCGTATTTGCAGGGTTTCAAAACCAAGTTGTCTTGTAAGAGGTATAGACATACACACAAACCAGTGAGTCATGGTGTTTTAAATGGAGGAATTGTGGGTTGTGTGTGTATTTATTCGCTCTGACGAAGGGCTAACGCTCGAAAGGTCAGCTTTGAAAGTCTTTATGGTGGCCAATTTATGATACCAACTCAGATGATAATACTAAATTACCCTGTTATACTCTCCCACCGACCCAACACTACATTTTCTTTAGAAGCTTATCCCCTTTATCCTACCAAGAAACCCTGCTCTACCTCCTCCCTTGGACACTTTCCTGTTATATCTGTTTTACTACCCTTGTGTACCACAAACTGCACCTTGTAAACTTCAGTTTTTCAAACATTTACAGGTGACACATCGTCTCAACAGCGGAACCGGGATCCTGACAAGATGGCAGAGGCAAGGGTTGATGTTAAGAAACTCGCCACCTTTCTACACAGTCAGCAAGTTAGTCCAAATCGCGTCATCTGCAGTAAGTAAAGATCTTTTTCGAGCGTTTTTTGCGTGATCTTCGTAAACCATACCCACAACATAACCACACATACCCACACATAACCACAGCGGCTAGTCAGAAGGAAGGGAAATATCTGGTGTCCATGTGAACTCGAAGTTAAAACATGTAACCTGGGCCTCATTGCCAGAAAATGCGAGTGACCTGGACCTAGTTGTTCAAGTTTATTATGATTGTTTCTAAAGCCAAATAGCTTGCAAGAAGGCCCTCACTATACAAGATGCGCGTTTCTCCACCTGCGGGGAGATTTGAGACGAGTTGAGGAGAGGTTTGCCAGGGGTCTGGCGCTAATTATCAGCGCTAGACCCCTTGCAGACCTTTCGTGGGCTCGTGTTGCTCCAAGCCTCGTACGTTCTCGCTGGTGAAGAAACACTCGTGCCTAAGCGTTGATAATAATGGGCTATTACAAGAGCTTGCTTGCAGCTAACGGCCAGTTGAAAACCTCTCTTCAAATCAATCTTCCTCAGCTAGGGCAAAATCATCTTGCTGCTGAAAGGGTGTTGTTCCGTTGTGTTGTTTTTTTAGTGGTTTACTTGCTTCCCTTGAAAGTAGCACAGTACTATGACCTCACATTGTGTAAAACGCTGCTGCAGCTTTGTAAATCTAAACCACAAAATGCCAAAATGTCTGATTTCAAGTTCGACCAATTTAAAATTTCAATCTTATCTTTTTTAATAGTTTCATGTCAGATTGTTGTACTAGCACTGGTTGCTTCTGAGTTGTTCTCTTCTTCATCGGACTTGATGCAGGGGGGGGGGGGCAACTTCAGTCAATTTTTACTGTTTATGTGCCGCTGGCCTCTCAGAACCCCTACCCATTATACTCTATTCTTTAGTCAATTAAAGACTCCATCTTGATAACATTTGCGAATATGGTTCAACTTCTTAACCGCCAATCTTCACATTTTTTTGATCCCTACCTGCCAGAATTTTCTAGCCCTCAAAGTGTCGAAATTCTATGACCTTATTGTAGAAACCATATTGAAAATGCAACCCCATTATGGTCAATTCAGTCGTGAAAATGCCACCCAATTCAGTGGCACATCCCCATCACCCTATTACGAGGAATTACTCCCCCCGGGGGGCGCGTCTCCTGTCAGATAGCGGTTATAATATTTGCTTTGTTTACTTTTCCACATCAGATATTGTGCATGGGAAGGCGGTCCAGTTTCTTCTACTTCACGAGGATCTTTCTCTTCAGTATGTTATTCCAGCGGTTTCTCTCTGATACTCGAACGAAATGTCGCGGTTCGTACTTCGCGGTTCGTACTTCATGGCATGACAAGGCGCTCAGATCTCACTGAGGCATCTGGCACTGGACATGACCTTTATTCGTTTGAAAAGAGTTCATAAAACAACCAGTTAGAATTGTTTGGTTATTGCATTTGCCAGAACACACCACATGGAGCGTTACATTTGTTTTAGGCGTTTAACTTTCGCTTTCTCTACGCTCAGCAGTGTTGCATGTATTTGAGTTTGGTGTGACTCAAAAAACTGAAAAGTACGAGAAAGACTGCAAAACCCGCTTTCTTTACGCCCAGCAGTGTTTGCATGTATTTGAGTTTGGTGCAGCTCCTAAACCCGAAAAGTTTAAGAAAAACTGTAAAACTGATGATGAAAGATGTAATGAAACGCCGCCTGGCCGAGAATGACGTCAAACAGTTCTGACATAAGACGAATCTGACGCCATCATGTTAGAGCAATTTTCAACTGAGAGTCGAGGATTGCTTTGGGTTTTTTTCCCTTGCTCTGTAATTGGTCCAGAAAACCAGTCTCGCGTATCTTCTCAACCAATCAAACGCAGAACCAATGCCACCCGTGACTTGCACACCCGCGTTTTCCTGCGCTTCTGGCAGTTTGCCTGTTATTAGTAATTCTGACATCTTTTATGGATTTTTTTACTGTACAGACCCAAGAAAAAATGAAATCTATTTGTTTTGCGCGATAAAAAAGCGAAATATCATTAATGGTGACGTAGTCTATGCGTCTCTCCTCTAATAGATCAGAGGTAAGAACCAATCAAATTGCTTGTAGGATTTAGCGTATCATAGAAAGTCAATTGAAGAGCGTCACTGTGTATGTTAATTTCGTGAATTTGACGATTAACACATTTTGGCCTTTTATAGTGACTAGCATCCAATTTCTCCTTACAATATCATCCCTGAAACAAACATTAAGGTCACGAGAATAAAGGAGATTGTCATCAGCTAAAGAAGCTTTTGATTGTAAAACAAATTCTCCTTGTCAGTACCTTAGGAAATGTCTAGAAAGCAGTACGGAGAATATGTATACTGATAGTAGGATTTACAGAGTGAACTGGTGAGAGCCTGTTGACGCATTTATAAACAGCAGCTAGAGTTCTTGAAGAGTTGTTAAGTCTTTCGGTAATTCTGTAAGGAATTCGTAGGGGAATGAAGAATCTCAGAAAGCGTGAACGAATACTTCAAGTTATTACGAAAAGTTAAAATCTCTTTAATAAGATGTAAAAAGAAATGCTACCATGTTTTAAATCAAGTTACGCTTCTCTCATTTGTAAGCCCTGGAAATCAGGAAAAAAATTAAGGCCATATCTATTGTTTATTGTCATTAAATTGTTTCCACGATTCATCAATAATTAAAACTTCATGTTATGGTACATAGCGGTCTTCGTTGCTAATTCGACATGACCATGTTGACGAAATCTGCGGAGTAAGGAGAACCAAACATTTGTAAGTAATTTAATATAATTGCTCGATTTTGTTCTCTGAAGTGGATTAAGGATTTGGAATCAAGTTTATCATACCTGCAGTGTTGACATATCCGGCATGCTCCCCAACATCCTCAAATAAAACGTCCACTTCTTTGGCTCTGAGTTTATTGCCTTTGAAACAAAACAATTCGTTACGATTAAAAATAGACACAACCTTGCGAGAACTACCTTGAACTTAAATATGTTAATTGGTCTAGGTTCAACGATTATAGGACTGATTTATAAACGACCAATGAAGTGTCTGACACAAAGCAAAACGCAACAGTCAACAAAACCCTCTCACCGACTGAGGGCAAGCGGTCAAACGTCTGCGCATTTGCAAACGTTGTATTGACTAGGTGGCGTGCTTTCAAGCTGTTAGAATCAAGTTGTCTCTCACGTGTTATAGACAACCACACAAGCTAGTTTGTGTCTAAAGGCGTATAACTTTTTTGGCAAAGCTCAAAACAGAGTGGTAAATCTACAAGATATCCGAATTGAAATTAGCTTTGTGCTCGAAAAGTCTGAAAGTTTTCCCTTTCCCAACTTGTTTTTCCTTTCAAAGATTTCTATGAACGTTTTGAATTTTCTTTTACTTATTTTGCGAGACGGCGGTTTTTTGTTATGTTTACCTTCGAAATTGTACGCGGGAAATTAACGCGCGAACACCCAACATTGATCCCCTTGCGCATGGCCTGGCTTGACCGCTGATTTAGTCCTTTAGTTTAGCGAAATTCCTATTTGTTTTATTTGGGTCAAATGGAGCTCGTTGTAGACCCAAATAGCGACGAATAGAATACGTCATCAGTACCCCCCAACTCATTGACCTTCACCAATGAACAATCAAAACGCTTCACTGTAAAAACAACCATACTGCAAATGATTCTGTACAATTTTGGCCAACAAATGACCGTTTCGAGAGTCTAGCATCACCGGGACTCAAGGCCTGACTTGGTTCTAGCTTTTAGTGTCCTAGATGAGACTAGTTTTGCTTTTATTAGCTCTGTGATTTGTCTAAAAAACTCACACCATCTCCCCGACCAATTAAATAAAACTATTCGTGACTTGATCCCACGCGTGACTTTTTTTTACTCATTGGCTCCCAAGATCTGATTTTTAGTTCTCTCCTCTAGCTGCTACACATTTCCTTGTAAATTGGTTACGAGAATTTGGTGTTCGATCAAGAAAATATTTTGTAACTGATAAGTTTCAGTATTATTACTACCTGTTTGCTGGATAGTGTATTGTATTATAGGGAGAAGTTACATGTTAATCCTTCTAGGAGTAAAAGGGTTAAGACATTTTACCCTGTTCTGATGACACGTTTGGATTATAACGGGTTCGGTTTTACCACACCCAAATGAAAAGAAGCTTTATGGACCAAAAAGATTTATGGCTCCCAGCTTACCGAGCGCGGTTAACACGTGACGTAGTTCAGCAGAGGAGACCTTGCCGGCATTGTCCTTGTCAAAAACGCTCAACGTGTCGATAAACTGCTGGGCGGTGACCGGTTTTGCCTTTTGTTTCTCAGCCAAGAAGATAGCGAGGAACTCCTCAAACTTGACACGACGATTGCCTATAACACAAGTGAGTAAAAAAATTATTAGCTGAGCCCTTCAAGGTTGATAATCATTCAAGAAATTTGCATAAATTGATGTTTTCTATGAAATCGTTGACTTCTTCGTGCTTGATACTTGCTCCAAACCAAAAATTTTCTGACATTGCTAGAACCGCCAAAAGTTGCTCCAAACGGCAGAGGTTGCTCAAGGGTAGTCGATCACAAGCGGGACAAGCCTAAACTGGGGAGGGATCATGGGTAGAATAGTAAGGGGTGAGGGGTGTGGAATGGGCACTAAGGTAGGGGTGAAGGGTAGGGTTATAACTGTGGGACGATATTTTATCCTCATTTAGTGGGATCTAGGGGACCATTCATTATTTAATGAAGGGGGCTGGGAGGATTTTGCAGAGGGTTACATGGTTTTCATGAGAGAGGGAGGGGGTCAGTCGTCGTCAACAGAGGATAAAGGGCGAACTATAGAAGAAAGACTGCCAATTAACTGCCAGTGACGGGGGGGGGGGGGCATAAGAATGTCACAGAGCCTTATGGGGGAAACAGGCAAATTTTAACATGACATCACCAAAATCCCCCTCTTAACGGAAGTTGCGTGACATGGCACTTACGCATTCCCGGTTAGGTTACAATTGAATAGGAGACGTGATGATTAGAGTGATAGGTTTTAGAAGAGAGTGTTCTAAGTTTGTGACGTGGTGAATGTTGACGCTAAACAACAAACAACTAGGACTTAACGATTGAGAGTAGAATGTACCCCACGAGTTCGGTACATCCCCCCCACCACCACCACACACCCACGACAAATAATAACTGGGCTCTAACGAGTCGTTCACCCCGAGCGATTTCTGATCTTGCAATTAAAATGTCTCTTATGAAACAGTCAACTTTGAACTGGACAAGAATCACGCAAGAGAAAATCAAAGCAACATTGTGTGAATCAGTGAGAGAGATCGTAAATCTGAGGTCTCTTTTGGACTGGTGTAAGGCGTTTTTGATTCAATCTGTAGTTTGGGCTATCAAAAGACATTTTAATCTTATCTTATCTGGCTTGTATGTCATGGATTATAGCAACAGACTTATGCAACGAATGTCATTGTTTATCACAAATATTGGCGGAGTTTCTCGCCATCTTAATAATTGATGGTGTGGGTGTTTCAATTAAGTGATAACCTTTGGTACATAATTGCACGAATTACTTTTAAAACTCTCAAGAAGACTGCTCATTAAAAGAAAGAACAAAATAAAATAAAATTTTAACAAATTTGTGCCCTTGAAGGACAGAATCGGGTGAATTTTCCTAAACTGGTGAAAAGATGTCCTGATTGTGTTACTTGTGATAGCGATGCAGGATGATTATGTATCAGCTTTCACATAATATAATCGAAGGGCATGACCTGAATTAAAAGTTGGTCTTGGGAATGAGGACTTCTGTTCAAAACATTCTCATCTTAAAACCAATTTCAACCAAAAAGTTTGCATGTACCGGACAAAGGAGAAAAGGTCGAGTTTGTAAACTGCAATAATATTGAAGAAATGCGTTTTTAACGAGTTTTACGGACGAGATTTAGCTCAAATCAACAACAAAAAAGATAAGACATAATAGTTAATTACAGCACCTCTAACAATCCGTCCGGCACTAATGCGAGCAGGTTAATTTGCACAATGCATTTCCCTGCGGCTGTTTATGTAAAAAAGTTGTTTTCACTAAGAATCTCCTGTGCCATTTTGTGAAAGACTGACAAAATGATGGACCTCGAATGAAACATGATACTCCAGATGACATGTCCCTTTCACCAAAACGTTTGATTATTTTCCTTGGTCCTTGGATATTAAATTTGGTGATTTTTTTTTCGTAGACGCACGCCAAATTAATCGAAGCGCTTGTGATCACAACCGTGAAAGGATGCAAAATCAATCAACAAGTGACTTTTTAACAGTGAAATGAATACTTTTCTTCGATTGAATCGCCAAGCTGATTACTACTCTTACAGTGTGTAACAGGAAAGGACCTTACGCATTGTTACTTAGACACGATTTTCTTCTGTGACTGTTTTCAGAGCTCATATTTTTTTCAAATTGTTTCTCGACCCGCTTACTAATCATGCATGTACGAGGTGAAATGGTCTTAGTTATCACACATCAAATAAAAACACTAACTACTCTTCATTTACTCGCGTGACGAAAAAAAACGCAACAGAAAGAGATCATCGCTCGACATGGGAAGCCAGCTTGACGAAAGATGAGATAAATCAGCTTTATGAGGCCTAACCTACAATAACTTGTCTATTTTACAGTTGAAGTTGAACCGTAACGCAACATCTGTTTGACTCATTCGCGGCACCTTTCTCAACAATTCTTAAAATTTGTTTGTTATGGGTCGCAAAATCTAGAACATAAACGTTTAAGTTACCAAATGAATAGAATAACTCTTAGGCCAAACGATAGCATTGTTATCATTCTCAGAACAAAAGCCCCCTGACCGGTGTTTAACGTGAACCAAAGAAGATAACTTCTGAATGTCGATCAATTAATAGGAATTCAAAGATCAGATCGTAATTGCGCGATAAAAATTCTTCATTACTCACCCACTTCTTTTTCGATCTTCACAATGTCTTCGTCATCGGGGTTGAGGTTCAAAGAACGAAGCAGCTTACCGATCTGATCCGACTCGATCTTGCCGTCGCCTTCGTTATCAAATAAAGCGAAAGCGTCTTTGTACTCTGCAAGAAAATATTTGCGAAAGATTTCCAATTGTAAGTGTTGTTGTGAACAACATTATTGATATTCTGAATTGTATACAAACCGTCCATCTCCTCTTGAGTTGGTTGGGACATCTCGGCGGTTAAAGGAAAGTGTTGAAGCGAGGTTGTGGTGCGCCCGAGTGACTTTGAGCGTTTGACCCAAAGCTAAATGAAGTCACCTATTTAGACTAGGAAATCCAGGAATCACAGACAGCGCGTTAACAGGGCGTGGACGTCGTGGAGCGCGTCAGTGATTATTATCATACCATGGGTCGGGGTGGTAGGAAGTTTTCCAGAGAAAGAAAAATTGTAAACAAAAAGGGCATTTTTAATTCAGAGTAGTTTTTGAGAAATTACTGTGTAAAATTTTTTTTCAACTTCCTCAGGCTAGCAGTAATAGGAATAAGTAAATTGTAACCGCATGAAAAAAAAAACCTCAATTCCTTACCAGACTGTCAACAAATTCGACTAAGATTGTAAAACAGAAGAAATAACGAAGTGCATAGAAACAGGGAAGAGTCAAGAATGGCTTAAATTAATGTGGATTAAATGTGAAAAACTTGAAAAATTGAGAGTATATTCTTTACGAAGCGCAAACCGTAAATCGAAACTTTGCGTCATTCGAGAGCTTTCAAGGTTTGTCGAAAGGCATCTGACCACGAAATGTTACTCTCTCTTTCCTGATATTTGTTTTCACGTCAAGATATGCAGGACATTCAATATTACTCAGTTTATGCAGAAAAATTAGTATACATTCCTTTGTAGATATCAGGTGTCCAATGAACACTGTGAAAGGTAATGTTAATTGAATTGCAAAGTCTTGTAATGGGGCGTCGTTCAATTAACTTGAAAGATAACATCTGTTTGCCAAAACATCAGAGAAACGAAAGCAATAGGATGCAATGAATAATCTATAAAATAAAAAGATGTGTCAGTCGCAAAATAGGAAACGTCTTAAACTTTCAGTGATGAGGTTGTAAGGAAAACATAAACATATCTCAAGTTGGGCCAGAAACATTCCACAGTAAACAAATATTTTTAAACATTTTCATCGATCATTTAAAGGATTCTAAAGGTGTTTAAGGTGAAGAAGTAACCCTAGTGGATTTTTTTTAATGGGTACAGACAAATTTTATTGAAAAAATGACAATTTGCTGAATTCTTCTTGCCATATGAAGTCTCCTTCGCAGCTATCGTTTTGTCACGTCACGCAACGTGTTTTTAGAGCGTATTACGGGACGATTCGAACTAAGACGGTGAAGGAGATTATTCTCCGCAATGCGTTATGCGCCTTGCCAAACTGGCTTCTAGCGTAAACGCTCTCGCCGCGTGTCACACATCCTGCGAGTCTCTTCGCAACTGTTTTCTTGGATGTCACGCAACAGGGTTTGCGTGACATTCCAACGCAAACGTTTTCCTAGAAGAACTGGCAGCATTTTGGTTTTGTTATTGACAGTCATCACTGACGATGAAAAAAAAGGGCACACAATTAACTAGATCCCAGTTCTGCTGTTTGATTTTATTTTCTACAAAACTATCTATAAGAAAATATTTATATAGATACTACTTTGTAAATCACTGTAGTTGTATATCCCTCATGATATGAAATCATCCTAACAATGATAAATTAATCTTCTGTATTGTTATCTCATTTAATCACAGTAGATAAAGAGCTCTGTATGTAAAAAATGGGGTGGATAGTGATCATCCAGACATGACTGTCTTCACAAATTCTGCCAGAAAATAAAAAAAATTGTTTTAGTACAATGTATCTATACTTCAGTCTTAGGACATTTAGCCTGCACGGCTGGCATTCCAGGAGGGGAGGAGGGGGGGGGGGTTGGGAAGGGCAGGATTTGAACTAGCATGGAGCATAACTATTAAGACCTGGATCTCCTAACTGTTACCCTTACAACCCATTTACAACCCATGCATAAACATTACATCAATTATAGTCACAGAAACTTGGATATAAAGCTTCATTAGTAGTGGGCAAGCAATATTCAGTACTCACTAAACTGGAAAAAAAAATAAATTAAACACCTTCATAATTGATTTGGCCTTGATTGTCCTCCAGTCCACTAAGGAGTAAGTCTACCTCCTCTTCAGTCATTTTTTCACCTGCAACAAAAAGAGACATCAGTATGCATATTCTCCACACTGTTCAATACATTTCCTGCGGAACTGACAAGGAGAATTTGTTTTACAGTCAAGAATCTTGAGGTGGTGATCATTTACCTCATTCTCATGACCTTAATGTGTGATTTAAAAGTGATACTGAAAGGAAAAATTGTATGCAAGTCACTCTCTGGGATTAAAGGATTAACAACTAAGAGCTAAATTTCTGATCACCTGCTTTATTCAAGTGTGACCTTAATGTTTGATTCAGGGGTGAAATTGTAGGAAGAAATTAGTTGGTTATCACTCTTAGGAGTTAAGGCGTTAATTTGCAAAGAAAGCAGGCTTTTCAATGCTTGTCTCTCCTAATTCACTTTTCCTCTCCATCATTTACTTTCATAGATAAAGGAACCAAAATATACAATTACCTAATCCTGTCAGCACATGACGCAGCTCCGCAGCAGACACCTGGCCATTTCCTTCTCTATCAAAGACTCTCAAGCCATCCACAAAACCTTCATTTGTACTTTTACTGGCCTTCCTTTGACCAAAGGAGTGGAAGATTGGCAAGAATTCCTCGAATGAGATACGTTTAGAACCTAAAAAAGAGTTCACTTTTTGTTCATAAAACTTTGGCATTAGATGGTACAATAAAACTTCATGGAGACAACCTTTACCCTTAATCCTTTACACCCTAACATCAGTATGTATATTCTCCATACTGTTCTCCATACATTTTCTAAGGTGTTGACAAGGAGAATTTATTTAACAATCAAGAGCCTCTTGAGCTGGTGATTGTTTCCTTTATTCTCATGATCTTGAATGAATGATTCAGCAGTATTATTGTAAGGAGAAACTAGATGCTGGTCATTCTGAGAGTTTAAAGGGTTAAAACCTGAACATTGATATAAATATTCCCTAAACTGTTTTCTGTACATTTCCTAAGGTGCTGAAAAGGAGAATTTGTTTAACAATCAAGAGTCTCTTCCGTTGGTGATCATTTCTTTTATTCTCATTTCCTTAATGTTTGATTCAGGGAAGATATTATAAGGAAAAATTAATTACTAGTCACTCTCAGCAGTAAAAGGTTAGAAGCAGGCATCTAGGGAGGATAAAATTTCATTTTAGGGATCACTTCTATGAACACTGACTACAGTCACTTGTAAATTATCATTTCTTTGTAGTATCCAATCAAATTTCATTCGTCAATGGGGCATACAGAAAATTTAACAATTAAATGAGCAATAAAAACACTATCGCACCTTTGAAGTATAAAAGGCTTTCAGCTTTCATTAAAAAGTCACTTCATTAACACAATCTAAAAGTTTATTTACATGTGTTAATTGCCTCACCCTTCGAACGCCGCTTACTTAAAAAGGCTAATCAAACCAAAATAATGATTCCATTTATTCCAAGGTTCAGTGATTCTTTTGTAAAAATTTCGGTACGAAAAAAGTCCAAGGAGAATAACAAAAGATTCCCCCATTAAAAACACACAACTGAACGAATTGTTAGCACGAAATACAGTTTGCCGTTGAAGTGTAGTAGTTATACTGCAGACCACTAGTTGTTTATTTTTAGCTCAAAAAGTTTGCACGCTGCGACAAGCACGTAATACATCTATGCACGATTGTTAAAAAAATATAAACTTAAAATTCATTTATCACTATGACGTCCATTTGAATTGTGCAAAAATTCGAAAATCTCTACAATATCGAAAGCCGGATTTTCGTCCGCACGCGAGCTAGTATCAAACAGGGTCAAGTCATTGTGATAAATATCTAGTTAACTGCAAGAACTCTGCAAGGAAAGCGAAACATTTCCTCAAAAGTCTACATCAACTTCGATTTCTTCGATCGGTCGCAAAATTTTGCTAAGGATTTAAAACGAAGTGTACGTATAAACAAAAGAAGACTTAAGAATTAAGTAAGTTTATTATCTAAAAGAAGCTCTTTTAAAACTTATTTCATTCCAAGCCATTTCAAAGTTGCGGCAAATGAAAAGTCAACATGAAACGTATTTCGATCAAATCATGCCAACGAAATAACTGAGTAGTTTTTGGACAGGTACATCACAGCTACAAGATTCTCTAATATTATTAGACAGGCTGATTGCTTACCAGAAGGATCGACCTCGTTTAACGCCTTGTGGACCTCAGCTTGTGTTGGGTTGAGTCCAAGAGAACGGAGTACTTCACCCAATTGTGCCGAATCGATTTTGCCATCTCCTCGGCGATCGAAAAGCATAAACGCCTCCTTATGCTCTACGAAAAACAAAAAAGGTACAGGTTGAAACAACAAGTGAAGAAAAAATTTAAAACTAAAACAGCTGTATCATTTTAACGATGTTTCGAGCATCGTAGAATAAGTTAATATAAGAATCTTGAACCATAATGGGCAATGTGATAGATACCAGAGATTTGATCTTCCGTTAAAGTTGCCTGCGAAAGAAAAATAAGTTTTAAGTATGATTATCCGGGAGCAGAGGGCTAAAATGCAATATTCTATACAATATTTTTCCCTCACCATTTTCAGTTAGCTTAGATCTGAGATTCTGTCACGCCGTTCTGGAAATATTTAACAGAAGTCCCAAGGGACTTGTCCTTATTTGGAGATTTTGGTTTCTAGTAATGTCAAAAACTTCCGGGAGAGTGAGAAACGGAAGGGATAGGGGACAGGGAGAGGAAATGATGCCGCTAAGGCGTAGGACGCGAAAAAATCTCGTTGTTGAAGGACTGTTCTCGTTCCAATTAGATGCTTTACGTAGAAATTTATTTGTTGGCAGTAACAATTTTTTCGACAATTTTGCGTAACCACTGCAGACCACTCTTCCTCCACTCCCCCGCCCCCCTCCTGATACCATCCTATTTTTTTGGTCATCATGATCAGCATTAGTGATGTCATGCAAATATTGATGGTGAGTTCCATAGTAGAAAAGCTGATTTTGTGACGCGTCAGTAGAGGCTAAGCTGGTGTCACGCGTAACGCAAGGAGGAACAAGGATCACGCACTGCTTAGACTCGATCTCCATATGAATTTATGTTCAAAGGAAAAGAAAAAGGATCTAAAACAATGATTAGAAATGCAATGATACCTCACAATATTCATTTATTTGAATGCCAATCTTTACAAATAGCTATGAAATAGCATCAAGACCAAATTTTTATAAATTGCCCCAACCTTAGTATAAATTCTTAAATAAAATTTAAAATCTTACAAACTAATAAATATAATTTTCTCTATCAATCTTAAATATCCAGCATGTGGTTATGACACAAGTTGTTTAAACCAATAATTGGTGCGAAAAATTACTAAAAAAGCAATGTCGAATCCGTGACAACTTTTCTGCATGTGTTCAGGATTTCACGTGGGTAGCTAACTACATAGTTTTTAAACATGGTCTTTTTATTTGTTTTTGCTCAACTATCCCGATACTAAATGGTCCGTGCTGAGTTCTACACGAGAAGAACCCTAATTTTTTTGCTTCCTATAACCACCTCTTCGATCTGAGCTATTATTTTACAACGCTAGAGAACTGGTTTGAAAATCTTTCCCATTTAAATTCTAATCATTAATTGATCTACAGTCCAAACAAAGCCAATGTTAGTTACTATTACCTGTACCTGTACCAGTATCAGGCAATTATGCCCACAATTTTTATCAAAGCCTATTTTTTCGGTTTAAAGCAGTAGCCTGAATAACAAGCCTTCCAGAGGAAGGGGGACTAGGGCCGAGCTAGAGCGGTGGGTTTTTCTCTCGTCCCATCCCCACCCCCTTTAGGAAGCCTAGTACTCAGGCTAATGAAAAAGAGAATTCTCCAAGATGACCAAACAGCAAACTTCGCGTCCCTTAGTCAAAATAGAGTTTCTGTGGTCCGCGGTTTCGCACTCGTTTGGCAAGACACACTCCCAGAATCTGAAATAAAATATAAATAACTGACTGATAAGCACGAGTATTTCAATATTTAATCACTGGTTATGTGCATGGTCTTAAATCTTTATACCCTAACATCAGTATACATATTCTCCATACTTTTATTCATACATTTCCTAAGGTGCTGGCAAGGAGAATTGGTTTAATCATCAAGAGCTTTACTTGGTGATCATTTCCGTAATTCTCACGACCTTCACATTTGAACCTATGGTGATACTTGAAGAAAAAATTAAGAGCCAACGGTTGAAGGGCGAGTAGCGCAAAATTTTGATTTGAATAGAGGCATGCGTTTCAAATGCAGGTTCGCAGTGTTATGAATAAGAGTTTCGTTAACCTATGTTATCTTATAAGTCCTTTTCGGAAGTAAGATATTACCTTCTAAGATTTCATACAATTCGGGGTTTTCTCTCTTTTCAAAGTTTCGCTTATTGATAAAAAAAAATCCCGGAAAAGTCGCTCCTTCAAATTTTCATCAACTGTAACCGAAATAATTTGTTCCTACAAGACGCCAAAAAGCCGATACGACTCTTGCAAACCATTAGCACCAATCATCTGCACGCTTTCTAATTGGTTAAATATATGATACCAGCAACAATAGCAATTGGCCCGTCACACAATCTTGGTATGGCGTGGGTCGCATTTAACAAGTTTTTTTCAGAGAATTTGCTTTCTTTCCGATAAAAATTTGTCGGAAGAGGAGTATTTCCATGAGCATCTCCATGTTCTTCAAGAGATTAGAGTGGAAAAAATCCGTAAAAACATAAAACGCGCAGTAGCGGCTTAATGGAGAAGGCGTGACATTCCTCTGGTTACCTACAGACTGAAGGGTGCTGACACTTGTAAAGTAAAGGTATCTCATTCAAGTTCTAACTACGCAAGGTAATTTTCAAAGTTTTATTTTGGAACCTAGAAAACACGCGTGAAAAAGTAACCTTACAAAAACTATCAGAGATATGAAAGGCCAGAAACTTTCTGGTTTTCTGGTATATCATTCTCTTCTAGGAATTATGGGCTCTGGGGAATGTTACTGAAGACTGCATAAAAGCACAAAGATACCGAATGTTTATTTTCAGGATATATTCTTCTACACCTAACATAACAAAAAAAAATCAACCTTAAATAATTCATCAATAAACACTCCTGAAATAATTAAATACTGCTATTAAATATAGCTTTCAAAGAGAGATTTTCTAGTCTAGAAATATTCTCAAAATACCTCCATTTTAACTGGAGAAATAGAAGCAGTTAGGCAACTACTCTAACCCTAAAATACTGCAACATAAGAAAGGCATCTGTTTTTCTTCCAAAAAAAAATGAGTAATGATATCAATGGGCCATAGACCTTCATACAATACACAATATGAGAAAATTGAACTGTCAGTCAATCTAACTTCAAAAGATTTCTCCCTAGAATTTAAAAATGGACTGAGGCCTAAAAATTCTGCAGTATGGCTCTATAAAGCAAGGTTAGTAAGTGGTTTATCATATGGCACCAGGACCAAACTTGTATTCTGAATTTGCAGGTTTTGCAACCAAAAATACAGAGCTTATGATTATTTCCATGGAAATGGTCCATAAAACAAAATAAAGACCTGGTCCATAGAGCAAAATAAAGACAAAGTAAGAATGAGTCAGAATACTGGGATTTACCTCAAGACTACCTCGCCATACAATAATCTCAAAGACTCGCAGCAAACAACTCATTGATAGATTACTTAACACTAGCTACTGTGGATATTATAGAAAAAAGTCACTCTGCATGGACAGAAGGATATGCCTAAGGCAGGGAGGGGGAAACTCTTATACCAAACTAACTAACTAACCCACCCACCCTGCCCCTCACTAGAATCTGTCATACCAGTAGACTTTGCCATGTCACTGATTAAAAGTTAGTCTTGAAACATTTAAAAGCTTAGTCAACTGCTATTGTTGCTTCTAATAAATAAAAATGGCAGCTATGTAATCATGGTATTGAATCAGACTAACTCCACATGATACTGACACAGTGATACTGAAAAATAATGATAATAAAAAGCAAAGGAACACATGCAATCTAACCTGTATAATATATTACAAACAATCATGTCTCTCCAATCTTATTTTACATATTTTCAATAATGGGTAAATTAGCATGGTTAAGAGATCTATTTAGAGGTTAAAGAAAGGTTAGCACAGGTCTAAGAATTTAGCTCAGCACCCAGGGACCTATAAGAAAGCCCCAGGATTGGCACGAGGGTCCTTCTGATTCCTGTAGCGGCACGCCATATACACACCAAACAGCTGTGAAAGATAGAAATATGAGAGGAAGTTAAGAAGATTTTATAGAGAGAGATACTTTACTATTCATTACTGACAATCAAATGTCCTAATCAAGTGGTTAATGAGCGTGAATCCAGATCAAGAGGAAGCGGACCAGAATTATCAAAATAATTAGTTAGAGTAATAATTAAATTCCTTTAACCATTTAACTCCCAAGATTTGCTTGTTAATTCTTCCCTCTAGCTGCTGCACATTTAATTCCTTGTAAAACAGCAATGACAATTTGCTGTTGGATCAAAGTAACAACCTCTACCTGATAAGTTTGAGTATTCTCGTTACCCTTTTACTTGATATATATTGATATTATAAGGAGAAGTTACATGTTAATAATATCTGGGAGTTAAAGGGTTAAGCATAAGATTAGTCCAACTTTAAAATGCAAGTGTTAGTATCTTGCTCAACAAGGTTACAAAGAAGATATCTCACTATATGACAAAAAAAAAAAAAAAAAAAAATGGTGTGTAAATTGATGTAAGTTCTGTACTTACCAAGGTAAAACTGAAGAACAGACCAATTCCTCCAGCCACTTTCAGAAGATGATTTACCACATCTTTTAACTTGTCATAGCATGTTTCACATTTGGGGCATGTATCATCGTTAGTAGTCTTAGAACAGCATGGTAGCTAAAACACAATGAATAAAGAAATGGTCATGAATACTCAAACGAAACTAGTGTTAGTGGTTTTATATGCATGAGGAATTAAGTTAAAATTCCCAGACCAGATCAGGTAACAACACTTTCACAAGGCATAAAAAAAAACACAAGAATTTGAGTTAATAGTATTATTTGTGATTCTTTTACAATTAATCAACAATGCTCACAACCTTTCTTTACCATCAACTTTTTCCATCAAACAAATCAGATGATGAAATAATTAATTTTGACCTTATTTCTTTCATGCAGTTTCATAGAATGACAGAATTAGTGATGCACAAATGCAGTAGCAGCTTGAGACAAACTGATTTATGTCAGCATTTTGGGTCATAAAATGTTGTTTTTGTAAATTCTTTAGCAAATTTTAGCAGTAATCCACAGTGATTTTGATTATCTGAACTCTGGATTATCCAGACTATTCAGCCCACTTCTCACAAGTGCAGATAATAGAGGTTTGACTGTACTGTTTTAGAGCATAATCTTTTCCTAGACTTACAATAACTCTGGCAGCTTACAGTTCTTGTTGTGACTTTATAGATAGAGAGCTTTATTAAAAATCACATGCCAGCTTAATAAGGCTGAATTGTATGATTATTAACAATACTGGCTAAAATTATAAATTACATTTACAGAGCATTTTATTTACAAGAATAATACACAGACCCATTGTCTACACATGGCAAGTAAATAGGTCTGGGAGAAACGCTTGGTGCGCATTATTGGGTTAACAGCAGCCTAGGTACAAGCACTATCTTGTGACAACATTACAAGGCTGATGTATCACAAATGTGAATACATTAGAGAGAATCCAAACTTTAACAAAAAAAATTTTCTTGTCATTAATACCAACAAGCAATAATTGGAGGGTGGCAATGGCCACAAAAATTATTGGTGTCACAAATAGGGGGGGTCATTACCTCCTGAAAGTCTCCGATTTCAAGAACTACAACCCCAGCATGTGAATGGGTCGTACACCACAAAAACTTACCGCAGTACACTTCGGATGTCCCATTTCACCTGACGTCATATTTTTATTTTTAAATCCACAACAGTCTTTGATTTTTTGGATTTTGGTCTTTAAAGTGGGTGACATCTTTCCCCATCCTGCCTCCATTAGATTAGACTGCTGCTCATGTGAAACTGCTATTGCACCAAGAGACACTGACATTTGAATGATAAACAGAAGTAGCATGATAATCATATACTGTTCAATAAGTTAAGGCTGAAACAAACAGATAAGAACATCATGTACTTTCCAGAACACTAAGTAACAAGAATCGTCATCATCATCGTCATTATTCTTAACCCTAGGCCAGTTCCAAAACAATAGGCAACAAGAACACCTCAGTGAAGTAACATCTGTACTTGTGCTAAGTGGTCCACCCAGCAAGAACTCATCCCCAGTTTCCTTAGCATGAAGTAACCAGAAGTGCTACTTCTCCCCCCTGGATGGGATGGTAATCCATTGCAAGGTTTGCCCCCAGGATTTCACCAGGCTTCCCTGGTGATTTTTGTTTGTCAATTTGTACTCCTGGGTGGAGAAAGGTACTGTAAATTTAAAAGATTTCTCCCGAACATAACACTTTGACCCAGCCAGCTTTCAAATCCAGGCCTCTCAAACCCAGAATCCAGCACACTAACCATCATGCCAATATGATCTCCAAATTGCTTTCATTACACTTTATCATTTATAAGTCAGACTGTGCTCCTAATACACAGCTTTTACAATGATAGCATTGGAGCAAACCACTGTTGGGGAGGTACTGGGCAGAACTGTTCTGCAAACTTTACTTTCTGCAACTGCTTTTAACTGCAGTTCACAATCATGAAAAGGATACAAAGAACAGAATCACTTGGCTGTGACGCACTGCACCAGCAACACCCATGATGGCAATGAGAAGAAGGAAAACGCCACAGGCAACTACACCACCAAGAATCGGGAGACTGGTTATTTTAGATGATGCTTTGGCATAAACAGCTACACATATCATTACCAAGGCTATGAACTGCAAAGGAAAAAAATACTTTATACAAGCAATCAAATCAGGTAGTTCAGGGCTGTGCTCTTTTGCTTTTTGTCTTACAGTACCAGGAATCACTTTGCTTTTATGAAGGTTTTTAAGAGATGAGCACCTTGTATTTCTGGGTCCATAGCCTTTGGGCAGGTAACAACACGATCATTCTAAGAGCACAGTTTTGACAATACTGTTTACCATGTGTATACTTTTAGGTACCTCTTCTTTAGGGGCTTCCAATAAATAGTTTCTGTGAGCAAGATATCATGTTTCCAGTATCTCTCAAGAAAAACCCTAAGCAAATTTTCTTTATCCTTTTTTTCTTTCAGTATCGAAGATTACCTTAAACACAAAAAGCAGCATACCAATAACTGTTCATACATGAGGGAACACATAATCTACCCAACCCACAACAAGTTCTTTACAACAATGGTGCCCCTATCATTGACATATTCTTATCATCAATTGAAATAAAAATTAGATTTAAATTGCTGTGTTATTCAACCTTCAAAAGTAAAAAATTGGTATCATACAAAGTCTCATGCCAAATACTAAATACCAGGAGGACAAGTGAACATTCAAAATCCCTCTGAAGTTTGTAATAATACTCATTGCAAACAACATCATTCCATGTCATTTTGAGAGGACAATGTCATACGTCTAACTTTATGGCAAATTTAACACAACAAAATTAAAATTTGCAATGATTTGAATTACGAACAGCTCTGTTAAATGAAATGCGACACAAGTCAGCTTATCTGCATAGCATAGTCATTAGAACCTTCATTTGTTCATTTCCTTTCCTTGTTGATAAAAGGAAAAGCTGCATTCAAGATCCACTGATATAGGTGAAGCCTCATTAAAATCTCCTAACATTTAGTAAATGGGTTTTAAAATAATCTAAGAGGAAGCCCTAGAAATAATATGGACTTCCGAGGACACACGACCTTTACTTCTTTATAATCGACTAATTAACCTCGTCTAAACAATGCTTTCCAATATTTTTAACTGGAAGACTCTATGTCGAGATCTTGGAAAATTAAATAAATACAAAAAAATTCGCCCGTTAATTATAATTAAGTTTACATTTCCTGAAACATAAGGTGATAGTCAAATTAAAGAGCTCTTATTGGTTTTCGTTCAGAAAAAACTATTGAATACATGCATGGTGTGCTATATAAACAGCTAGCCTTTTGCAGCAAAGGAACAACGGGGTTTTATTGCCTAGAGATTTTCTTTTTCGTAAGAGAGGTACCTTTTACTCATTAAGTCCCTAATCAGATTTAGAAACATTTACGGATAAGAACCGCAGGAGATTTCCGTAGAATATCTGATAGAAAGCTTTAAATAACCACCAAATGCCACGTAACACAGACTGCGAAGACTCAATTTCCCCATTCAATAGCTCGCGAGATTCGTTAAAACTCTGACTTAAAGTTGAAAGGTTTTCCAAGATACTTACAATATAAAGCGTGTTAAGTGCCACCAGGGCATTTTTGAAGCAGAAATAAGCACAGCTTTGTGCTTTGGAGTATTTAGGACTGTACATCTGGAAAATGTTCACGGCCTTCTTTCGTCGCCCGATTACAATCCGTGATCGATTTACATCCAAAAAGACCACCAGCATCGTGGGCTCTCTAACGATCACGTGACACAGGAGAACTTACGTCATTTACTATTTCTGGCTAAATATAGCTGAGGTACACAATCAATAATAGATAGCGTAGAAGGTGCGCTCTGATTGGCAACTCAAACTGGATATCTTTTGCTATTCAACTCCAAGCAACTCGTGAGGATTTGCGCCCGAAAGTATAGTAATCGTTGCAGGAATAAATGAGTCAAAACAAAGGAAACACAAGCTCGCAAAATATGCAAATATGTTCACATTGCGCAATGGTCGAAATGTAGGCATTTTTATAAACGCGCTCTCGATCAGAACGAATCTGAACTGGTTTTGAAAAAATTCATCTCGCTAGGTGATTGTTCCCTTGCATCGTGTGAATTTCATGGGCTGATTAAGGGCCGTTTAGCTCGGTTTTAGTTCAGGTGCCCGCATGGGGTCGCACATTACGTGATTTTGTAAGAAAATTCTGTTCAGTAGAGATTGTTGGAAGACAAAATCGAGTCGGTTGTACAGAAACTTTCAGACAATGTATGGTCTTCCAAAATGCCATAAAAATCATATCAGGTGGGTTTATTCAGAGGCAAAATTCATCCATAGTAACTCCTTGAGGTAATACAACGCGTTTGCGTTTCTCAGTGAGAAAATCACAGAACTTTCTTAAATACAGCCACTCAATAAGAAATTGAAATTAGACAATAAAACAAACATACTTTATGTGGCAAAATTAATAGCAACTTCAACCAGTCTGATCAATATTCAATTTTCCATTAGCCGATAAAATTCTGCTTTATCTACGACAAAGTACAAAAGTATTCGTAATTGCGTCTTGAAATATGGGCAATATAGAGGATCAGTTTGGATTATATTAATTTGAAATTTTCAATATTTCCATCTTCAAACTTTGTTTTTCATGCTTTATAGATTATCCTTCCACCTGATGAATTCTACATTTCGCTCGCAGTCTTTAAAGAAGGAACCTTTGCAAAGATTTGCTCTCGTGCGCCTTATAAAGTCTTCCTCAATAAAGCGCCATCCATGAAAAAGTGAACGTAATGAAAACAAACTTTGCCATGGCAGAGGCACAGCCAGCATTAGTCACTACCATTGTCTCTTTTTCAAACTTGACTTCCATCAGCTTGGGAAGATAATCATTCCAGAACGACATTCGGCGAGGAGCAAACGAGGCCTTCATCTCAGATTTTTTATCCACCCGGAGATAAGCCCTCTGACTGGAGTTGTACCTCTCGAACGTAACACCGCTGACTGGCTGGGGTGTTGGATTGCCGAACTTGGCAAAGTTTGTGTATATTTCCATGATAAACGAACTGACGTCTTTGTCCGACTGGTCCGGAAACAAATATGCAAAACGAGGCATGAACGGGCCTCCAAATTCAAAAAAAACATTATCGCCGTGTTGTACTCCGTACCACGCCTTGTGACGGGGTCGTTCTTTTTGCTGATAATCGAACATGGACATGTAAACATCGGCATACTTGCTGTGGATATCGGCGACTGCGTGACTTGGGGCGTAGAAAAGCTGATCACCGATGAGATCAACGAGCTGGGTTCTCAGCGCGTATTTATCGCTGCTGTCAGGCCATGGGGTATACATAAACTGCAATGCATCCCTTATGAGGTCACCTTTCTGCTCTCTTAAAGGAAAGAAAGAGAATAATCATTTTAATTTCAGAGTTAGTAAAAGCTTTTCCTTGCTTGAGTCGCATTTACCCTGGCTTGTTATCATTGACACATATATTGCCCTATGCGGATATTTATCAGAGCTCTTTTGTTAATTAAGGACTGAGGTCAAAAGACGCTTGAAGAGGAAACCCTGATAGAGTAGAATTACCAAGTTGTAAAAACCCTTTCAAGTTTCAAAGGTGCGTGTCATTGTAACGTCATCCGCGTAGGGGAAATTCCTTCTATCGAGGTTTTACGTTTACAATGTCAAAAACTAATGAGATGTCAATTTTGTGACAGAAAGATTTTTCCAAAAAAAATTTGTCATAGTTTTTCATTTGCACATTTGCTCTCTTTTCCCATAACATTCTGTGTGTGAAATTGTAACCTCATCTACGCTAGAAAAACTTCATTCAAAAGTTTTACACATAACATGTTTTCGTTCAAAAACTTCAAGAAGAAAGTCGTCATATTTGTTCATATTTGCACTTTACAAGTTCTTGTGACAAAAAGCAGTTATAACAGATAACTTAACTTACCCGATATTCTGAGCGTGCGCATATTTTGTTAGAAATTCCTTGAAGAAAGAGGGACTCACTCCGTTGTCTACACTTTGTGTCATCCCAAAGGACATGTTTGCCATCATATCCAGAAAATATCCGCCCTCCTGACTGGCAAAGACGATCATTAAATTATCTCTCTTAAACTCTCCTTTGTTACGCAGATTCCGGGGGGTGTCAAGAAGAAAGTTTTTATCCACAACTGGTGCCCAGTCCAGGTATTCAACAGAACTTATGGTTATTTTTTCGGAAGCGTCTTGTATCTTCTTTGTCTCTTTCTGACGAATGCAGGCCATCATTTCGCTGTGGTCGCCCGTTGGGCAGTTCAGGTTTCCAGCAAGCTCATTGGTATAGCGGAGACCGAAGGAAGTCGGCTGAATTGCAAAGGGACTCAAATCCACTCCGCTCTCTGCAATGACTTGATGGAAGAGGCCTTTAGACAGTGGAGACAATAAATGGAGGCTAACACTTGACCCACCAGCGCTTAATCCAAAGATGGTCACCTTACCGGGATCCCCTCCAAAGTTTTTTATGTTATCCTTGACCCACATGAGCGCCGCCACTTGATCTAACATTCCATAATTCCCAGGGGCAGCGGAATCCCCGGTCGTCAGGAAGCCAAACGTACCAAGACGGTATTGAATAACAACAACTACTACGCCTTGGAGAGCCAAGTAATCGCCAGGGTATGTGACTGAACTTCCATACTCATAGCCTCCTCCATGAATGTAAACCATTACGGGTAGATGCTGGCTCACGTTCGGGCTGTAGACATCGAGATATAGGCAATCTTCGCTGTAGGTAAAATTTTGAGTAAATAACCGCACAAAATATTCGAGGGTCTTCTTTTGCATGCAAATATTTCCGTGCCGTTTAGCTTGGCGAACATTTGGTTTCCAAGAAGCTGGCTCTTTTGGTGCTTTCATTCTGAGGTCGCCAACTGGTGGAGCTGCGAATGGAATCCCGAGGAATTTGCTGACTGACTTGTAAGCGAAAGAAGAATTCGGGTAGGATTCCTCGAGACCTTCGACGTCACCATAGCTTGTGGACACCCTCATCGACGTGACTAAAGGCAGAAAGACGTAGAAAATTGATAAACGTGGTAAAAGTTTTGTCGAAATCATTGTGCCTTAGTTTGAGTGGGAACGTTTCCTTTGGTTTCACTCAAATTCTCTTCACACGTTTGAAGCTGGCTTGACTCGCTAATCCACTGTGTATTCGTGTCACCTGATAGCGAGGTAATGTTGCAACAGTTTGAAATAGACATGAAACAGCTTGAAGTTGCTTGAAATATCTATGACGTCAAGTTATGGCTTTCATTGTTTATCTAGATGTCTGGAAAGGCCTCATCCAGAAGGAAACGAAGCATAGGGAAAATTTCGTTTTACAAGCACTGCAAAATTCTATAGATCTGAGAGGATGGATGTTTCAATGAGGGCTTTTCCTGATATCTTATATTTTCTTACTGCGCATATCTGGCTTTTCACAACGTGTTTGTTTGCGTAAGACGGCCTTTCTCCCATAAGGCCGCTATAGGCCAATCAAATGACGCTTATCGCATTTTCCATGAATGAAAAGAGACTGTCATAGTCTTTGACGTGCGTAGGAGCCGTGTCAAAATTTTTTGCATGATATGCAAAAATAAGCAAGGAAATACATGAATAAAACAGATTCTCTGGCGAGAGAAGTTAATGATAAACCGTTTTTAATTTTCGAGGATCATGACTAATGACAATAGAAGTCCAAGCGAGATGCTGAATCGATATCAACGAACTAATTTTGAAATTGAAACCAATATCATCATATTACGAAAAGCGAGAGGAGCAATAGGTTCGATTACCACCCACAGTTCTGAAATACGACTCTAAAAAAATATACTGTGTATGCTAGCAGTGTTACTTTTGTAAAAAGAGCAAAGAGCTTATGAGTATGGAACTGCAATCTCGCATCGCGGCGATTACTTAGCACTTCAGGGTGTGGTAGTTGTTGTTATTCAATACCGTCTTGGTGCGTTCGGCTTCTTAACGACCGAGGATTCCGCTGCCCCTGGGAATTATGGAATGTTAGATCAAGTGGCGGCACTCAAGTGGGTTAAAGGAAACATAAACAATTTTGGAGGGGATCCCGGCAAGGTGACCATCTTTGGATTGAGCGCCGGTGGAACAAGATGTTACCTGCGTTGCAATTGCCCTTTGAAAGCAGAGGACCTCTCCCTTTAGGTAGCAGTATCATACTCATTTTAAATGAAGGTCATGTTTTATCTTTTTTGGGATGTCACGCAATTCTGATACAAAAGAAGTTTCGGAAGCGTTGCGTGACGTTCTCGTAAGGGTACTAGCAGAACCCGTAGTCTGTAGAGAACAAGGGAACCTAATGATGATCGATCTTCGAGAGGAGCATTTTGACAACAGGCTCGTTATATGTTTTAAGGAGATTCACGGATAAAAACAGGTCATTGGGAGGTTGAATGCATAACACCCCTACAATTACCATGCCGAAAACGAAACAACGTTTTTTATTTAGTTAACTTCTCGCTTACCATAAAAACAATGACGGACAGCAGAAACCCACTTCCCTTGTGGATAATTTTATGTATTTAATACGGCTGCCACTGTTGTTTACCCATTATGAACCACGTGATCAATCTATGACGTATAAAGCTATGTTCTTATTAATGACCTCTGCAATCACGTTCTAGTATTACGTATATGGGAAGGAAATAAAGGTTTTAAAAATAGAAATCAGACAATATGAGCATCCTTCGGCATTTGCGACGAAACACATCAGTCTGGATGATATGTAGATACAATCATTAGGTTTACCATCACGGATTACATGAGAACCCTAAATGACGCGACGTTCCATAATGACATGACAAATAAGTCTTATTAGGAAATTTGAGAGGAAAATTTATCACGCAATAGTGTACTTCGCGACAAAACAAAATTAGCTCATTAACCTTGAACATTCTGAGGGCCAGAATGCTCATAAGATTGACGGTGTTCTGTGTCTGGTTGCCCTCAATCGCTTCTGTAACAGTGTCAACAAAGAATGGAGATATCGAAGGTTTTGTAACTTCGTACGCCAACTTTTCTTTCGCGTACAAGCACGTCAACAAGTTCCTTGGCGTTCCATTCGCTGCTCCACCGACTTCACAGCTTAGGTTTAAGCCACCAGAACCGCCTCTTAAATGGAAACCTAAAGTTCGTTCAGCTAAACGACACGGAAACGTTTGCTGGCAAGGCAAGGCCTATGAAGTTCGGTTAAAAAAGTTTGTCCACAATTTCACGTACAGCGAGGACTGCTTGTTTCTCGACATCTACACCCCAGATGTCAAATCGAAACTACCCGTGATGTTTTACATTCACGGCGGATCGTATGAGTTTGGAGCTACAGTCACATTTCCCGGGGATATTTTGGCTTTACATGGGGTGGTGGTAGTCATCACTCAGTATCGTCTCGGGCCATTTGGCTTCCTGACTACAGGGGATTCTGCATCTCCTGGTAATTTTGGAATGCTGGATCAAGTCGCGGCACTTCAGTGGGTTAAAGAGAACGTTGAAAATTTTGGCGGGGATCCCGGCAAGGTGACCATCTTTGGATTAAGCGCTGGTGGAACAAGTGTGAGCCTCCATCTACTGTCTCCAATGTCTGAGGGCCTCTTCCAACAAGCCATTGCAGAGAGCGGGGTGGATTTGAGTCCTTTTGCAATCCAGCCGACTTCCTTTGGTCTTCGCTTTGCCAATGAGCTTGCTGGATACCTGGACTGTCCAACGAGCGACCACAGCGAAATGATGGCCTGTATTCGCCAGAAAGAAGCGAAGGAGATACAAGACGCATCCGACTCAATAACCTATAATTTTACCGGATACCTACGTTGGGCACCAGTTGTGGACAAATACTTTCTTCTTGACACCCCCCGGAATCTTCGAAACAAAGGAAAGTTTGAGAAAGCCAAATTTATGATTACTTTTAACAGTGAGGAGGGTGGAACAACCTTTAGAAATTTAGTCAACGGATCGAGTCAGTCTTTCTTCAAAGGATACGTAACACAATTTGCGCATAGTCAGACCAGCAGGTAAGAAAAAGAGAATTTGTTATTAAGCGTTTGGGAATAATCAGCTGGTAGATTCAATAGAAAGATTTGCGGTTAACCAAGATTTCGATGATTTACTCGGTAAAATAAGTTGGCTTTTTTTATTTAGACCAGAACATGTAAGTGAGAAGTCACGAGAAGTCATCCTCGCGGTTCTGCTCTCCTGCACGTGTTACTCGCGTTCTCGTTAAGCGTTACCCCTCCAGTGGGGTCCGAAAGTACCTCCAATAACCATAATGAGCTATATCTATTCGTCGTATGGTCTCCTGCTCTGTTCCCTCCCCTTGAGGGGCTCTTTCCTTAGATATCTTACATTCATTTCGAATTGGTACATACAGGAGACCTGGGAACGAAACTGGGGATAGACTTGTATCCAGTCCCTACATTATTTATGCCCTCAGCTTAGAGAAATGGGAATCCTTCATTTGACTAATTCGAAAACATACTACACTCCTAGTTTTGCTTAGTATTCAATACGTCGCTCCTTCTCTGCTTTCTTGTCTCTCGCGCAGGGAAAAAAACGCAAACCTTATTGCGGATGCCCTGGAGTTTATGTACACCCCGTGGCCTGATAAAAGCAACAAATACGCACTAAGGGGTCAACTTATGGACCTCTTCGGCGATTTCGTATTCTATGCACCTAGTCACCAGTCCGCCGATGTTCACAGTTCGGTTGCTCCGGTATACATACTCGAGTTTGCGCATCGTTCAAAAACGGTTACTAAGCTCCCGAAGTGGATGGGCGTGGTCCATGGTGCCAATAGACATTACGACTTTGGAATTCCTCTAATCCCACCGTTTTCTTCCCGTTACGACGCAGATGACAAAAACGTCAGTTTGTTCATTATGGCGCTGTACACAAACTTTGCTAAGTTCGGTGATCCAACGCCGCAGCCAGTCAGCGGTGTTATGTGGAAGAGATACAACTCAAGCTACAGGGCGTATCTACGAGCTGACTCGAAACCTAAGATGGCGGCGTCCTTTGTCCCGCGTCGAATGGCATTCTGGAATGATTACTATCCAAAGCTTGAACAAGTCAAGTTTGATACGAAGGAATATGTGGCTAGTGGTACCGGCGAAAATGTATGCAGCACAATATTTTTTCTCACCGCTCTTTCCTTTGGCATTTTTAGGACATTAAAATGAGACTTGAGAAAATGTTTGAAAATAATACATGGACATTATATCTGTATAACTTACCTTAGTGAAACTTGCTTCTGACTTTTGCGTTAAAGTTACATTCGATAACACTCTTCGCTAGTATTTGCGCCATGATTGGTCAATTTAGCGGGCTGTGTTTCACCGTATGGCTCACTAAATTCAAAAGCTTGTTTTAATTGGCATATTTCCCCTCCATTTTAACTCAGATATATAAGAAATACATTGCTAACCTCGATTTCTCAGTCCGTATTGTAAGTTACGGAACCTGGTTTTTTGCTCTCGGATTTATGGCCCCATACCTTGCACATAGGCCATATTTCCGAGCGGAAAAAAACTGGCGTGCAATTTACACTATGGACCCCAAACACGGTTAGTAAGAGTTATATATTTGACGGTGAGATTTTTCATCGAGGTAAACTTGGCTCCTCTGAAAATAAAATTTTCATAAAATTCGTGTGTGCAGTAATCGAATTTATAGCCTGCTCTATATCTTAGATAATACCCTTTTAATTTTTCTCTATTCTATTCATGACAAATTTCTACGTGACTCTTTTCATTACACCACATGGGGATGTTGTGTTACCACAGTTGTATTGTGAAGAAGGTTTGCATGCAAAAAAAGTAAATGAATAGTTGTCGCTCTGAAAATTTCATTATTTAGTGCTTTAGTTAAACAGTTTCCGTTTCATGTCTAACTTAACCTAAAAATTAAGGTTAAACAAAAAATGAAACGAAAGTAAATTGCAAAGTGATAAGGGACTAGCCATTTATTTTGGAGGGCAGTTGGAGGATTCTGTGGGGGTCACATGGTTTTCAGGGGGGAAATAGACGAGGGATCAGTCGCTGCCAACAAAGTAATTAAAAAGGGGGGGCTAATGAAAATTGACCGCCAATTAACTTCTAGTAAGGGTGGATCATAATACAGAGCCTATGGGGATTGGGAACAATTTAACGTGAAAAATTAAAAATCCTCCAAACTACCCCACCCCCCCCCCCTGCAATCTCCTAGGCGAAAAATAATGACCAGCCCCTTCTCATCCTTAATATCAAAGCTTTGGGTGGAGAGGTTTACGGGAGAGTCAGTGAGATCATCTCTATTATATATATATATATATATATATATATATATATATATATCTTAAGTGGTATGATAAGATCATGTTTGTTACTTCAGACTATTGTTGCACAGATAATAACTCCAAGCTGGAGATATGTTGCCAAAACTACATTAGAGCTTACTCCACCGACTACGGCTCTCTTCAAATCAAAATTCGTCTTTTTCAGTTTGGGATGATAATTATTCCAAAATGACATTCGACGAGGAGCGAACGAAGCCGCCATCTTGGGTTTGGTGTTCACTCGGAGATAGGCCCTGCGGCTTGAGTTGTACTTATCCCACATAACACCGCTGACTGGTTGCGGCGTTGGATTACCGAAGTTGGCGAAGTTTGCATACAGTGCCATGACAAAGAAACTGATGTTTCTATCGGCTTCATCATATTCAGGAAAATTCGGCAGCATCGGGATACCGAAGTCAAATGGAAGGTTCTCCCCATGTGCCACGCCCATCCATTCAGCATAGTAGCTGCCATTCTTTGAGCGGTGCGCAAACTCGTACATGAAGACCTCGGCATACTGGCTGTGAATATCGGCGACTTCGTGACTTGGTGCGACGAACGCATTATCACCGATGGAGTTTACAAGTTGACTTCTTAGTGCGTATTTGTCACTATTATCAGGCCATGGGGTGTACATGAACTCCAGCGCGTCTGCGATGAGGTCAGCATTCTTCTTCCTAAAGGTAATAAAGTGATCAAACATCTTAGAGATACAGAATATTACATGTCTCATTAAGCGTGACATGAGCTGAGAGAGCGTGACACGTAGTGCCTTGAAACGACTGATATGTAGCGTAATACGCGGAGTGACATGTAGTTTGTCATATATTGTGACACTCTCGTCAGCTGTGATGTACCGGACGAAATGCAGCGTTAAACGTGCGACAATAAACAAACAATTGATATAAGGGATGAAGACGACACGTAGCGTGACAAGCGTGACTGACGTGCATTGTGGGTGTGTGAGTAAAAGCATTTCGTGTGCCATGACACGCAAAATTACATAATTATGGAACATACTAGCGACCTGCTAGGGATACGCAGTAATAATATCACACTGCTGACAATACTGAAAAGCAGTGTGACTTTTTGAGCAGTGCATCTCTTATAATATACGGTCCGTGTGACTTCCATAACATATACAGGGCCGTTGATCTACCAGACAGAACATCAACTCCTGACATACAAACAGAACGTGTCAAATTTGCGCTTAGGCAAGGATGCATCAGGCCCTTCGCTAGCCTTTGACCTAGTAAATGCTAAAACCAAACAGAAGCACAAAATTAAAAAAATGCTGATAATATTAAGTGACTCACTCGGTAACGCTAACATGAGCGAATGCCTTTAAGAATTCCTTGAAAAAGGCTGGACTGACTCCGTCTTCCACATTTTCCTGTAGTCCAAAAGACCATTTGGCGACAGGTCCAAGATACGATGCACCCTCGTGGCTCATGAAACTGATCATTAACTTGACTTTCTTGAACTCTCCTTTTTCACGCAGTTCTCGTGGGTCCGCGAGAAGGAAATGGTTGTCTACTACCGGCGCCCACATAAGATAATCGGTGAGCTTAAACGTTAACATTTCGGCAGCGTTTTGCATTTCCACAGCACTCTTCGAGCGGATGCAAGAGACCATATTTTTGTAGCTGTTTGTAGTGCACTTTAATTTTTGAGCAAGTTCTTTGGCAAAGTTAAGGCCAAACGAAACGGGCTGAGTCGCGAAGGAACTCAAATCCACCCCACTTTCGACAATGGCTTGGTGAAAGAGACCCTTCGAAAGAGGTGAAAGTAAATGAAGGCTCACACTCGCCGCGCCGGCGCTTTCTCCAAATATCGTCACCTCGGTAGAATTTCCGCCAAAAGTCTCAATGTTGTCCTGGACCCACTTCAGTGCTTCGACTTGATCCAGCATTGCAAAATTCCCAGGAGCCGAAGAGTCGCCGGTCGTCAAGAAACCAAACGGACCGAGACGATACTGAATCACCACAACTACCACCCCGTGCAGAGCCAAAATGTCGCTCGGGTATGTGATAGCCGCACCGTTGGTGAAGCTTCCACCGTAAATGTAAACCATGACTGGTAAACTCGAGCTTACATTTGGGGAGTAGACGTCGAGGTACAAGCAATCCTCGCTGTAAGAGTAGTTTTCAGCGAACGTTTTGTACCAATAATCATACTGTCTGCTTTGCATGCAAATGTTTCCATGCTTTTTCGTTGGAAGGATGTGCGGTCTCCAAACAACTGGAGGTACAGGTGGTTTGAGTCGAAGCTCACCAACCGGTGGAGCAGCAAAAGGAATGCCTAGGAATTTGCTGACAGACTGAAAACGGAGCCCCGAGACTCTTGGATATGAAGCGACGACACCTTCGATATCTCCATACTTCGTAGATACTCTTATTGAAGTGACCAGTGGCAATAATGTACAGATTGCTGTCAACGGCTTCAGAAGAACTGAAAACATGTTTCTTCTCAGCATTTATCTCCGTTCTGTGCGTGGCTTGAGTACAAAATGCTGGTGTAGTGTTCGTTGTTATAGCTACGGAAACCTCTCACAGAACGGAATGTAAAATTTGAATCTGTAGATAATAACAAAAGCTTTCGTGACACTCATGTTGTCCTAGGAATGCCGTAGAACTGTCAACTGTCACCATAGTTGCACGTCAAGGAGGCTGTATGGCTGTGTGCAAACAAAACACAGCTACAGAGTAACAAAAATGGAATAAATTGAATTAATCACGGTACAGTAAACTTAAAGTCACGTTAGTTAACATCAATTTATTAAGCTATGCAACTCTGCTCTCGAGAGAGAAAAATCGTCAGTCGTCGTTAACAGAGTATGGGGGGAGGGGAGATGGACATTAGAATACTACAGAGCCCTAGGGGGAACAATCAAAATCCTCCGACCCCTGCCCCAGGCTGACCCCCCTCAGTTACCCCTGAAAATCAAGTGATCCCCCAAAATTCTCAAAACCCCACCCCCAACCCCCGATAAATTAGACTGGTCCTGCAGTTGTTAAAAAACATCAGATATGATGGGTGGGGTACACATCCCTCGTACCTTCCCTCTAAATTCCCCACGGGTCGAATTGATAAGACTGAAAAACTTAAAAGCTGTGAAGTGTTAACCAAGTACGGTGCGAGAATAGTCAAGAATGGAAAAATTGATGAAAATACAGCAGTAGAACCCCGCTAACTCGAACTCTGTTGACTTGAACCTTCCGCGAGTACCTCGAACGAGATCTGATTCCACTTGACAGCGTTTTTTCAATCATTTACCGTCAGCTGGCTCAGACCCCTGCTAAGTAGAAACATTTTTTTGTTTCCCTTAGGAGTTCGAGTTTGCGGGGGTTCTACTTTTTACTTTTGATTATTATTTCACAAACTGCAACGTAGATGCGTACAACTAGTGTGCACGGCACGAATGCCAAACGTACGCGGAAAACAGTCAACCCTTTTCAAATGCTGATAGCAGGTGCGTGTCGCAGAATGCGTTCCAGTCGTCTGAACTGGGGCTGAGGGACTCAATCATTCCAAGAGTGGCCACTCCTCGTCGCCAATTGTTGTATACTAGGGTCTGATACACTTTAGATCCATGCGGGAATGGACCAAGTCACATCAATAATAATCAACTTCGATGAAGGGTGTGCTAACCAATAAATACAGATTATCTCATAACCAAGTTATTTGTCCAATTAATGGAACAAACACTTCAGTATGCCTTGGGCAAATTGTTCTCATAAATATTTCGCATTGCACGGTTTAATCAGAGGTAAGTCCAAGTGAATGAACCACATAAGTATATTTGTCTATCTAGAAATATTTAGCCTAAACTTTTCAAGGTCTTCATTTGCGATACGTCTTCTATCTCGCCGTTTAAGGAAGTTTTTTTTCAGTAATAAATCTTTATTCATTGATTAATTTGCCATATTACAATAAAAAATTTACAAGCAAGCACGATAAGCTACGTGAAATATAGCAAAGTGTGTGGTGAGGAAATTTATATGAAACCACGATGCTTGCATGCGATTAGGTTTTCTCCCAAATTAAGGAACAAAAAGATTGTGCCGCACAAAACATCGAAAAAGATGCATAGGTGTAAAGCCAGATTAGCATCAGGAGGAAAAAAAAAGAAAGAAGGAGGTTGATAATAGTTGAAGGACGCTAGAGTTGGAGTGTTTTTAACTTTGCAAGTAAGGGTATTGAAAAATGCAGGACTTTGAAAGAAAACGGAAAACTGCGTTATATTTGCAGTATGGTAAGCGAAAAGCGTGCCTTGTGTCATAGTTATGAGTACTGCTCTTAAAGGAAAAGAGGTTATCCCGACTAAAAGGATACATATATTATTGACCTAACTGAAATAATAAATATCGTGCATTTTAAGTGAATAAAGAAATACATTTGAAGGTATGGCAATTTCGTCCATCATAAAAATGACTCAACAAATCGCGACAATTCATGTATATCAAGAAAAATTCATTTTTTTTTGCAATATCCGAGTGCGACTCGTCTGCCAGTTCTTTGTTGTTACGTCCGAATAACTAGAATGATATGCAAATTAAATGTATGTGCAAAGATTTTTTAATTTTTAATGATCTACTTCACCTCACTTTACATTTATCATCTAGTCACACTATTGTGCGCAGACAGCTCAGATTAAAATTCATCACACTTTTTCATAAACTTCTCTTTCGAAATTAAACTTGTCCACTTTGCCACAAAACAACTCTCATTGCAATTCGTTCTGTTTAAAACGTCGTTTCCCTTCGCGAACTTCATTGGTATGAGAAACGCTTGCCTAGTCTTGCGATTAGCAATTAAACGCATTGTTTATACATGTATAAATTCGTCTCAAACCCAACTTGCCTAAAAACGCTTGAGTTACTTCTGGTATGTTGAGTATGCCTATCAGGTGGTGATCAACATTTCGATAGGGTCACGAATTTATGAGTTAAACTTGCCCGTATCATCTTTAAGAGAAGTAAACAGGGATGTTTTCGACGGTTTTAGCGAAGCTTGTCTTATTCGTGGTGTATTTGCCTCAAATCAAATCAACCATGGTTTCCACAAAGTATGGGGACATTGAAGGTGTTGAGAGCTTTTATCAAAATTCTACTGGACCATTCAAGTCTGTCAGCAAGTTTCTTGGAGTTCCATTCGCTGCACCACCGATTGGAAACCTCAGATTCAAACCACCAGATCCTCCACGGCAATGGAAACCAGACGTGCGTCAAGCTAAACAACACGGCAACATTTGCTGGCAAGATGACGACCATGAGGTCTTCATTCGAATATTCACTCAAGATTTTGTCTACAGCGAGGATTGTTTGTACCTCGATATCTACAGCCCAAATGTAACTTTGAGTTTACCCGTGATGGTGTATATTCATGGGGGAGGTTACGAAAGTGGCACTGCATTAATATTTCAAAGCGACATGTTAGCTCTTCATGGGGTGGTGGTTGTCGTGATTCAATACCGTCTCGGTCCATTTGGTTTCATGACCACCGGGGATTCTGCTGCTTCCGGAAATTATGGAATACTCGATCAAGTCGCAGCTCTAAAATGGGTCAAAGAGAACATTAAGAATTTTGGTGGGGATCCCAGCAAGGTGACTATCTTTGGAAAAAGCGCTGGAGGAACAAGTGTCAGCCTTCATCTACTATCACCGCTGTCAAAAAATCTTTTCCACCAAGCCATTGCAGAGAGCGGAGTAGATCTGAGCTCGTTTGCAACTCAACCAACTTCAATCGGTGTGCATTTTGCCAAAGAGCTTGCCCAAAAACTGGACTGCACAACAAGCGATCACGCCTTAATGGTTGATTGCATACGCGGTAAAGAAGGCTCGGAAATACAGAAAGCTGCAGAATCAGTGAAGAATACGCATCATCAGTACGTCCGTTGGGCTCCAATCGTGGATAAGAATTTTCTCGATGACTCTCCTCAACAGATGCGTAGAAGAGGAGATTTCAAGAAAGTGCCGTTGATGATAAGTTTCACCAGCAACGAGGGTTCAACTTTTCTTGGCCCCGTAGCGAAATCTTCTTTCGGACTCACAGAGAATGTGAACAACGGTGTAAGCCCGTCATACTTTAAGAAGTTTGTAACAAGGCTCGCACATGCTCAAAGCAGCAGGTGAGTTTTAATTTTTTTTAACTTTGTCGTCAGTGTTGTTCCATGTCTTGAAATGAAGTAGTAAAACTTTTAGTACCCCCCTTTCCTTCCCAGAATAAAGTGGGTGTGGTGGGGACGAAACGCCGTCTATAAAGAAAGTTCATATTTAATAGAGTTTGTTCCACTTACTTCCAAGAGTGAACATCCAGGATGACAAAACAGTATCTCCCAGTCTATCTTAAAAGAATTGGGAAGAAATTTGTGAAATATTTCAATTTATAATCAGTCTTATTTAATGCCTATCTTAAACTAGGATAAGGAGTTTAATTAAGACATTTGACCATCAACAGTTCCCGTTTCCCCACAACCAAATCCAAAATTATCCAACTCTTCCAAAGGCGAAGCGAAACAGGTTGCAGTTCAAAAGGAAAAAAAACACACAAACAAACAAAAAAACAACCAGGAGCCATAATAATAATCCATAGCCATAATCCTCGATCCTCAGACAAACTTGATGCTTTCGTCTTTTCATCTCTAGAAATGAAACCGCTGTCCTTATCGCAGACGCGCTGGAATTTATGTACACCCCATGGCCTGACAACAGTGACAAATATGCACTAAGAAGTCAGCTTGTCGACCTAATTGGAGATTACATCTACTTTGCACCAAGTCACGAGGTGGCCGATATTCACAGCAAATACGCGCCAGTTTACATGTACGAATTCGCTCACCGTTCAAAGACAGCGAGTCCCACCCCAGAGTGGATGGGTGTGGTTCATGACGCAAACGCGCCTTTTGACTTTGGCGCTCCTTTGACGTTACCTTTCTTTGATGACATCGACAAAGATATTAGTTTGACGATCATGGAACTGTATACAAACTTTGCTAAGTATGGCGATCCAACACCATTGCCAGTCAGCGGTGTTACGTGGGAGAAGTACAACTCAAGTCACAGAGCTTACATCCGAGTTGACAACAAATCCAAGATGGCCGCTTCATTTGCTCCTCGTCGAGTGGCATTTTGGAACAATTACCATCCTAAACTAATTCAAGTAGGCTTTGGTACAAAGATCACTAGCGCTAGTGCCAAAGTTGCCAGTATTCATGTCTTACCCACGCTTGCTTTGACAATTTTCAAAAGTCTTTGCTATCTCTAACTATTTTGCCTCACCATGATCAGCAAGTCCACTGATTTAAACCATCGTACTAATTTTCTGTTTTTAGCAAACAGTTAAGGGGGAGGGGAGGGGGCTTGAGGATTTTTGCTTATGTCACATAAAATCTACTTTATCCCCCATAATGCTCCCCGCCATCATTGACAGTTAATTGGCAGTCAATTTTCTGAAGCTTTCCCTTTATTATCTGTTCGTGAACCCCTTTGTTCCGCCCCAAAAATCCTCCACCCCCCCCTCTCCCACGCGATTAATAATGACTCTTGCCTTAGCCACGTCACTTTTGAAGCGGGGTTTAAATCATAATGACACCGAAAGTCTTCCAAATCAAAAGTTGTGTTATCATATCAAACTTGAACACGGCTTTTTTTTTTCTTGTATGGTTGTGTTTTAAAAATACTTGTTATATAATTCTCCTGATTTGTTCGATTTACTAAATTTCTTTGGCAAAAAATGAGATTTTACAATACAATACTGAGAACCTAAGATTGATTAGGGTACTTGTCAGCAGGCTTTTCGTATTTAGATGCGCGCGCGAACCGTGTAGCATACATTGCACGTCCAAAATGACTGATTAATACGTTCTTGAATATTAATTAAGTCTCTGAGTGGAAAGCAAGGTTGTTGAAATCTTAAATATCTGAGACAAGGAGAAAGAAAACTTCGTCAAGGTGGAATGAATCTTACATGCTAATAATCGTATACTAAGCACGATGCTGACAAATAAGTAATAGACTCCATGTGGCGTGAAAATATGCTCGGATAGTTGTTCACAGACATTATCTTTACCAAGATGCGCAGAGATTTCCGAGAGCGAAGCTCGAAGAAAACTGAGCTACAAAGAACAGATAATGTCCAAGTACTTATTCTCGTGCCAAATGGAAGTTAACAAACAAACATCTTAGGAATATTTTGTAACGCGCTGGAAAAAATGTTTACGAATAGGCTATCGTTTAAGGCGTGGGATGTTCACTTTTCAGTGCCCACTGGTACTATTTTATAAACAATAATGTCTCTTCTTCTGTAACAACAGCGAAACGCTCTCTCATCTTGAGTCAAATTTAAGATTACTTCAGAGTTTTCCGCTAGTGGATGTAACGTTTGAAAAGTAAGGAAACATCCCTTGGGGTATATACAGCACTAGATATTTCCCAGTTTTAACTGGGGCATATTCTGTCATGTGATGCGTCAAGACCTACATCGCGTGCGAGCAAAAACATTGTTGGGTTAAGAGTTAGGTAATATTTCCTCACAGGTCTGGTGGTCATGGTGGTCTGGTGTCAATCTATGACAATTTTTCTAACTTTTTCCCCTTCCATTTTCGTCATTGTTTCCTCGCTTTCTTCTTCAGTAACTTTGATCTTCAATCCGACAGATAAAAAACGTATAGTCTAGACCAAAATAATCCCCAATTAAGTCTTTAAAATAAACAGGGGATCGAATTTGTTTTGTTCGTCGCCCCCTCCGATTGGTCAAGAATATACCTACACCAATTTCCTAACGATTCAATTTTAAAACTAAAACTAAAACTAACAACGACCAGATCATTCGCGTTTTCCCCGCGTTTGAGGCGTCATGGACCAGTAATTATTTATCACGTGAGGAATCGGAAGATTTTGGGGGGATCAAATGGTTTCAGGGGGGACCGGAGGGGGGATGAGTCGTCGCTACGCGCTAACACAGTATAGAGGGGAGACTGAAGAAATTTGACGGCCAATGACGGGGGGGGGAGGGGGAATAATTTGAATACTACGGATCGAGCTTTTTATGGGGGGGGGGGGGGATCAGGTAAATGTTATTGTGACGCAACCAAAATCTTCGAACCGCCCCTCCCCGAGAAAAAATTATCGTAATAATATTTTGCTCTGGGTTCTTTTTGCCTCACTGTGATTAGTCTCCTCTGGAAACAGTCTATGGCCATTGAAAAGCGGTGTGGAAAATGACCAAGGTTACATATTTTGATTACTGGTCATGAAACTTAAGCGGATAAAATTACTACGAATGCAAAATTTGTGACGTCAACAGGCTTTCAGTACATGCTGGCATTAGTTTCCATCTACGTCAATAAAAATAAAGAATAAAATCTGATAACCACCTGTCGAGGGTGGGCTGAGAAATTGAACTTCTGCCATGCAGGCCGGTTCATTAGAGAACACTTGATACTTAATAACACCGACATTTCTCACAGATGATGTAAGTTGTTTTCCATGTCGCAGGATTTGGCCGGCCTCAGATTAAAACGAACAGATCTGCAATGAATTAGTGGGCCGTCAGAAGTAGATGAGACACTTTCTGAGCGAGATTGTTGTGAAGATCAAGACTTTTAGGAAGCGTGATCTGTTTCAGCTGAAAATCGAATCTCAACTGTTTACTTCTTTAGGCAATCCAAGCCACTTATGAATTTGAACCCCCACGACGAATTTGAAAGGCTATTAAACCAAACATTTTGAAAAGAGAAGGGGGGAGGGGGTGTGGAGGGAGTGCGGAATAACCTGAAAGCCGTGTTAGGTGAATTTTTAGACGTTTTAGTCCGTGTAATTTCTATGACTAGAAATCACACCTTACCACGTAGATTTTGAAATTATCAAGTGGTTAATTAAATTATGGTTAATTATGTCTTGGACGTTCGGAAAAAAATAACCTGACCTCCTAAATGAATTTCAAGACGAAGTGTTTGATAACAAATCTTTTCCAAGCTGCCTTCTCCCCCCCCTCCCTCCCCCCTCCCTGAACTAAACATCTCATTGTTTCTACGGAATGAGAGCCTCTAAAATTGACTTTTATCATGATCGCTGAATTTAAATACTTTGTGTCACGATTATGCATAGCTTCGAATCTTAATCCTTCTTGATGCTTCCTCGGTATCAGGAAGCTCGAGAAGAAGGAATTTAGCTTGTGGGGTTGGAGCAAAGTTGAACCATTTTTTTCCTCAAGGAAATAATGTTCGAGTCGAGGAATGTAATGACTTCTTAATTGGTAATCGTTTATTCTTGAACGAGTTGTTATTCATAATCAAGGATGCTCTGTTATCAAGACCACATTATTTGTATTGCGGCCATTAAGTTCTCGACTTCCTTAAATAAACTCGTGCAAAACATTTTTGCTGAGTTATCTAACACAGGTCAAGTTCTATAAGTCACTGTGCGTTGAAAGAAGCCCGAGTCAAATGGGAGACAGATTGAAACTGTCTGTCACTAAGTTTTCATTTATGGAAACGGAAGGAGCCTTCTAGTATTTGTCGGTGTGAGATTGCAAGCAATTATATGACCTAGGTAATCTTTGAGGTTGTTTTGCTTTTGTTTCGGTCGGATAACGCACGGAGCGCTGTTTTTTTACATGACAAGTCGACAACGATGGTATTCTTCAAGACCTGTTACATAGTTGCCTTTTTAATGACCGCAGGACTTTTCTTAGCTTTTGCTGAAGATGATTTGATTATAGTGAAAACACGATTTGGATCGGTCAGGGGAAATACTCGTCGTTTTGATGACCTCAGCATGCCCATCCGAGCTGTGGATAAATTTCTTGGGATTCCGTTTGCAGCGCCGCCTGTGGGTGAGTTACGGTTTAAGCCTCCGCAGCCCCCCCAGGTTTGGAACCCGTCCATTTACGATGCCTCGCATTTTAAGGACATCTGTATTCAAGATCCTGAGTACAATGAGTTCTTCTGGCCAAATCTTTCCATTCCACAAAGCGAAGATTGCTTGTATCTAAATGTGTATTCACCCCATCGGAACTCGAGCTCCAAGGAACTCTTTCCAGTCATGGTTTACATTCACGGAGGGGGCTATGATGCTGGAACCCCCGCTGTCAGTCCGGGAGATGTGATCCCCTTATGGGGTGTCGTTCTGGTGACCATACAATACCGCTTAGGCCCCTTTGGGTTCATTACTTCTGGTGACGTAAAGGCTCCTGGAAATTATGGAATGTTGGATCAGGTCGAGGCTCTAAAATGGATCCAAAACAACATAGAGCCCTTTGGGGGTAATTCGTCGGCGGTTACCATATTTGGTGAGAGCGCTGGAGGGTCCAGCGTAGGCCTTCTACTCTTGTCCCCTCTTACGAAGGGTCTTTTTCACCATGCAATATCGAACAGCGGAGTGGACCTCTCCCCTTTTGCCATTGGGTCAAACGAAGAAGTAACAAAACAGAGCAAGATGGCCGCCAAACAGGTGGGTTGTGAAGTAGAGGATAGCGGTGGAATGATCAAATGTCTACGTTCGATTGACGCCTTGAAGTTCTCAGTGAAGGATGCAAATGTGTGGAGGCCCATAGTTGATGGAAACTTTCTTCTGGACACTCCACGAAAGCTGAGAAGGGCCGGAAATTTCCATCATGTTCCGTACTTGGCAGGGTTTACTAGCCAGGAAGGCACCTACTTTTTCCCACAACTCCTCGAGAACACAACACCTGAAGATTTCCTTCATCGAACTAAGGAGGTATTTAATATGATTGGCAACGAGTATGGACAAATGTTGAACGGAGATCTTCCAAAGACTCTTCTCGATACCTTAATGTTGTTGTATACACCGTGGCCCGATCAAAATGATCACATTAAGGTGAAAATTGCATTAGCAGATGAAGTCGGGGACTTCACCATGAGTGCCCCAACGCATGCAGATCTGGCTCTTCACAGTAAAGACGCTCCTGTGTTCATGTACGAATTTGCACATATGTCTACGCTCAACCTAAGGCCCGCATGGAAAGGACCCTCACATAAGGATGACACCCCGTACCAGTTCGGGTTTCCTTTAATGAATCTAACCGTTTTACAACAGTATAACGAGGCAGACCGAAACCTAAGCTACATGTTAATCACGCTTTTTACGAACTTTGCCAAATATGGTAAACCCACACCACAGCCTGTCAACGGTGTATCATGGGAAGGATTCAACACGAGTCACATGGTGTATCTTCGTGTCCAGTCGCAGCCTGAGATGGCTGTCAACTACAAACCAACCAAAATGGCGTTTTGGAATGAGTTCTACGAGAGGATGTTGTTAGAGGAGCCCCACACCTGCCATTCTACATCTGGTGCTCTTAAACGGTGCTTCCTTTTCCGTAACTTTATCGTCTTTTCTTGCGTCTTTTTGTTTGACATGATTTTTGATTAATAAGAAAAAATATCTCCATTTGTCACGTAAAAATTAGAGAACAAAATCATCTGAAGTCACGGAAAAAGGTAGCACCCAGATTTTTAATGTCTCTGAAGGATTGTCTTTTCAGAGGAGCAAAAAAACAGTGGTGCTGTAGCGATCAGTTGCTCAAGGCTTTATGTCGACTTGCCTGAATTTTACACATTAGAGGGCTGGTGTTTAAAATAAAGAAATGTAACGTAGGACTACCCTTTAGCACAAAAATGTAGAAGAAACAGGTCTAGTTTGAAAATTTAATGAAATTCTGTTATCTTACCCTTCTTTAAGACTAGAAATTAAATAGGTAGAGAGCTTTGTGGAGGTTTTGCCCCATTTTAATTTGCCCCCCCCCCATCACCTTTGCAAGATGGCCTCTGAAGTAAAACGAAATCGCCCCCAAATGTTTCAGCTCGTTCCTTTACGGCAAGATTTATTTCTTTTTTGCTCGAATCATATTACAAGAAAGCCGAAAGGAAACAAGTTGAAATAGTTGGGGGCGAACTTGTAAAGGTGGAGGCGGACTTGTTTTACTTTAGGGGAGAACTCTAAAAGGTGGTATAGGGCGAACTTGCTATGAGGAAAAAACCTCCAGATGCCGTTAGAGATACTGGGGACTGGGAACTTGAGATGCAATGGGAAAGAGAAATAATGTTAGTGATACGCCTCTGGGGTAGGGATGGGGAGTTGTAGGATTCTGGTGGAGATGGTTTTCAGGTATACGGAAGAAGGATCAGTCGTCACCAACAGAGAATAAAGGGGCGGGGGGAACCATAGAAAATTGGTTACCAATGGAGGGGGGGGGGGGGTCGTAAGAATATTACAGAGCCCTAGTGGAGTCAGGTGGATTCGTCGTCACACAACCAAAATCTTCCACCCCCCTCCCTCCCCCAGACAATAAATATTGAACGGTCCCTAATCACCAATTATCCCCCTCCCCCTAGGGCATCCGAGACTCGAAAGGACGGAATATTCCCATTATGAGACTTTGATCGGTGATTGTCCTTAATCTGGTAGAACCATTAACCATGACAGTTATTTGAAGGCAGAATTATTTTTTCTGACAGTTCTTTCTCTAGAAGAAATAAAAGTGAATGGAGATTTTAAAAAAAATACAGTCAAAACTTAATGTCTTTTATTCTTTTAAGTAAATTTTAGTAACATAATGAACAACGATGTCATTGAACCTTTAACATTCTCAGGTATATGTATGGTATTATGCACTATTATTATAGATGCCGATTCGGAGAATGAACTATCTTTAAGATAAAACTGGGCCTTAAAGTCTTTAATTCTCATCTGGATAATGAAAAGCGGAGCAATGTTAGTATCTGAGCAACTGCTTGCCTACCCCTCCCCTGACCCAAAAACAGTCAACTGATGACATTGATCTTGAAACGCGGTAAATTTTGATGTCAGATTTTGTTCTCGTAACAAAGTACTTACAGTGTAATAGTTAGCTGACATTACTCGCAATTTTAAATGACATTGTTTTAAAACATTTCGAATTGATAGTGGAATGCAGCAAATAACTTGAGCCCAGAACCAGGAAGCTTTCGAAACTTTATTCGCGGCGCATCAGTTAGCTTTCACTAATAAGATCAATTCGTGTGTAACAATAAAAGATTACACATGCGGTGATATTTTCCTTCTCTCATCGGCAATTATGCTGTTTACAAAACTCGGATTTATGAAAATACTTCCTAAGCGCGGATCAAACGGTCATGATTGTCGCTGATAGTTAGAACTATCAATGACTATATTGTTTGCGTTCAAACGGTTCGTGATAGTTGAAAAAATCACGCAATGAGATAAAAACCATCATACACTATCATCCGCTCGTTCAAACGGTAAAAAAAATCATCAATTATCATGTGGAATTTGACCGTGTCCAAACTACGAGATACTTGATGATAGCCGATAATAGTCGATGATAGTGCATGATGGTTCGTGTACAAACGCGCGTAATTGTTGAAACTATCCTCGACTATCATGACCGTTTGAACCAGGCTTAAGCGCGGATCAAAACAGCCAAAACATAAGGATCATGTGAGAAAAAAAAATAGCTTTCATCAGTCGTACATCTTTCAACTGTGTTCCTCTACTTGTAGAGGAGACAACTTCAGGACAATTATTCTCTTTAAGCAATGTTTTGTAATACTCACGCCAAAATGCCATCTGGGTTGGTCGATAGTTACTCGCATGCGTCGGTTTTCCTTGAATTAGGAAATAAGCCAAATGACTCTGGTTGAATGGCGGCCATGAAGCCCCGAAGACGGGCTCAGGCGTCGGGTTTCCGAATTTGGCAAAGTTCGTGAAAAGTGTTAAAACCGTGTCACTTATGTTGCGGTCGGCTTCGTCGTAATTTTGTAACACGGTGAGGTTCATAAGTGGGAAACCAAACTGGTATGGCGTATCGTCCTTGTGGCGTACTCCCAACCATTCGGGCTCTGGATCGAGCTTGGAGCGATGCGCAAACTCGTACAGAAAAGCCCGTTGCTGCGTGCTGTGGTACCTCAAACTTGCATGCGCGGGCTCCGCCACACAGGAGTCCGTGATCACGTCAGAAAAACCGCGTTTAAGTTTATGACTGTCCGAAGCGTAAGGCCAAGGTGTGTATTGAAAAACGGCTGCGTCTAGGAGAGAGTTAGGAACCTCATGTCTGTTTGGAGTCTCCAAAGTTTGTCCGTATTTATTGAGGATGTATTTGAAGGCAAATAACAGGTTTTTGCGGAAAGTTGTGGGCGTGACGTTTTCAATTTGACTCGGGAAAAAATATGCGCCTTCTTGGCTTGTAAAGCCAGCCATTAGTGGAACTTTGTTGAAGCGGCCAGATTTTCTGAGCTCCTCAGGGGTATCTGGAAGAAAGTTGCCGTCCACCACAGGTCTCCAAATGTTGGCTCTGTCAAGTAAAAGGAGTTTTTGAGCTTCCTTTGAGCGAAGGCATGATATGGTGGCAGCGGTTTCACCTGTGGCACACCCAAGCTTTTTAGCCAAATCGTTCGTGTGTACAACTGCAGTTATATTGGAGCCTATTGCGTAAGGAGAAAGTTCCACTCCACTAATTGCAATAGCGCGATGGAAGAGGCCCTTCGAGAGAGGAGACAGGACATGCAGTCCCACGCTGGAACCACCGGCGCTCTCACCAAATATGGTAACACTTGAAGGGTCTCCTCCAAACATTTCAATGTTATCTTTGACCCATTTCAAAGCTTCGATCTGATCCAACATTCCATAATTCCCTGGGGCTACAGAGTCGCCGGTTGTAACGAAACCAAACGGACCCAAACGATATTGTATAGTGACGAGCACCACCTCCCACAGGGGTACAATGTCCCCGGGGGACACAACAGGAGTACCCACTTCGTATCCCCCTCCGTGAATGTACACCATGACCGGGTATAATCTCTTTACGGCCCCGAAACTTCCGTTGTGGTGGGGTGTATACACGTTCAGGTACAAACAGTCCTCGCTCTCAGGATGCGAAAAATTCGGCCAGAAGAGTATGTTGTAGTCACTAGGCTGTGTGCAAATACTTCGATAATATGAGGCGTCGTAGGTAGAGGGTTGCCAAGTGGAGACTGGTTTTGGAGGTTTAAACCGCAGTTCGTTCACCGGTGGCGCGGCGTATGGAATACCAAGGAACTTGTTCACGGTTTTGATGGGTTTGTTGATACCTTGAAATCGACGGATTACTCCACGAACTGATCCATATCTCGTGGTAATGACAACGGTGTCATCCGCCGACTGGACTAAAATGGACTCACCCATTGCAAACACGAAGAAAGCAGCAATCAACATTGTCCTCGACGCCATAGGTACTCTCCCTTTACGATAACTCACAAGGCAGCTGCTTTTTGGCTCACCGAAGACCAGCTTCTTTCGATGTCTTAATATTCCGACAAATGTCGCTGAAAGATCACTTAATTAGTGGAAATTTCAGGCACTCTCCTAAGCTGAAAAATCTGTCCAATGACAAGTATCTTTCAAGGTCTTTGCCCTGGAAAATTAACAGAAAAATGCATACCAGCGTTATATGTGGCACGTTGGGCGGAGACTATTTGTCAGCTCAGATCTGTTATCCAACTATTAACCTAAAAGAATCATAATTTAACTCACTCGTAAGTAGGCGTAGCACCTTCAATCGGGAATAATTTATCTTCTGCTCTGCCAAAACAGTCTTCTTACTGTTTACGTGATTGCGAGTTCACCATGTAAGCCACTGGTAAGCCTTTAAGAAACGACAGCTATGCGTTTATCGGCTTTTTTTTTCCGGCAAACAAATATATTTAAACAAAGCATAATGAACGAAAATACACTTGGAGATATTTGGAATACGATCAAACTTTAGCTTTTTCAAAGGTCATCTAAATTATCAGGCCTGAATTTCACGAACTGTCCTCTGAATATATTTCTACGACATTATTAGGGATCACATTGATACGAGACTCAAAATGAGCGATTATAATCGCTTTTTTCGAAGCTAATTTCGGAAGCACTTGACGAAGTCACCTCGTATCTTTTCATCAAGCAGAAAAAATTAATATAGTATTTCGTTTTCGAGCATCGAGGCTTTTCAGTCAAATCTATCACGTTTTAACAGTAGGTGCAGTGAACTCTTACCCAGATAACAAAAGGAGATAAGAAAGATCGTTTCCTGTCATAATTCATCGACGTATTTGCGTCATTTGTCATTTTTGCTGGTTTTTCTTAATTACTTAATAACAATGTACGCAAAATCTACAAACGGTTTTTCACGCGCGAACTGCCAAGAACCTCAGCAATGCAAACAACCCTTAAAGCTTGATTGACAACGTACTTTTCTCGAAAGCGGCAGCTTTTATTGTACACGATACTCAAAAGATTATTTCCCTTTGTGCAAATCAATTTGCAATTTTTCAAAAGTGACATTTTCACGACTCAAACAAATTTTGAATAATAGAATTTGCGTTTTAGTCGTTTACAGTGCCTTAGAAGTTAAGAATACTTGGAGAGTTTTGCACAAACGAAGCAAGAGTACAGTATTGATAACACATCTTAGCTGCAGCAATATATTTCAGAACCAACAATTTGTTGCCTTTTCAAATCTGAGTTCTTCAAAAGAATAAAAAGTTAAATAATTACTTAACACCCTTTTGTGATCTGTCGACACAAATAAACTCTAGCTTTCATAACTTGGAACGAATTGGCCATCATTCAAATCCCAATTTTGTCTTTTGGCTCATATTTCCACACAGTAAGGTTCGAGTATCGTTTCTCGGAAAAAAAAAACGCACAAGGACTATTTGCTTGAAACATGTCCGAAATTTAGATGTTTATACGCTCTTTTTATTAAAACACACATTCTTCATAAACGTCTGTTTAATAATAACTATTCCTAAGGCAAATTTGAAAACATTTCCATCTGTTACCAGATTAGTATCATTCCGAGAGATAAGGGAAGTCAAATTAGTAATCATGAATTTCCAACACTATTCTTTGCTTGGCGTCAGAAATCCTTTTCGGCTTTGTAGTTGTTACAATGACTCAAAAACTTGGCTGCAATATTTATCAGCAGATATCTATTTGATTCTTGGAGATAATACCACTAAAATCACGGTGTTGTAACATACGATTGGAAGTGCATGTGTTTCGCTTCTCTTAGGATTACAACATGGAACCTCTTTGTATAGCAGATAGCAACTGAAATACAAATTCGTATTATATGCGTTGTGAATATTCACCATAAAATTGTGATTACAAACGGTCAACTTGCGAGCATTTGTGAGGCGAAAGGTCTGCCAAATTGTAATTAAATGACTGTGTTTATCAAGAGGGGTCATAATTTTTTTTCCGGCATAAATCATAGATCAAGAGGTTTTCGACAGCGACGTTTGCCACTTCAAGCGAAAAGCGCTTTATTGCTCCTCAGCTATCTCTGAAACCGTGTAACTCAAACAGTCTAAAGCTCTAATTCGGCTTTCTTGTGAAATCATTAAGCTGTTAAACAGTTTAATTTTTGCCATTTAAAAAACGCAATTAATGGAATAATAATGATATTGGTATAATTATAATCACTACTAGCAATTAATGTCTTGTGTTGCACAATAACGTAAGGCGATGAACATCGCCCTGGCATACGGCCCATAGCTTTTTTTTTCTAAAGTTACTAACCACAAGTTCTTCAGAAAGTGGCAGAAGTTTCTCGTATTCGCGGCAAACGCAATAACTTTCAGCTGTAATTTTTGAAAGATGCTGAAATTAAAATTAAAGGTAGTCATTGAGGTTGAAATTTAGATCCCAACAGCTAGGTTCTATCCCAGAACAGTCGATATTAGTGGTGATCTTTGTAAAAGCGGTCCAGGCCGCATCGGAAAAACGTTTTGCCTCAAACTGAGCCCATTATCTTTGGAAGCAAGTAAATAAAACCACATTGGTTTCTGGAAATAAGTTTAAAAAAATTGGAGAGCTCTCAATAATCAAAGCTGCAAAAGGCCCTTCCTTGACCTCTTGCAACATCGAAAATTTCAAAAGTTGACAAGCTCGCTCCTCGTAACACACTGCATGCAACAAGAAAATCGTTTGCATTCCCAAATTGTGTGATATCTAAGGAGTTTGGAAAGCATTTCAATTTTGACATGTGCTTATTTAGAGGTTCGCCATAATTTATTTAAAAACACCCGTTAGACAGCTGTCTAAAATTGGTCAAAAGACTCTTTCTTGGGTGAAATTACTCGAGTTCAGACGCCGGTTGATTTCTTCAAATAAGATGTTCGAAAGCATAGAAACGTAAACACATCTTGCATTTATTGATTTCCTTCGCCGTAGTGACCTAACACTTTTGGTGATTTTGCAGGCGCGGCAGCAGAATTATGCAAATTAGTCCGTGTAGCAAACTCCGACCGTTCCGTATTAAGAGCTTCATGAAATTAGATTTTAACTGTTTTAAAACGGAAAGATGGTAGGGAAGAGCTTTTAGAACACAATTATTGATACTCTAAACATTTTAAACGGCTAAAATCTGGCAAATGATTCTGTCTCGCCTAGCGATCGGTCCACGTTTTAATGAGAAACTATTTAAAAAAATAGTTTGTGTTTTTCTATATTTGAGTTTAGAGATTGAGCATATATAAACATTTCAGGACTAAACTACTGGATTTTATTCGGCGGAACTGGCGATAACAGCATTACCACTTCGAGCAGTTCCTCCTTTTCGGCGAAGTCTGTGGCGCAGGTCGAAAAAATCAGTGAAGAAAAAATAAATGTTAGTGCCCCACTCCGAGAGCTCCCGCCAGCGCGCTAACATTTCTTTTTTTTTTTTGGCTCTGATTCTCTTTTTTTTAACTCGCGCGACGGACTTCGCCGCAAAGGAGGGACCGCTCTTAATCTCTAACAGCACATATTGAAATTCACCGAGACCGCGCAGTGGGTCAGTCACGTGATTCAATTGTGTACTTTTCCCATCTAAATGCGGCAGCGGTAACTTGAATTTTTTTTGCTCGGAATCCCAGCCTAATCTTCTAGGCTATCAGCCGCGTTTGCGCTTGATGGGAGCTGAGAAATACAGGACTCCAGATCATCGAGAGGAAATGTCCAAGATCCAGTGCAAGTTGTGTTTTTGCAACTCAAATATAAAAGAACACAAACTATTTTTTTTAAACAGAGTTGCACATTGAAACGTTGGCCGAACGCTACTCGATATTTGATACGTTTTGATCACCTCTTTCGTCACGAGACAGAATCATTTGCCAGATTTTAGCCGTTTAAAATGTTGAGAGTATCAATCACTGTGTTCTAAAAGCTTTTTCCTATTATTTTAAGGGAGGAGTTCCCTTCCATTCAAAAGCAGATTTGAACTCCAGCCGTAAGGTCAGGTATAATAGACTCAAAATTGTGTTAGAGGTGGCCAGAGAGTCAGAGGTGGGAAACATCACAACTAGGTTAGGACAAAAACAAGAAGCATACCAAGATTTTTTGCCGCTGGTTGTAGCTTGCTCGAGGTGAACGAGTTCCCAGAGTGAGTTCCCAGATTTTAGATTGTTTATTCAAGTTGTCAGCTTGAAAACATAGTCAGCTGCACTCAGATATCAATGCTCATATAAGGAGCTCGAATTTAATATGAACTTTCGCAATCTTTTACGCAACGATTGTTTTTGGAAAGGATTTTAGAATCAAGTGATTGTAGTATCAAACTATATTATTTGGATCAGAACTAAACAAAACAACCAGCTAGTCTTTTTCTCTCGTAGGCTAAATGTCGGCAATTTAAGCCTATTTGACGAGTTTCAACCAGCAAACTTCACCGAAAAAAAAAGTCTAACACAGCCGTAGTACACATACAAATATGAAAAGACATCCTTCTACATCGCAATTTTAGGCGGTCTCATCACGGACCCAAAGTTTTAATAATAAATTTGATCACTCAAGTAATCAGAAAGAGGAACACGCACATACAGGAAAACCACAGAGGCCGAAAGGTGAGATAATTATCTCAGTCGGCGTATTGCTTCCCAGCGTAAAAGACTTAAGACACTCGCTGTTTTGACTTCTACTGTTCCGTTAAACCTTTTATCGTCAACCAATCAGCTTATTGTTAAATCGAATAAGAATGACAGCCAAAAATTCTTTTTCTAGAATTTTATGTTTGTATTTCAAAATCAAACCCTTGGTTTTATTTTCAGGGATTATGGTCGGGTGATTACGGAAAGAGGAAAATGTTTTGTGCTGAAACAGTCTCAGAAGTCAAGTGATGCAACTACATCACTCGGGTCTCACAAGGAAATTGCTCAGTGATAGTTCATCACAAAGTGCAAAGAGCAAATAGTCGGGTGCAAGTCAAGCCAAGGATTTCCAGTTTCTATAAAGCATCCACGAAAGCGATATTACAACTACGATATAAATAAACAAACGATCACGTAAGCTGTGGTTTGTTTCACTGAAACACGAAGACAGTATCGCCTAAGATAAACTTGGGGTCATTGCTCGAATATCTAAGTTTGTCCGTATGGAACTTGAAAGCTGCTTTCTTTTTTTTTTCTTTTTCAAGTGAGTGAGGAGGTGTGGGAATTGTTTTCCTTGGGTGAAAACACGAAACGAAATGAAACACGGAATTGATCCGATCAAAGCTAGAGGACACTCACACATTCAAGACTACATATAGAGCAAAGTTGTAGCGAAAACCAGTAGATTTTTATCACCGCTATCAATAAAAGGCATTTATGAGAAAAAGGCGTGTTCAATGAACACATTTTGAGATTCTGAGGGCAACGACGGCGTTTCCGAAATTGCTCCACTTAGGAAAATTTTACTCATCGTCTCCTTCAACCATTCCGCTAAAATCTATCCCAGTCTACTCTCAGCTGAAGCCAAAATCTAACCCCAATCTCTTTAGCACTCATTTCCACTCGGTTTTCATTCTACCATCAAACTTAAAAATTTCGTTCATTCTAATTTTTTTTTTTAACATGCAGTCAACGGGAAATTCATTCGCACAAGTGGCAAACCCTTCGAAAGAATTGGAATTGTGATTTACATGAGCCATAATCAGTCACACTTCCATAAAACAAAATTTTTTAAATCGGGCATATTCAATTCAGCTTTGTTGTTTTAATTAAGAGACAGTTCTCAAGAGACTGTTTCTTTTACTCCAGTTTACTTTAATTTGACTTTTATTTGTCCACGTTGTGATCTCCAATGTAAGCGTCAAATGCTGATGCGATGGGTTGGATTTACGAAGGCCAACGAGCTCTTCAAGTTCCTCTAAAACACTTGAAATTAGTCCTCAGTGGAATTTATTTCCAGTTTAGCACCTCGCATATAATACAGCTTTTTTTGGGATGAAATCACCCAACGCAACTCTTTAAAAATCTGACATGAAGATTAGGGACGTACTTCAAATCTCAGCAAACAATACCGTTAGATCGATCGTGTGTTACTTTGAGTTCAAGCCTTGTACAATAAATAAGGGCGGTTTTAGGACTAATCGTGAAGAATAGTAAACAAACGATTCATATTCAACTTACCTCAAAACAACTCTCATCTTCCCAAATACTATTCAAGCAAGAACAGCATCTGCCAACTTGCAATTCCCGAATTAGCAAGTTCTTCAGAGCGAAGTGAAAATTGGAGAACCCTTCAAAACTGATTAACTACTATTTTGTACATTTGAAAGCCAGTCAAGCATCCCTTGTGCGTTAAATTATTCAATTTCGTAAAGCTAAGCTTTTAAGTCAGCCACTTGGGAATGCAAATTGAACATTACAGTTTATTGAACTTTTATTGATGCGAATCGTGAACCGACAAAAGCAATTGTGTTGTAACTAAACGGCATTCTTTGTCAAAACTACTGATTAACAAAAGAAAGTAGTAACCCCACGATGTTCCGTAACCAGTTTTTGAAACGAGACCAATATACGATAATTGCAGTTTTCAGTGTGATCACATTTTATGTGTGGAGACACGGGCTGCGAAAAGTGGGTCGTGCGCGTCAAATCGAGACTTACTTTTCAACCCAGAGTGAAACAACAAATACGGATTTCCTCTAACGAGTGCCGGGGTATTTATTTAAAATTTCGGCTTAAAAGGAGGAGCTAGCTATGGTTGAAACTTAAAAAGTTAAAGTGGCAATAGAAACAGGTTTTCCTTGAATTCCTTCTGTTTAAAAAGTTGAGGGGCGTTTGTTTGATATTTTGTCTCACCTAGGGGGACGTCTATCCGAGCGGGGGGCCTTTTCGAGGGTACGTGGGCGCTTATTAACGCGTGGGTTCTTATTCGAGAAAATACGGTATATCTTTAAAGATTGTTGTTTCTGTAGCGCATTCTCGCGAAACAGCCATTTATTGACGTCTTGTTCTTGATTTTTTAAAAATCTACTTTTAACAGCTTTCGTCCCTTGCAGTACTTAATTTCAGTCATTATATTAATGTCCCTTCTGGACCGAAGATTTATTAGACCCGACATGATGTTTATTCATTCATTTTCAGCTGCGGCTTTTGTTTGTCCACAGCTTATTCATTGCGACATCGGCGCGATATTAGGGTCAGATAAGCTATATGCCGGTATAATTTTGGTCATAATGCTATAGTCCTCAGAGCATCAGGTGCAATATCGGCATAATGACCAAACTTCTCAAAAGTGTCCTTGATGTTACAGTTCACCAAGAGATGAATTCTGTAGCCTGAATCCAGTAAATCGTTGTGTTCTGAACTTCGGCAAGCCACTTTTTTAAGCACGTTTTACCTTTTTGTGGTGGGAATGGGGAAGGGGAGGTTGAGGGGCTCTCTACAGCTATTAATTGAATAATTAAATTGAGCATAATGAAACATTTTAGCATGATTTTCGACATAATGCCACGTTTTTAGGGGTGACGCTCAAAAGCCTAAAGCTCAAATTTTCGAGCGTAATTAATCTGACCCCACACGATATACCCACGGCCAGATGTTTCCTTCTTGCTAATGGACGTGTGTTGTGCATGTGGCTTTGGCCAATCCAGTGGCAATTTTCCCGGAAATGAATATAGTCCCACTTAGCCAATCAGAGAGCACGTTATATCTGCCACAAGTTAAGCCTCCTTTAATAATAATAATAATAATAATAATAATAATAATAATAATAATAATAATAAAAAATAGGGTGGCTCTGATTTGAAAATACAGAATTGTTTCACTCTGTGCAATGGTTTGTATGCCAACTGAACTTCAAAAAGTAAAAGATGGGAGGTCACTAAACTTGTTTTCAGCAACAGGTTCATGAAAGTAAATTAAAATAAAAGAGACTGTATTGCTATGGTAACCCAAAATGCCAAAGAAATAATCACAGCATGTACATAAGGGGCAGTCCTTTTAACTGTTACTAATGAAACAACCGAAAAAAAAGTGTCGAAGCAGCATTCCAGCAGAGAATTGCAATTTAGAAGTACTGAAACCATATGTGGACACTTGACACTTCACAGCCAACATCAGTAGAAATATATTTTTCACACTTTCCACCACACATTTCCTAAAATGCTGAAAATAGTAATTTTTTTTACCATCAAAAGCATCTTAGGTTGCTGATCATTTCCTTTATTCTCATGACCTTAATGTGTGATGAGGGGGGGAAGGAGAGGTGGTGGGGCAGAGTGATGTGTTAAGGAGAAATTAGATGCTTGTCACTCTGAGGGGTCAGTGGATTAAGTACACCTCCACCCGTCAAAGTATCTTTGAACTATATCAAAGAGTACTGACACATCTCTAAACTTTGGTTCAGTTCACATTTCAAGAATGATGTTTAATACTTTTTTAGTCAAAAGTTTACCTAAAATCACCTGTAACCCTTCAATTGATCATCTGAACATACTTTACCATTGCTAATAATGTTATTCAATCTACTGTACAATTTAGTAACAGCTATGTTTTTGTACTTTTGAAGTAATACTGATGTAATGTAAACAAGCAAAAATCTCTGAATAAGAACAAATTACAAATACAAGTTCAAAATATTTGAGGTAAAATATTAAAGTTTGCTGTCAAAACACATAACCCTTTGACTCCCAGAAGTGATTAACCTCTAACTTCTCCCAACAACATCTACATATAATTTAGCAAACAAGAGAGGAGAATACTCAAACTTATCAGGTGGAGGCCATTAGCTTGATCTAACCTTAAATTCTCATAACAAATTTACAAGGAAATGTGTGGCAGTTTGAGGAGAGAATTTACAATCAGATCTTAGGAATTTAAGGGGTTAGTTCTTTCATGTATTTTAAGGGAGAAGTTACATGTCAATCACTTCTGAGAGTTGCCGGGTCAACTGTCCAATAAGCTGCCTGTCTAAAACACAACTTAATTATTTTTACAGATCAAGGCCCAGTTGTTCAAAGGTCTATTAGCACTAACCAAGAGTTTAATCCAGGTTTCTATATTTCTCTGTTCAAAAGCCATTTTAGGATATTTTTTCCAATTCTTTTTTAGAGCATTCAATCATCAAACTGTAGACAAATGGAATTTAACTGAATTTTTTTTAAGCTTTCAGATCTGAAATCAGATTTCACACTAATCCTGGTTTAACTTAACCCAGCTTTGAACAGCCCAGCCCAGTAAGACAAAGAAAGTAAAAGAAATCCAAGTTTTGTTAAACATATACTATGCTAACCCTCTAGTGAGACATCAATTTTAAATCATCCCCAAAAGTTTTATGTTTAAAGTCATACTTGTAAAGCAAAAAACACTTAAACTGTTCCCAAATGTTGTTTGTGTTATGACCAATCTTAATGGATATCACAACACAAAGGCAAACAATCAAAAAATAAGCATATATTGACTGAGTAACAAGATTTCTAGCTGTTTGGTCATTCAGTAGCTGGTTGTAATGACACAGTAATATTCTAAAAATATTTTCAGCTTTTCCTGAGAATGACAGACAAAGTTGAGCCAATAACCTGAGAGTAACCTTATCACATTCATTTTATTTCTACAACTAAATATTCTGCAATTTGTACAATAACTAAAGCAGATGATCAAATGTGCAAACTCATCATGATGAAAACCTAGAATTTTTGTTTTTTTAAAATCTCAAATAGGGAAATTTTTTTTGCACATTATTATTATTACAAACTAGAATTCTTTTAAGTCCAAAGACAAAATTTTAGTCAATGATAGGAGTAATTTGCTTCCTACAAATGTATGTCAAATTACACAGCATTCCAAGATCATAAAAAGAGGCTGGCCAATCAGTAACATCAAAACTTTCCTGTGAACAGAGCTTAGCTGCACAGATGGAAATTTAACTGTGAACAAGTCCACCTAAACAAAAGAAACTCTTAAACAATGAAATTATGAGCTTGAGATTTCTATGGCATGATAGTTGATGTGAGCCAAGCTTAACTTTTAACATTTTTTTAAAGTCAAGATGTATGTGTAAGAACTACAAGTAAGCATATAAATAAGCTACTTCCAAATTACTTTCAGTCTATTCTCTTAAATTCAACACTGGAAATAACTCTTTCCCTTTATAATGAGATTTTGTTCACTTGTAAATGAACTTACTATCTCATAAATGGTTCTGCACCTTAATCCATTTTGAAGTTGATTCTACAGATTCACTCAGAAATGATACTACAAGGTTGTGTGGTTGCCACTGTAAAGTGCCAATAAATTTGAAGCTTCAACATCCTTCTTGACTACCCACAAGCATTTTACTGTTGTTTGTGCTCCAGAGGTGGGGAGTTTTTAAAAACTTGCCTGAGTGAGTGGCATATTTGAACCAGCAAAATACACAACTAATATGTACATGTACTCATAACTAATTCATGACTTTGCTACATTCTACAACATTCATTGATCACAAACTGAATCATTCAATAAAAAAATTGTGCATGAGTGGTGCATTGGAATAACAGAATGCAATTTTTGCCTTGGGGTAGGTGGGTGGGGGGGGGAAAGGAGGGTGGTAGGAATTACAACAAACCAATCTTCGAAAGGTCAGATGTACAGGGGAGGGGGAGGGGGAGGGGGTTGTTGCAGCTCCATATTGATTGACAAATAAGCCTTTCAGTTTATCTCATCTACATTTACTTTCAATCAATACTGTAAGGAGAAAAAAAGAACAATAACAATGACAATAAAGAGATGATGATGATAAAGATGATAATGATGACCATGATAAAAATTATGACTGCCCTTTAAAGAAAACTTGGGAAAGGACTAGGTGTCATTTATATTTCGTGTATGTCATTTAGTTTTGTTGTTAACAGTGGAGTGATTCATTCTGTAAAGTGAATAACTCTATATCACCCTGTATGGCTCTAAAAAAGACTGCAATTTTCTTTGGAATACTCAAACTTTGAGACTGTTCACAGCTTTGATAACAAAGGAGCTTCTTGGTGCTGAAGCTGACGTAAATAAGGCAATTGTCCTGAAGCCTTTAGGACCTGTTTACAGTCATAGAAACGCACTGGGGTTTGCTCTTGGATCTTTAAGATGCCTATATCGGAAAGCCAAGTAAATTCCCAAAAACTGAAAGAGTAAATAAATAAATAAAGTAATTTACTAGATGAATTAACCATAAAATAACTGAAAACTTCTACTAGTCCCAAGACTGGTGATCAGCTTCGTTCTCAGATGTTTGTGGTTGTTCTAGTTGGTCAGTTTATCAGCCAGGCAGCAGGTAAGTCAAGCAAGAAGTAGGCAGTTTCTCTGTCAGCGAGTCAATTAGTCAGGCATTAAATTGTATTTCAGCCAACTGGCCTGTTAGACAGTCAGTCAGTGCATAGGCTGGCATGACAGCTGGCCAAACAGACTGACAGACAAACAGTCAGTCAATCAGCAAAGGAAGTCACTCAGTCAGTCAGTCGTTCAGTTGGTTGCCATGTCAATATGTTAATCTGTTGGTCAGCCAATTACCATCAGTCACACAGAGTCAGTTTCTCCCTTTGACTCCTAAGAGTGACTAACATTTAACATCACACATTAAGGTCACAATAAGGAAACAACGCCCAACTTAAAAGGCTCTTGGTTGCTTATAAATAACAAATTCTCCTTGCCAGCATTTTACAAAATGTATGAGGAATGGTATGGAGAATATTCATGTTTATGCTGGGGTATTATGGGTTTTAGGAAGTAAATCAGCCCTTACCATTGTAAAACTAAAAAAGAGACCTATTCCTCCCACAGCATTCTTTAATGTGTCCAAGCCATTGTCCCTTAAATAGCCATAGCAAGTAGGACACTTGCGACAGGTATATGCCTTTTCTCCGTGACAACAAGAAAGCTGAAAAAAAGAGGAATAACATTGGACTGTTGGACTGTCATACTAATACAAAACCAGGACTGGAAATTTGCCTAAACCTGGGGAAAGTAACAAATTTAATCCAAGGTATACCCAACTAATAATTCTTTCTTTGAAGTAAACACCCTGTATAAAAAGTATGGATGTTAGGAAGAGTCCAATCTATGTGCATTGCCACTACAAACTAATAGTATCAAATCAATGAGTTGGTGTCAAATCAAAAACTATTTCAAATCAAAAGAAATATGTGATCATAAATACCCCACTACATGATGGGTGATCTTTAGTTTTATTCTTGTATGTTGCATTGAAACCACAGCAGTCTCCAACGTTCTGAACTTCTTCTTTAGTTTTGTTACTAACAGATTTCCAAGCTTTCCACATAAGGTTATCCCTCTGAGTTGATGATATGCAGAGTGCCGCCAAAGATACAGAAAATAGAATTATGAACAAGATAACCATGATTGCCATGAACTGACGGTAGCTAAGGATACAAACTTCTTCAAGCCAAAGCCCTTTAACCCCTAAAAGTAACCAGTATCTAATTTCTCCTCACAATCTCATCCATAAAACACACATAAAGGTCATGAGAATAAAAGAAATGATCACCAACTAAAGAAGTTCTAAACCAAAATATATTAAAGTTCACATGGCAACCAGGTGGATAATCAGACATAGTTTGACGCTACTCTGGTCTACTCTAACCAGAGTAGCGTCAAACTATGTCTGAAGTTCTAAAGCCTTCAACTCCCAAGATCTGATTGGTAATTCTCCCCTGTAGCTGCTACACATATCCTTGTAAATTAGTTATGAAAATTTGGTGTTAGATCAAGGCAACAACTTCTACCTGATAAGTTTGAATATTCTCATTAGCTGTTTGCTGGATAACATAAGGATATTATAGGGAGAAGCTTTGTGTTGATCACTTCTGGGAGTTAAAGGGTTAACCCTTTAACTCCCATTAGTGACCAAGACAAAATTTCTCCTTACAATATCAATACAATATCAACCAGATAAGTAATGAGAATAAAGAAAAATATCAATTTGGGGATAATTAGTTGATCCAATACTAAATTCTCTGAACAAACATCATAAGAATTATATGGCTGACAGTAAGGAGAATTACAAATTTGATCTGGGAGTTAAAGGGTTAATTTTTAAACAGATTACCATAATTATGGGATATGCATACTGCTGAAAAAGTGTAAGAGGTTCACCATTTGACCCTTAGGAGTGACTGGCATCTAATTTCTCCTTACAATATCACCCCTGAATCACACATTAAGGTCATGGGAATAAAGGTAATGATCACCGACTAAAGAAACTCTTGATCGTTGAACAAATTCTCATTATCAGCTCTTTAGGAATTGTATAGAGAACAGTATGGAGAATGTACATATGCTAGGATGTAAACAGTTACTCTAGCCATGCATTTTTTAACTGGTGGAAAACTTGACATTTTGGATAAGTCATTACTGCATAACAGTAGCATACATGAACAAGTAGCTCTTGTATACAATTAGGGCCATTTAGTTGAGCAAAAAGTAACTCAGGCCCCAGTTTTTGACAACCGTTTGACCAAAGGATTGTGTGATAGGTGGATTGTTCAAAGTAAACAGAAGTTACTCTAGTGCTAGTTAAAAGCTTTCTTGATAGTTTTCACAAAAATCAATGTCTACGTAAAAAACATGGCTAAACTTAAGATGATCTAGAATGCAATTTTTAAACTTTTTTTTGTAAACAACTCTCACATTTTATCTGTCAGACTCAACTTAAGCTTTTGACCCTGAGTTGAGCATAACAACAACACAAACTCGCTATGATTCATTTTCAAAAACATCCTGAAAAGTGAAAGCCCATGATAATCCATAAGAAAAGATGAAAAGGATACAAAGAAAAGAATTATCTGGTGATGCTTAACAGCGCCATAAATTCCAACCGCAGCAACCAGCATAATAAACACTCCACATGCTATGGTGCCTCCTACTATTGGCCAACTGGTGAAAAGATCTGTAACTTTGGAGTAGGCTGGACAAAGTATAAGAACAAAGCCTATGATCTGAAAAAAAAAAAAATTGAAAAGAGAGAGGAATTAGATCAATGTGTACTGTGCAAAGAGATTAACCCTTTTTCCCATCAACATGTAACTTCTCCCTATAATAACTGCACATCATTCTGCAACAGGTAATGAGAATATCTAAACTCATCAGGTAGAAGTTATCTTGATCTAACAACAAATTTTTGTAACTACTTCACAAGGTAAAGTTCAGCAGCTAGAGGAGAGAATTAACAATCACATCTTGGGAGTTAAAGGGTTGAGTAGGAGGGTAAAATCTGGGATTGGTCATCTAGTAAAGAAATACGAGTGTTATTTTAGCATCATGCACATGAAATAGAGAAAACACTTAAGTTCAAATGGTTCACAAGTCTGCTTTCGTACAAAGGAGATCTGAAAAAGTTGTTCTTCTTTGTTTTTGATCACATGTAGTTATTCAGATATCACATTAACCCTTTTCAACCCTAGGAGTGGCTGGCATCAAGTTACTCCTCACAATATCACCCCTGAATCACACATTGAGGTCATGAGAATAAAGGAAATGAACACCAATGAAAGATGCTTTTGATTGGTAAACGAATTCTCCTTATCAGCGACTTAGGAAATGTATAGAGGACAGTATAGAGAATATGTCTACTGATTTCAGCACTAGAACACAGAAGACATCAAAATGAGGTAAGAACAAACAAGTGACACAGAAGTTGCAGCTGATTGGGTCCCTAATGCTCTTACCAAATTCTGAGATCCTCTATAATCTATAACTGAACAGACACACAAAAACTAGGAATCTTTTTGCTTGACCCTTCATCCCCTAAGAGTGACTAGCATCTAATTTCTCCTTACAATATCACCCCTGGGTCACACATTGATGTCATTAGAATAAAAGAACTGGTCACCAACTAAAGAAACTCTTGATTGTTAGACAAATTCTCCTTGTCAGCACCTTAGTAAATGTACAGAGAACAGAATGGAGAACATGACTACTCATATTAGGGTGTAAAGGGTCAATCTAATTAACCCTTTAACTCCCAGAAGTGAATAACATGAAACTTCTCTCAATAATATCCATAAATTATTCAGCAAACAGCAATGTGAATATTCAAACTTATCAGGTGCTACCTTAATCTAGTACTAAACAAGTTCTCAAAACTAGTTTACAAGGAAATGTGCTGTAACTAGAGGGGAGAATTAACAATCAGATCTTGGGAGTTAAAGGGTTAAGAAGAAAATTTTGCGGACTGTGATGTAATCTATGCCTCTGTCCTCCATTAGATCATAAGAAAAGACCTATCAAAATGTATTTATAATTCAGCTTATTATAAATGGTCTAATACTTTTTTGCATTGCATTCTCAAAGCCCTTCACTATCCCATACAAAGGTTAACGTTGACAGCTTCCTTTTCTTTTTGGCTCCCAAAACCCATAATTTCCCAACTGCCAAACATGGAATCTTAGTCCCTCTCTGAACATTGTGCTGGAATTAACTCAGTGAGGCATAGCCCTAGCTTGCGAGGTCGATTAAAAAAATTCTATAAATTTATATTGACTGCTTGATTCAACTCTGTAATTTCCAGAGTATGTTCTAAATTATGAATACGCATTTGCGAAAGAACATTTCATTTTCCGCTAGCTAAAATGTCACAGAACAAAAATAGCTCATGATCTCAACTTCTCACGAGAATTTACTTAAAAACTTGCCCAAATTTTAAGCGATTTTTATACGACATATTCCACTAGGGCACATTACGAAATTATCACATTCATGGTAATAATTCATTCTACATTTTCGTCTGATAGTCTTATGTCTGAAAAGGAAGAACAAGCTGATGAATTGAACATGTAGCAACTTGCAACGAAGCGTTCATCGAACATAACCCACAAAAGACTCGCCTTACCAAATATATGATGTTAAAAAATATCAATCCCAGTCTATAACAACGAAACCCCATCATCGATCCTTTCTTCCTCGAGAATTTTTTCCAGAGTTACACTTTCGACCCAAGGATCCCCTAATCACATGATGATCTTAATCCAATATGGCGGTTTCCCTCCAAATAGTGACGTCATCTATAAGTAACCAATCATCGCTGTTTTTAGAAAACAGGGAGTTCCGGCGGCAGTTTTGAGATTTTTGAATGACCTTGAAGTAATACACTTTCAGACATACTTTTTTTTTTTAGAATTTTTGCCTATTTCATCTGTGATAGGTATTAACCAACATCTTCGCTTAGTATCTTAGAGTCAGAAAGAGAAATTTCCGGAATAAGCAGGCAAACAAATTCCACCTCGCGTCTAATATTTTATTAATAGTTTTTTAGTTATGCTAGGAAAGCATTTACGTAAAAACCAACATAATTTTCTTGAAAGTAATCTGTCATTGAGCAATTTTTATCGATCGGATGCTGATCCTTTCAGTTTGTAAACTTTCTATCCAAAAGGTTCCCTTTCGCTCTTGACCCGAAAGTTACAATATGAGCTTGCTTGCTTTTCGTGATACATGCGAAAGTTGCCTTTTTCCCTTCCAATAATTTAGTCAATTTGTCGCTCCTAATTTCGCTATCTATCTTGGCTGTTGTTTGATATAAGGCTCTTTTCAGACAATATAACATAAGATGTGAAACTGAATCCTTTCAAATAAAAATTGGACCGAGTCAGTTTGGAATTGTTTATCCAGACTGCATTCGAGACATCTGAAATTAACGAAGAGAAATTATGTATTAGAGGACATTTGACAAGTTTTTCTATGTCAATTTATTTTCCAATTAAAACGTCTTATAAAAAAAGACGAAAATGTACCAGCGATATTATCCAATCATTGCTCGCGTTAGATCGGAATAAATCGGTGGTCGTGATTCCGTACGTGCGCACAAACAATGAGCCGAGCGACAACATTCCCGGATAATACACGAGAAGACTTGAAACGAGTCACAAAATTCTCACTTTGTTTTCCTTTTTACCTCACCGTGAAGATAATACAGGCTCAGAATTGTTCCTTTGGCGACTACAGAAAGGTAATTGCTTTTACCGTTTTCGCCTTAAAGCGCAGTTTCAAAGCGTTCGGAAGGCACACTCAAGCGGCCGTTAGCCTTCGTTCCATGATACAGTTCCGGTTGTTTGCGGTGCTCTCCGAGACAGTCGTCGATTGAGATATTTCATTGTTCATTCACTCGTTCGTTTGGTTCAGGAAAGTCACATTTTGTGATAAACGCGTTTGTCGATTGTGTTTCTCATCGAACTTGTCACCTGAAAGACTAATCCTATTTTGCGTTGTGCTTTTCTCGCTGGATTGCGTGTGCTCCTGTATTTTGTTCGTGTTTAATTGAAGTTTCCTGTATATGTGTAGTGAATGCAAATTAATTTGAGAGCTTCGAGGCACTCTGGTACTACGGAACCTCCGGTTGGCTTATTCAGTCCGCTTACAGCAATTTATGCCGTCTGCTCTTCAATTCGAAAATAGCGTAAAGCTGTCGCGGTTTCAAGCTGATGACAGCGTTTTTCCGCTGAATGTGTAAGACTAAGCTTAGCTAATCATCTTTAAGAACATATGCGTTTCAAGGTCGATTCATGTTCTGTAGTTTATTTGAACAATGTAACGGGGGTTTTCGGGGGGTCGAGATGTTGACGTGCTAGCGTTAAAGATCTGGATTTTTAGGGACATTTCCAAGGCTGCTATGCCTTCATTAAGCCTATTTAATGGTATTTGTTTTAAATCACGTGAAGAAAGGTCAGGTACGAATTTTGCATGTAGACTAGTTTAGCGCAGAAAATTTATCCGAAACACCATCATTCTGTAAATTCATGATTGAGAAGATGAGGTAAGAAGTAGCAACAAACTGTACAAGTTCTTTCTGCTTTTTTTTTTTTTTTTTTGTAATAACCATTGTTCGGCTAATTTACAATTTTGACTTTAATACCGGTGAATGAGCAGAAGGACTCTAAAATGAATATATTCTATGTTGTACTGCGGTGTAACTTTTTAACACTCTCACTTGAAGAAAATATAGGAGTATCATGCGTTGACTAAATCAACTCAGAAAAACCAGATGTTAAGCCAGGTTGAGTAATGGCACCCTGTGATTTGCTTTTGCTGCAACATCTGTTGATCACTTGACTGGCTCTTGAAAAACTGAAGAGAAAGGTTCACCTTTGCCATTTCTTTACCTGACTGCTGAACTAACGTACGAGTCTTTTTCATGCACACTTGCTGTGCAGAAAATTTAGAATTATGTCAAGATGTCCTTGTTTCAAAAGCTGGCTAACAAAACCAAGGAAGTTGGTTGTCCTGATGAATGCTTGGTTTCCTGTTTGAAAACCCCACATGTTAAGTGCACTGTGCTAAATGAAACTAAGGTTGCTTGTCTTTCCACATATTTTGATGGTCTTGTTCTCTCTTTTCAGTCATGTTTTGCATGTCTGACTTGCTCAATTTAATTTTCCTTGAGGGGTTAGCATTGTTCCATGAAATAAAATGCCACAATTTGAATCTAAGACAGGGAAGACTTAAATTCTACTCTGCTAATTGGAGACATAATTAGTCAAAACCTTATTGGAGAATTTTAGAAATATCTGGTAGAAATTTTTACCTCTATTTACAAGTGGTCTGGAGATGTGGTCACAGTCATGGCAATCAAAATCCCACTTAAGCTTCTGAATCAATCGGATGCAAAACTGAAACTAATGGTTTTTTTCCCTCACATTCTTTTTCACCTCAGGCTGTTTCATTGGTATTATTACTTTCAATCATGATGGTCTCATTGTGATAACTACTTCAGTTCTGTTCTTATTTGGCCGGTGAAAGAACTTAATCTCTGGGTTTGCTCTGAGCATTTTTTTGTCATTCTTTTAGATATTTCACCCTGGCTACAGTTTCTTGTTGTGAGTCATCTAAGATGTCCTCATCCTCACCTGTAGCAGAGAACTGGTGTTACACTCAAATCAAAGTTATAAAGTTCTCCTACATGTGGACAATTAATAACTTCAGCTTTTGCCGCGAGGAAATGGGGGAAACACTGAAAAGCTCAACGTTCTCAGCTGGGGCCAATGATAAGATGAAATGGTAAGAAATCCATTCATAATGTGTACATTGTCTTGTAAATTGAGGATCATGTGAGAGAAAGTAGAAAAGCAAGAGCCTTGGGCAAGTGCCTTGTGTAGTTTTGACTCTTCACATTTAATACCTGGTCAGTGCACAAGAAAAAAGTTAAGCAAGTAGATCATAACATCTATTTTCTCCCAATTCTCTGAAGCTCTGCAGTAGAATAATCTTTGAGTTGGAAAGGTCAAGAAGTTGACAGAGAAGAAGGAGACAGAAGTTGTCTAATAATGTACATGTGTCTTTAATTAAGCAGTTTCAAGACGTCTACTCAAACTAAATAGAACTTTTATTATCAGAATGCATAACTTTTGCATTTCTGCATAAAATCCCCTGAAGAAGTAGCAGAAAACTTATTATTTATTTCAACAGGTGTTTGAGAGTAAACCCAAGAGGCTTAGATGAAGAAAGCAAAGACTATTTGTCATTATACCTTCTCTTACTGGCTTGTAACAAAAGTGAAGTGAGAGCAAAATTCAAGTTTTCAATTCTTAACGCTAACAGAGAAGAAACAAAGGCTATGGGTAGGTGCAGTGACTGTCTACTGACCATTAATGATGTGAAGTTAGTGATGGTTTGATACCCCACGTTTAACCCTGAAACTCCCATTAATGACCAAGATAGAATATCTCATTATGATATCAATACAAAACATGCCAAGCATACAAGTGATGAGAATAAAGAAAACATCAATTTTTAGTTGTAGGGGTTTATTAGTACATCCAAGACCAAGTTCTCCAAACTAAAATCACGAGAATGTAACAGAAAGCAGTGAGGAAAATGCTTATGAGATTTTGGAAGTGAAAGTGATAAATATTCAATGTAAATGGACCTGAGTAGAAATTTTGTGGCTGAATATGGTCTATCCAAGAGCAGTGAAGATGTATCTGTGTTTCTTTGGCATTTGGTAGAGTTACATGCAGATTGTGATACATGTAGAACTAAAATTCTCTGAAAGTTTCTTTCACCTACATGTACTGTATGTAGCATAGTGTAGTAGGTGTGCACAACATTGGTTAAACTTTTATTTTTCTGGCTGAGGAACATATACTCTACATTTTGGAGATTTACAAATTGTCATGAAATATTTGACAAGTAAATTCCATGTTCCTGTCCATCTGTTCAGTAATAGATCACAGATGACTTCAAAATGTGATAAGGACAGAAGAGAGGCACACAAGCTGACGCGGAGTCAGTTACTGAATCTTTAACCACACTTTGATGTCTTCTGTGTTCTGTTACTGTACTGAACCCCTGACAAAATGGAATCTATTTGCATGTAATGGTAAAAAGCAAAATGTTGTTCAAGGTGATGTCATCTATGGGTCTCCCTTCCAATAGATCATAAGTAAGAACAATCACATTGTGTGTATAATTCAGCGTATTATATAAACCCATTTTATTTATAGAATACTATTTAAGCTTGTTAGCTCAAATAGAGACGTGAAATTTTAATCTTAATTATTGTTTTCTCTGGTAAAAGTAAAGGCATCGCTTAGAAATATTTTTTTCAGATGTATTGATGTTGTCAGAGCTGGAAATTTCAAATTCTACTTAAGATGTTTAAATGCTTACATCTGCAATAATTTACATTAGTTTTGTATGGTATCATTTAAAGTAGCAGATGTGTGCTAAACATTTAAAAGAGATAATGATAAATCTTGTATCCAAATAAATAAGGAGGGAAAATTTGGTAAAGTTGGTGGAGAGACATGTCTATGAAGCATCTTCATTTATGCAATGAGTAGTGACAAACATTGTATGGATTTATTTTTAAAGCACTTCCCCAATTGTATGGTATTATCAGTAACAAACATTATAAATACTTTTGTTTGCAGAGAGTCAAAGAGCTTACCGGTTTGTTCAAGGTAAAGACTGGGGTTTTAAGAAGTTTATAAGAAGAGACTTTTTAATGGATGAAGCTAATGGTTTATTACCAAATGATACATTAACATTGTTTTGTGAGGTAAGGTACACACAGTTTTGATTGTATACTGCATAAGCTACTGTCAGTAGCTTTTTGTTTTGTTTTTCATGTTGATTGTTGCATGAACTCAAATGACAGTGCTGTGTGTTATTGGTGTTGGTTGTTTCAGTTTTTTTGTATGTGGTTTCTATCTAGTATGTTTAACTTGCTTAATTAATTAACCAACCTTTTCCAGTTTTGTCAAAAGGATGGGCAGACAGGGCTAATTTTTAACAACTGTTTTGGCCTAGGCTCTGAGCTGTGTGGTTTTTTTGAGGTCTAAATTTGAACTTTCAAGAACACACAGGGAATTTTTTTTTTTGCCAGGGAAAAAACAAACAGTTTTAAGGAGAGTAGTTTGGTATTTTTTAAAGAAAGGCAAATGATATCAATGTATGTAGCTGTTGTATCAATGTCTGCCTCTGAGCTCCTACACACCCTAGTACCCCTTCCCTAATGCAACAGCAGTCAACTGATAACAAGTTCAGGTTGATGTTGGGCTAGGAGAGGGGTAGGAGGGCAGTTGCTCAGATACTGATACTGATCCTACCAGTTACGTCTGTTTTTGTTGGCAATAAATGACTCTTATTTCCTCATGTTCAGGTCAGTGTTGAAGGTGACTCAGTGAATGTATCAGGTTCATCACACACAGCAGCACTCAAAGTCCCAGAGTGCAAACTACCCAGACACATGGGATCATTATTAGACTCTGGCTCCTTCAGTGACGTGACACTGTGTACTAGGGGCCGAGAATTTAAAGCTCACAAAGCTATATTGGCTGCACGTTCCCCTGTATTTGGGGCCATGTTTGAACATGAAATGGAAGAAAGTAGGAAAGGTCGCGTAGAAATAAGTGACATAGATCCAGATGTGTTTCATGAGATGCTAAAGTTTGTTTACACTGGTAGCACACCACAACTTCAAGGAATGGCAGATGATCTTTTAGCTGCTGCAGATAAGGTTTGACTTAAAAACTTTTATTTTAATTCTTATGTTTTAATTCTCCAATTGTCTTCTATTAGATTTTCACGATCATTAATCTTAGTGTCTTATATGCCTTCATGTGCCTGTCCTGTGCTTCCTTAGGGAAATGCCCTATACATACTTATTTCAGGGAATGGTTAGGAGAATGTAGGTAGTTAAAGTCTCTACTCAGGCCAGTTGGCCCATCCATCTTATCCTGGTTTCCATAACAAGATCTGATAAGGAGTGTTACCACTCTCAGTTGGTGGGATGTCAGTCCATTCTAAGGTTCCCCTGCAGCCTTTCATTAGACTTCCTTGACGATTTGCTTGGGCCTATTTGTACTACTGGTAAAGTGTTGAGCCCAAGAACACAGCAAAGTGACCCAATGCTGACTGAATGCTTGACTGACAAAGAACTCTTTACTTGTCTCTAATACCAACAACAGTCCTTCTCACATGAATGGTCAGATTAGACCATTATTGCACTTCTTCCTAAAGGGGAACTTTTGCTGGCCCTCCTTACAGATTTCCTTTAGGAAGGTGCTGCTCATACTTTTCCTCCAAGGGAAGTTCTGTTCATGAATACAATGTAGTTATGTTCTTTCAAGTTGAACCAAAGCCCCTGGAACACTGCCTTCAAGGCCTTTCATACATATGTGTACCTGTGCATTCCTTTGGACTTGTGTCTTACAACTATGTCAACCTTCCTTCCCTGTATTGCTGTTTTTGTTATGGCTGAAGTTTTTTCACCTCAATTGCACTTGACTGCATGTACCTGTGGGAGTGTTTCTTGCATCTCATTGCACTCTGTTACATTTATGGTACATTTGTCCCTTTCAGAGTAAGTGGTCCTCTCCCCTAACTCAACCATCTCTCCCTTTTCTATGATAATTTGATGTCAATTCACAGCTTGTGGAATCTTGTTCTTTACTAATTTTTTCTGTCTCTACCTATGTTTTTTTCAGTATGACCTTGATAGACTCAAAGTTATGTGTGAAGAGGCATTGTGTTCGAATCTTACAGTAGACAATGTTTGTGACATTCTGATATTAGCTGACATGCATAGTGCAACACAACTCAAGGCACAAGCACTTGACTTCATCAAAAGGTAACCAATGGACATTCCCTCAGAGAATTTTGCATTTGTTTTTTCTTAGGTGGGGTGAGAGGTACCTTTTTACAAAGTAGAGATCTGTTTTGAGAGATACAGCTGAAGTGTTTTATTCATTCTCCCAAATCTACTAGTTTTGTTAAAGCAAGAGGAATTGCCCATCTCTAAGAGAACTCTTTCGTACCATGTAAAGTGTGGTGCAAAGCAAGTTCACTGATAATTATGTAGAACATTGTGTAGTGCTAGCAATCTTATTAATGACAATCGCTTAACAGCTAGCCCTCTATCTTGAGGGAGAAATAAACAAAGTAGAAAGCAAATTTGACCACTGCCCATTTTAACCTTTACCAAAATGCTCTTTTTGTTTAAGTATCATGGAAATTTTTCAGGACCATTGCATAATGTGATGTTGCTGATATTGAAAATTCATTTCTTTTGTAACAGTAAATTTGTCCTATGGACAATACTATTAGATTAGCTCATGCAATAGTTTTACTTCTGACATGCAACCCACCTAGAATAGCACCCAAGCTAATTATGGGCACATGAGAACCTGTGAATATCAATAATAAATAATATTATAAATGGTTGGAGCTTAAGAATTGGCAGGTTTTTCAAAAGCAGGAATAACTTAAGCACAGTTGTCTTAAAACACAAGTTTTGTAGTGTCCATTCATATTTATTCTCTCTTTACTCCTCTCATCATAGCCGTGCAACAGATGTGATGGAGTCCAATGGATGGAAAACTCTCATAAGTGACCATACTCACCTCATCGCAGAAGTTTTCAAAGCTGTTCTTGCCTCGACACAGACACCATTAATAGGACCACCAAGGAAAAGACAAAAGACAACGTAAGCTGCAGAGGGAAAATTTATTTCTTAAGAATAATAATATTATTGCTATTATGAAAAAAAAGTATATTTAAGGAACAATCATTTTTAAGCCTTTCTTCGACTTTATCAATGAAAGATGTGTTTGAATTGTATAATTAACTTAATGGTATAACCTTTAATGAAATTGTCATGATGTTTCTTGCTTCTTTTTCTTTCTTGCTACTAATTTCTCTAGTTTGGGTTGACCTTAAGTTAAGCAGTCATTTCTTCTGCTAGATTTCCATTTACAACTACAGTTCATAGTTCCTTAAATTTGTGTCACATCTTAAATTTTATTCCACACATTTGCTCCAGAAATTGTGAGATGGGGCAAACATCTATGCTCTAGTAGTCCAGCTCTTCAAAAAGCTGTAATGTAATGCATTGATCAATTCAAAGCTACAACATTCCTCCTTCCCTCAGGCAACCCTCAGGGCATTTGAACTTTTGTGGATTGGTTTCTTCAAAGTCCACCCCACCCCCAGGGTAAAAATTGAGTTCAAATGCCCTACCCAAATTTTTATTTAAAGGCAAAATAAGCAACCATGACTTTCTACTTATTGACCAAGTTTTAAAACTTAGAGACTACCTTTTCTTCTGAACCATTTGCTTGCAACGGTGAACTATTTACCTTAAACACCCTATTTAAAGATGTAACACATTTATTCAGCTGGAAAGACTTGACACTTCTGTTTCAAATTCACCACCCCATCCTAGCATGGTTCATATTCCCTACACTGCTGCACATGGACAAGGGTCAAATCCCTGTGGGTTGCTGGGGGGGAGGGGTTGTTGAAGCTTCAAATTGTTTGGTGCATTATCTGCTACTACTGACAATCTGGTAGATTTGATAGCATGTCATTTGTTTTTGCTTTAGCTTCTTCTCACTGAACAATATTGACTTTTTCCATGAGTAATCTTTGCATCTTACCCTTTCTGGCTCTGCTTTACCTTAATTGTTCTTCAAATTTGGAACAGAAAAAATGATTGCTCCTTAAAAAATTTAATGTTAGATAGCTTCCCCTCCCTCCCCCACAAGAAAAAAAAATATAAGATTGTTGTACCGACTAGTACTTTAATGAACCTTGTATCATAGTGTAATATACAAGTGTTTGTAAGTAATTGTCATAACTGTCAACATTAATTATTTAGTCAAAATAGCATGGAAACAAATTTAAGCCAAAAATTTAATGGTGTCTGGTTCAGAAGTGTTTCTTTTTGACACTGGAATGTGACAGAATTCCTTGCATACCCTGTCCACTTCACCATAGTTTGGTATGGTGGCCATAGGTGTGTTACATTTAAGTTAGAAGCTATGTCAATGTTGGGGTGAAGTGCTCTAGAAGCCACCTACAGTTTACTGTTACATTTACTGGACATCTCCTTCACTGCCATTGTTTACTGTGATCATGCTGTCTGATTGTTGGTGGGAGTGACTGACATTTTGACAACCTTAGAGAAATGCATTGTCGACTCTAATGATGACATCATCTATTGTAATGTTTCCACTCAAGTGCACGTTACTATTTCTCTCTCTCTCTCTCTCCTTTGAGTGTGATCCCTCTCGTTTTGATGTATGATGTGACCAAGAGTACAGCTGCAAGGGAGATTAACACATTTACCTAGGGCAATGTGAAATGGTTAAGCCTGCCAGACAGGTGCCCAGTTTAGCACTTTTTTTTAGAGATTTAAAGAAGGGTGAACAGGCAAGAACTCACTTTGCTGTCATTTGTGCCCCTCTACTTGTTCCTTGCTTTTAGAGGACATGGCATGCTGGCTAAATTTGTTGGCTGAATGATTTGAAACAGTGGTTGTGAAGGAGTTCTTCAATTTGATCTTACCTTGTGTGACTTAGCTTATATAATTTTACCCCTTAACACCGTAAAGACTAGATTAGGTGAAAATACCAAGGGAAATGTTATCTAGTTAAAAGATCCACTAAAATTCTCTTGACTACGTATAAATATAAGGCAATTTATATTGGAAGTTGACGAGTAATGGGACAATTGTTGTGGTAAACTCAGCCGGTTTGGGTTTGGTTCTCAGCAACAAAGTAAGATAGAGTAACCGCTGAGATAAAGAATCTTAGCAATTCATGATTTAAAACAGTTACATCTGCCATTTGGGGTTAAAGCATGCTTTTGTTGAGGCTACACAGCAGGCAGTATGCAGAGGGACAGTAGGAATAGGAGTTAAAGTTACAAGCAAAGCTGAAGACGTGCAAGGAGTAGCTCTTCTTGCGATTTCTAACTTTATTCTCCCTTATTTCATGTCACTAGCATGTACTATACTTTTTACCTTTTACGCAGTTGTACATCCCCCTTCCCTAGGTTGACGTAATGCTCTATTTTCTCGCTGTTAATCAATAAGTGTTCATCAGCAAATAACTTACAAGTCGTATGCGAGGATGGCGGGTGGTATCTCGTTTTGAACGCTTGGCAAATGCCCCCTCTCAGATGGTTGCTGATATTTTGTGGCAAAGATTTTAGCTTGACAATCTTTTGCTATCGCAAAAGAAAAAGGTCTCGCACAATACTTTACGTCATGCTTTCCGGTAGTTCACAAGTGGCTACAGGGGTTAATGTTATAGTTGCACAAAATTTGTCTCGGTCACCAAGGTAACACACACTGTAAAAAGTATTCTTTTAGGTCACTGTTTGCGTGACCAGGAAATATTGCGTGACGGTGTCCACAGTGGGCTTTAAAGTTTTCATGCAATACTAAGTTTTTAAGAAAACTTAAAAAGTAACCTTAAATATTTTCTTTTTAACGTGTTTTAGATACTCGAACAGGTGGAAAATCTATTATTTTTAGCAACGTTCACAAAAGAAAAAACTTGAGCCTGAAAACTTTGTTTTGCACCAAAGTTACTAACCGCTACGTCACATTATCAAGCTGTTACCATCCTGCATAGAAATAATTGCTTTTGATATGGTGCGGGGTTGATCAAGGACTACTCTTGACAAACTCTCCACCCTGGTATCAAGAGACATTTTAACCCCCTTGCCCTCCCCCCACCATTGACCTCTCTCAATAGTAAACGAAAGATGGCTGCATTTCGACGATTGCTCAAGAAAGTTAGTTTTGATCAGTTCTCGTTTTATAATATATTTAGGCCAATGAAACGTGATAAGATAAAACTCATTCATTTCAGAAAAAAAAATCGAAAAATTCTCTCGAGGAGAGAGACAAACATAGTATGGAAAATTTCGAAAGAATTTTTTTGCTGATACACAGGAAGCCCATTGTGGACAACGGTTACTTTATTTTTAGTTGTACGTGTTGGTATGTATGTACGCATTATGTATGTATTTAATAAGATGCATTATGTTTGGAAGAATCACGACACCTTTGGATATTTATTTTACAATTGAAGTAAACAATATTGTCCAACTATTGTGAGATAAAGTTTAATGCATCTTTCCCGATGTTTCACTCCAACCAGTGGATTTAAAGTCCAAGACGGTGACAGTGGTGGTCGTTTGCAGCAATTGGCCATTTTACAGTTGTGTACTTAGTTGCCAAGCCTTTGATTTGGATAGAGGCTGAAGGTGACCTTGTTGTGATAGAGACCAGTAGCTAGTTAGCATGATAACAAAGTAATTCGAATTTGAAAAGTAGCAAGTTTTCTATCATAACAAGATCAACCTTAGCCTCACTCCTGTTCGAAGGCTTGGCAACTAAGCTCTCAACTGTAAAATGGACTATTGGAGTTGCCTGGAAAGTAATGTGGACTTGTACTTGCTTTCATTTTGTGTGACGCAGTGGCCTAGCGGTCAGTGGTCTGGACTTCAGGTTGCGAGGTCCAAGTTCGAGACTTGGTACCCGGTTCTCGAAAGTCCCGTGGCCCGTTTCTCGAAGGTTCCGGTGACCTAGCGGGCCCGTAAAGCTGCTCTGGTTTCTATTAAGATGGTGTTTAAAAAGTCTGAAAATTTAAAGCTAAAACTTTCAGCTAAAGAAACAAGATGGACCGGCTAGGCTGCTAGAACCTGCTTCGCAATTCTTTAAATTTTGATTCTAAATTATGGCTTCGGGTCATTTAAGTTACTGGGACTTTCTAGATACCGCCTCCCGTAACTACACTGGCCCGAAGCGATATTTTTAAATAGTAATCTAGACTAGAGATGCCGTTTCTGGCACCCAAACCAGTCCATTCTCTTTCTTCAGCTGATAGTCAAAATGTAAATAGCTGATAGTTTGAAAATGACCCCCGTATTGAAGGAAAACAGAACAGCTTTACAGATCGTTAAGTTACCAGAACCTTCGAGAAACTGGCCTTGGCCAAGTCAATGTGTCGTGTTCTTGGGCAAAACACTTTACTCTGCCCATGCCTCTCCCCACCCAGGAGTATCAATGGGTACTGGCAAATTGTCAGGGAAGCCCCATAAAATGCTGGGGGGGTAGCCTTGCAATGGACTAGCATCCCATCCAGCGGGGAGTAGTGATACTCCTGGTCGCTTCGTGCAGCATGGAAACCGGGATAAGCTCCAGTTTGGTGGGTCAATAGGCTTGAGTACAGATTTAACCCTTTTTTATTTCACATTCTAACTGAAAAGGTAAACTCGAACATTTTTTTTCCTTGTTAATTCAAGAGAAACCACTGAGAAGAAGGTCGAATAATTATTTTTAATCGTTGACCTTATTACGTGTCGAATCCGCAGTGTAGCGACCTCTTCTAACTGCGAATAATGAATCTATTCGCGGAAACAATAATAAGTAAAGGAGACCCAAGTGTATTCTCTAAACCTAATCCTGAAGTGCTATCCGCAGAGAAACTCCAGAAAATAGATGCCAACTACGAGCAAACTGTTATGAAATACACTGATTAAACTTCAACACAGCGGTCAAACGTCGGGCATGAGCAAGTGGGCCGATTTTTGGCACCTGCACGCCAATTTCCTGCGCAATATTTCTCAGGAAAACATAGGAAACAAAAATACAAACAAAATAAGAGGAAGAAATTGAAACGTAAAAGGAAACAACACTAGAAAAAGGGAAAATTCGAGACTTTTCCGGAACCCAAAGTTGATTCAAGTACGGCTACTCCTGTTGAGTTACTATTCTGTTTTAAGCTTTATCAAGAGAGTTATACGCCTCTAAAACTCCATGACTTACTGGCTCGTATGGTTGTCAGTAACTTGTGAGACAACTCGATTCTGAAAGCTTGAAAGTACTAATCATCGCAACGTTCGCACATGCGCATACGTTAGACCGCCAAGTCATACATCTCTAGCTTACTGTTGTAAATAAGCTTTGTGTAATAATACTGAGGTATTGAAAACGCTATAACATTCTATGGAACGGAATAAGTGTCAAACGTGTTTTGGAGATCCTAGAGTACGTGCAAACCCTGCTCTTCGGCGAAGTCCGTCGCGCAGGTTAAAAAAAATTAGAAAGGAAAACTGATGTTGGTGCACCGCACGTAACTCTGGGAGTGAAGCGCACGAAAAGGGGTTGGAACTTAAACTGTGGAATGCAGGAGAGTATCCTGTGAACGATTTGGGGTGCATTTTGTTTATGTTTTATGATAATGCGATCTGAAACGCACTTGAAAAACATCCCTCAGTTAAGGTACTGAGATTTTGCAAACGTCGTTTTAAATAGATGTTCTCAAATTCGTCAGTTTACGTAAGAAGTTCTCAGAGGCGTTGTCAGCAAATACAACTCCGGCCTGAGCATTTGCGGCATTTCTGAACTAAATTTGCCTAACGCTCTTCATTTTATTATCAAGCTACCGTTGCCTTGGATTGAAAAAAAAAATTCTTATGGTGTGATGGTTCTTTGCAAACTCCCCACCAAGTTGAGAGGCGACTTGATCACAACTCCATTGACGTAAACGGACGCCTGTGGTAAAGTACGTCAGCTTACGTCACACAACTCCCTCTGTTTTAAGAGGGAGGTTACATGTGAAGGTCATTCCAATTTTCGGAAAGGCAGAACTTTGGTTTGGAAACTCAAGTCGACATGAAGCGGTGAAAATTTCCGTGAAATACGTTTGAAGTGTATGCGATGACGGGAGTAGCAAACACGAAACCTGTGAGTATTAGATTAAAGCACGACACAAAACTTCGAAGTTCCCGGTGAAATCAACTGAGAGTTGCAGATTATTGTGTACTAATGGCGAAACTTCAAAGGAATCAAGGGAAACCTTGTATTCTTGGAGAAAAGTGTTCGGCTTACTTTACTATTTCAAAAGCCAGCAACGTGGAGCCACCCGCAATGAAGTAAAGAAAGTCTATGGAAGAATTACTCCAAGAGTTCAAAGTGTTTAAGTCCGCAGTAGTTTGAAAATCATCGGACGAAGATACCGCCTCGGATTTGTAGGAGGATAATTTCAAGCCACTGCGAAATTTTAGTTTCTCTCGTGAAGGCGATTATTAAAGTTAGCCACAGGAACCCTTTGCGGCACGGTCCTATATCGATTTCTGTTTTTAAAAACTTTTCCTTTTAACTTTCGGTTGTTGCTGTTGTTGTTTTAATTGTTATTTCACATCGGCATTTAGTCATTTTAAACGATGTATTAACATTACGATTAGAATAAGTGGAAAACGAAAAATAGAACGAACGTAGTACTGTTTGCTTTCGTCCTTTTCTATCCGGAAGTGAAAATAGTTGCATTTGCTGTTTCTGCATGGTCACGGAAGGTTCGCATTCTTAGACGCTCCGTTACCTTTGCCCAGCGGATCGGGTTCGGAAGGTTCGAGAAAAAAATCCAAGATTTTACGGCAATTACACAGTGCGCGGTCAACCTTCCGCGCATGCCAAGTTGTAATGACTTGAAAGTGTGCTTTCATGTCGGTATGAGCTACAAACAATCACACAAGCCAGTTGGTGTTCAATAAACTCAGAACCTTTTCGGTAAAGCTTAAAACAGAATGTTAAATCAATAGCATACCTGTATTTGAATAAGCTCGGTGTCCGAAAAGTCTCGAGTTTTCCATTTTCCGACTTTTTTTACCTTTTACAGATTTCTATGAATGCCGTTTTAACTATTGTGCGAGACAGTGGTTGTTTTTTATGGTTTCCTTTGAAACTGACTCGTGGACGGAAAAATTGATCCACTTGCGCATGGCCAACGCTTAAACGCCTTTTTGGATGTGGCCAGATCTCGGTTTCAGACCCGGTTCAATGGAAGGAGGACCCTGGGATGGAAATTACTATACGTGTGCGCTATTTTGCGCAGAATGGGATTCACAGAGCAAGATCGAAAAAAAAAATGCAATTACGTTACGTTTAAATTACCGTAGGACAATTTTTGTTTATTCCTAAGTGTTTCCAAATTATTACACTTGTAGCTTTAATTCGTGCAACTGTTTACATTACAGTACCAAGGTTCTAAACACCGCAATACCGCAAAAGATAGGGAGGAAAAACTGCGATATCGCAAAAAAAAAAAGAAAAAAATTTCCAAATACCGCAATACTTAATTCCGAGATGAAACTCGATGTCATGCTAAAGCCAATATTCTGTACGTTACGTATAGAGCAAATAACAAGTATATAGCAATTAAGAGATGGCTAATGAACGTTAATTAAGTCAGGTTATTTTCGATTTTAACAAAATAACCACATCCGTTGGTGTGTTGGCTAATAAATAATGACACATTCATGAACGGATTAGAGAACCTTAAAGCTGTTAGGGCCCGTTTCAACCTGTTTCCGAAACAAATGGAAACTGGAAAAGGCTCGGAAATCGTGGAGGACTCGAAAGATGATTTTAGATACCCGTAAAATGCTAAAACACCGCACCTCGCAAGTTCGGAGAATACCGCAATACCGCAATTCCCAATACCCCCCTTGTTAGCGATGCTTGCAAAGTCTGTCAAACGAATCTATAATTACAGCCTTAGACATTTAAGGTTACATTTACTTCCGAATTTAATAAGTATAAGTAATAACATGTTTTCAAGTGCGATTTCGTGTAAATATTTAAGCACGAGTAAATTTTCCAAAGACAACAAAATTGCACCAGCCCGTAGGGCAAGTGCAATTTGTAGTCTTTGGAAAATTTACAAGTGCTTATTACACCAAATAGTAAGATAACTCGTGTTATTACTTGTAAATAATGTGCAGGAAAAACATCGCAGAAAGTCAAGACAGACGAAATTTTGAAAGCGTGCGCACGCTATCTCTAATTTGCACTCGTGTTACAACTTTGCTCTCGTGTTACATAAGAATGCAGTCGTTTTAAGCCAATCGGAAGCGCGTAATTTAAAAAAAATTTTTTTTTTATGTACATCATTACATGCTAAATTTGTTACGTTACTAGCCTAAGGAGTCAGATCTGGGACAAAATTGGTATCCTCTGTTCGCGTCGTCGAGTCATATTTCGTGGAGCTCAT